TTCGATCAACCTCATAGAGTTTTGCTGCACCTCTAAGGCTTAGCTTTGGGTCTTTTTGAAGAGCTTCGATAGCCAGAAGGACCCTACTTTCATATGAAGGCAAGGTCATAATGTGTTGTGGAGGAATTCAATATTTTGTTGGAGAATGACGCGTTGCGGTGGAAAGTGGCTCACTCGGTGGTGTGGCGCACTCGGTGGTGGATTACGTTAAAGGTATATATTAAAAGACTATAACTTATCCTTAATATTACTATATACTTAATACTCCCTATCTAGATTACTATACCTATCCCTATCCTATATCGGGAAATAAGTATTATATTAACGGAACTTATCTTAGAACTTACTTACCTTAAAGCGGCTATTAAATATATAACCCTCGACGATTTTTACTTACTTATAGAAAGATTACCTAATAACTCTTATAGACTATCTCGCTAGCTATAAATATAGCTTTATATAATAAAGAGATATACCTTATTTCTTACTTAACTAAGATAGACTATTAAGCTCGAACGAACTATAGCGCTCTTATTAACTTACCCTTACTTAAGACTACTCGAGATAAAACTAATAACTAATAACTTAATAAACGGTTTAACTAAAGAAGAGTTAGCTATTAAATTTAAGTCTTAACTTTATATATTCCTATTAATAATAATAATAATCTTCTTAAATAGCTTATAAGTTAATAGCGCTATTAGCTAAAGATATAGCGTAACTTAAGCGGCCGATAGATATAAGCTCTTATATAGCTATAGTAGACTTAAACTAGCTAAAGTCTATAATGCCGAAATTATCGGAGCTCTTTATAGTCTAGAAGCTACTTAGGAAGTATATATTAACTTAATAGCCCCTCTTTTCGTCTATCTCGATAATATAATAACGATCGTTACTATTATATAGCTGTCTCTTATACACATCTAGATGTGTATAAGAGACAGGCGTAACTTAAGCGGCCGATAGATATAAGCTCTTATATAGCTATAGTAGACTTAAACTAGCTAAAGTCTATAATGCCGAAATTATCGGAGCTCTTTATAGTCTAGAAGCTACTTAGGAAGTATATATTAACTTAATAGCCCCTCTTTTCGTCTATCTCGATAATATAATAACGATCGTTACTATTATATAGCGACCGTCTAACTCCTCTTAACGTAAGGCCCTCGAGTTTAGATAATTAATATAAGCTTAAGGTAATATATATATTAAATAATATCTAAGATACTACGATATACCTAATAATAAAAGAGCTAACGCACTAATAAAATAAGGTATAAAGGGCCCCCTTCTAGATAAACCCTTAATACTTACTTTCTTCTAGCGATAGACGAGGTAGATAGGTAAAGAAGACTTTATAGCTTAATAAATAAGAGCGTAAGTCTCTAATTACTACCGAAACCTTAACCTCTTAGCTAAGCTAAGAAACTTATTGAAGCTCTAAACTAAAAGACCGCTATTATAGTACTTCTTAGCAATAAAGATATACTATAGTAACTTTATAGCATACTATAAACGCTTTTAATATAAGAATATAGTATACCTTTACTTATATAGGCAGAAGAAATTACCTTTATATCCCTTTTATTACCGGAAGATTAGCTTCTTAAAGCGACTAAGGCTAGCCCCCCTAGCCGCCCTTAAAGCGATCTAATAAGTAATAGGCATAGACTTTAGCCGCTACCTTAACTTAATTAAGGAGATAGACTTCTTTACTTAGATCTATCCCTATAGCTAAGCGCGTAGAGTATAATATAGCGTCTAACGTTAATATACTAAAAGTACGACCTCTCTTTCTATCTCTCTATCTATCTTACCTATAATACCCTTTATTATTATATCGTTTCTTTTATTAAGACTTATTTACTCGATAGTTTCCTTTCTTTCTATTAAAAAACGCTTCGATTCATTTTACTATATAATATACCCTTAGTTAGCTATACGATTAGCTTACCCTTTTAGGCTATAGTACCTCTACTATAACTAAAATATTAATCATAAAGAATAGGCTTATACCCATGCCTATAAGCCCACAGACAGGTAAGTAAGCCCCGAAAAAGATACCCGAGAGGCTATAAAGAGCTAGATATAAGGGAAAAGAGGAAATAGATATAGTAGAGGCAAGGGGTGCTTAGGGTTTTTTAAATAACCCCCTTACGCTAGCGCGATACGCGCTACTAAGGGACCTACCAATAACACTAATACCATCACTACTAATACAGACGCGCTCACCGGATACATTACGTAATCTTATAGCCTAGTACGTCCTTCGCCCTATAGGGCTATACACGACGATAAACGGAATAATAATAATAATAATAAAGTGGCTAGCTCGCGCTCTCTGGCGTTGAGAAACCATGCAGTGGTTGTGTCCTTCGGCATCATGAAAACGAAGGCAATCCCGAACATAACTGTTATGCCACCGCAGACCAAGAAGAGAGCACGCCAGCTTGCTACGGCAATGCGGGAACCGCCAATTGCGTACATGAGCAACGGGCCAACAATTTGCGAGACGCCGTTCATCGATATCCATGCAGCGACGCGCATGGGATGTTCCTCGCGACGATACCAAAGAGAAGTGATGATGACAAAGGCTGGACTCACAGCTCCTTCACTGAGGCCAAGAAAGAAGCGTGAAGCAGCAAAGCCTGGGAAATCATGGGGAGCGCCGTTGGTCATTTCAACGACACCCCATACAACGATGGTAGCGCCAATGAAGGTCGTGACGCGGAAACGAGACAGAAGATAGGCGGCGGGATACTCCGAAACAAGCTGCCCAAAGTAAAACAGGGACACGACCCAGGAAAACTGCTCGCCATTCAAGGAGCAGTCCTTTCGTAAGCCAAACACGGCCGCGTTGTTGATGGAGTTCTTGTCGATATCTATTTGATGAGAAGGTCATTAGCCAGGCGTACAGGGAACACAATAACGCTTGAAAGTGTGATATATACATTGAAAGAGGTAAACAAACGCCATGATCGGTAGAATGACGAGGTCAATCTTCCGGACGAGCCTTGTCTCCTCGTCCGGATCAATAGCCTCGAACATGCACTCATGGTCGGAATTTTTGAGGTCTCTGTCCAAGGGGATGATACTCTGCACAGCGGGTGTCATCTGTTGCAGCGCATCCTGCGCCACCGTATTTTCGTTGCGATGTTTGCGCATTGTTCCTTTGGGTTGAGACGGCCGGCAGCGCTGACTTGGCGATAAACCTGCTGCAATAAACGTGTTGATACAAGCCTGAAGTTTATGATGAATTACCGCGACAGATTAAATAGCCGAGGACGCATGGCAGTATTGAGCCAGTTGTTTAGATGGGAAACACCAAGTTAAGAGGTAGCTGTTGGCTGAGATCAGGGAAAGGCACCAATCACGCACCCTAGCTTGAGTGCGGCTATATGGCTTGTGGCTGCGCACTTCAAAAAGCCATCAGAGTTGGCTCGCCCATCGCCCAAACTTCTCCCTCATGTTTACCCTGTGGTCTGGCAATAAGCGACTACGCGTGGTTACTTCTAGCCTACCCGATAGATGCCTGGCGCCCAAGTCGCTCGGAATTTCCTGGCAAGGTCTATGGGGTACCGAGTCACCGCCCACCAGCCTTTCAATCGCCTGTTGCACTGCTGTGCTGTTGGCCGTTTGTTCCCAGGGCCAGCAAGTTACAAACGTTGGTGCGCGTGAACACTAAAGCGAGTAAGCATCCAACGTTGTTGGCAATGGGCACTCGTCGAATGCGGAAGCCAAGTCTTGTTGCACGCGGGCGAAGCGAGGGCCAGGAGACACGTATCGTCGGACTGGGACAGCTTTTGTTATGCCTCGCTACACGGGGCACGACGTACGTTGGAAGAGTGGCATCAATAAACTGGCGGTAAGCAGGGGCGCCAGGTAGGACCAGTCATTCATACACTATTTGCACGTATGGCATCCTTGGGCATTCGGGCAGCCAACAAGACCGCTGCGACCATGCAAAGCCCCTGTCAGGAACCCACCGTTAGTGATGGGCCTCGCTGCTATTCTTGCCGGCTTCTGCCATCATGCCTCCATCAGCTTGACAGCCCGCGCCGGCTTGAATTGCCGTTTCAGTGCGCGATACGCCCAATTGCTGGCGTAGGCAGGGACGACCAGACACTCGAGCAATCTCGGCAGGTTATCTTTCTCCAGCGTTATTGGCCCCCTGTGTTCCTTCACAGGGCGGCCGCTGCCGCTGCGCACCTGGCGGCGCCTTGGGCAATTAAGCCGGAGTCCTGCTGGCACAGTAAGAACCGGACGCCCAGGGTGTCCTTGGCCCAATGGTGAAAATCAGGCTGGTCGTATATCCCTGCTAGCCCCATGATCTTGTTGTGCTTGTTGCACGCTGCGCTCACAGCTTCCAGAGCCCGCCGGAACAGAGGGGCCTGGAAGTCTGCGGGGACGCCCAGGGCGATGGCCAAGTCATTGGAGCCCACCAACAACACATCCACTCCGTCGACGGCCGCAATGTCCTCGATGCAGCGTATGGCGTTCTGGCTCTCAATCATGACGATGACTGAAGATGCGGAGGCATTAGTCTCCTCGATAATCGTGGTTGCTATGGCAGGCTTCAGGGAGAAGACCGGTAGTTGTCCTGTCATTGAGCGGCAGCCCGCGGGAGGATACTTGGATATGGACACAGCTGCGCGTGCCTCTTCTGCTAGAAGTCAGCTATCCAAAGTCCCGCACATTGGGCGTCACAAATTTCTTCGTCTCACCAGCGCTGTCTACATGGGGGAACACGACCCCCATTGCCCCGCCATCTAGCACCTTCTGCACGTAGCCATTGCCGCACTGATGTGGAACGCGGACAAACGGCGTCAGTCCGATCAACAGGCAGGCACAGCTGAGGCTGCTCGCATTATCAATCGACAGCGTCGAATGCTCCAAATCAATGAAGAGGCTATCAAAGCCGGCGTTCTTGGCCAGTTGCGCAATCTGTGCATTCGTCACAAGTCTGACCCCGAGAGCCTAAGGCGCCACAGTTAGCAAGTCCCCTGTGGCACCTGCGGCGATTAGGTCGTTTTGGTCGGGCTCACTTTGCACATCTGCCCAGAGGCTGCGCGCGTCACCAATTTGTTTTCGGGTGCCATTCTGGGGGCCTTTTCCGATCAGTTAGACAATACAGCGATCTCATGCCCTCGGATACGCAGAATCTGGCGGAAACTCTGCAATAGGAGAGTCTACGCAGTATTTAATGGCCGTATACTGCAGTTGAGAGCTGTGCTTTAGTTTGGCACATCGTTGGGTCGCCGATGGCGCAGTCTCGGACCGGTGGCTGGCGTGCTTCGCCGGCTGCCACGTTTCTCGCGGACTTGGATGCCCCCGCCCCAACGTCAACCAACAACCACGGCTGGTCGGGCATTGGTGGAGGTTGGTTATCGACAGTGCGACACCCCATCCATTCTGTCGTGTATATATCGCATGACGTGGAAGGCCTGTGCTGCAGTGAACGTTCAGCAACATTGTATCATCTCGGCCGTAGACGTGAAGGGCTTGTACAGGAGCAGACCGCCAGCTGCTTGCTACTACCAGGTATTGGCAGTGCGCCCTCGGCCAAGGCCAGCCGAGTGTGCTATCAGAACCCACTACCTCGACGCTTGATCGAGTCTGCCTTTTCCACACGCGCGTCACCGCAACGAAAACGTTCGGAGAAAATGTTCTTTGACGAGGTGCAAGGCGGCCCGCCTGATGTCATGTATGACTTGAAGGTTCGGGCGGATAGGGACGCCCACGCCGAAAAAGTTGATCTTGGTGTGGGGATATATCGCAATGGAGAAGGGCTCTATCAAGAACTGGATTGTATCAAGGAGGTGTGTGTTAAGCGGAACCGACGGCAAGAGACTGTGACTAATGGCTGTTCGAATTTAGGCCAAACGTGTACTCGCCAAGAATGACCCTGGACATGATGTTCGTGGCCTGAGTTCCCCTCATGCTTCCTTTCTACCCATGGACACGCAAGGGAGATTCTGACATGACAACTGCAGTACGAAGTCACGGTTGGAAATGCCGAGTTTCTTGACATCGCATCGAAAGTTATGTTTGGCGATGACTGCCAACGCTTGAACTCGAAACAGGTAAATGCGCCCTGTCCCTCCGCAAGATCGCTTCACCAGGCTCACAACGCGATTATCATAGATCGCATCCGTTCAATCCATCTCAGGTACCGGTGCAGTCCATCTCGCAGCCCTGTTTATATCGCGCTGCATCGCTCCTTGTCCCGAGATCTACGTCGGCAGTCCAACTTGGGGTAACTATAAGCCTGCGTTTAACCTCGTCGGCTTGGATATTCAGGAGTACTCGTACTACAACCGGAAAGAGCAGGCCTTTGACCTTTCTTCGTCTCTGGATGCAATCAGTACAGCACCGCCTTCGAGCGTCTTTATATTTCAAGGTTGTTGTCACAACCCCACAGCCCAGGACCCAACGACTGCCCAGTGGGATGAGCTCATTCTTGCCCTACAAGCAGGTAAACATCTTCCCGTTTTTGACATAGCATATCAAGGACTAGGGAACGGCTTAGACCGGGATGCATACGCTATTCGGCAGTGCGCACATCTGGGGCTTGAGATGCTCGTGTGCCAGTCTTTCTCCAAGAATTTCGCCCTTTATGGCGAGCGATGCGGCGCCCTTCACGTTGCATGTGGAGACGCCGATGCGGCAGCACGTGTGAAAGATCGCATACGTTCCTTGATTCGATGGGAATTCTCTTCATCTCCAGCTTATGGTTCGCGACTGGTCCGAAGCGTTCTCAAATCGCCAGATCTGACAGACGCCTGGTTAGTGGACCACAAATTAAGGAGGCTTTCGCCATGATCCCTGCTAAAGACGTACCTATCGTAGGGCAACTCAGCTGTCTGAAATGCGTCAGCGGCTCGGAAGCCTTCGGCAGCGTCTCTTTATGCAGTTGACCGAGGTTTTAAAGGTGACTCAGCCTCCCTGAAATGTCTTCATGGCTTAGCTCATATGTCCATATCAGACTCCTGGAGATTGGAAGCATATTACCGATGAGCTGGGCTTGTTCTCGTGAGTGTTATGGGATCATATGCAAGCCGCTTTTGCGAGTTAACCACGTGTACCAGGTACCTCCAGCTCAGTCCCGAGCAATGTGAGGAATTGGTCGATACGCATCATGTTCACATGCCTAAAAACGGACGAATCAATGTATCGGGATTGAATGAACGAAATATTGAAAGGGTAGCACGGGCTATTGACGAAGTTGTCCGCAAGGCGCGGGTTGGAGAAGGCGTTGTTGATCAGGGGTCCATGTAGCTTACGAAAGTATGAAAATTGTGCTCTCTGTTACATCGAACGTGCCTTTGACGGACACTATTGAAGACCTTCCTAGAGTGTACGAATGAGACGTGCTATTTGAACAGTTCAAGTTACTATGATGATTGGAGGTGCAACAAAGATTCTAGCTCATTCGGATGAGAAACCGTTTCAGGGGGCGTTCAGTAGGACTAGACAGCTAGATGCTCAGCTCTCGGTGTTAAACACGAAGTCTGGCAAAAGGGATCATAGAAACGTCCATTGTCACCCGCTAAGCCAAGAGATGTACCAAGAAGAAAGACCATACGGCCCGAGCGTTCCGGATCCTCAACCTATCACATGGTGGCCGCGCTGGCTCAGACGCGATATACGAAGCTCGCCTCTCGGTCGCCGGTAGTCTTCTTCCGTGTGTCCAATTTTTTACCCGAGAGAATCTGCTCCCTTTCCTTGTTGCAACGGTGAAGGTACAGCAGATGCGCGGTGATTAGCATCTCAGCCACTAAGATGGCACCCAGAGAGAAACTGTTGCCGAGGACATAGGGAGCGGTCCGATATATTTGCCCAGCAACGGCGCCCGCTGAATTTCCAACCGCTTGATGAATGCCAATGCTGGTGGCTCGGCGATACTGAGGCGCCACATTGACGTTCATCCAGGCTAAGTTCAGACCAGTGCCGTTGTGTACGGCTATGGCGATGAAGTAGCACGCAAAGTACTTAACAGAGTCGTTCTTCATCCCGATCAGAATGGCGTATCCAATAATGCCCAAAACATTGGACGATAGGATCAGCTGCATAAGATTAGCATATACGTGGATGCGCTACTAAGAGACGTCTACTCACGGGCCCGCATAGTTTATACCTGTCCGATAAGTACGCAAAGGCAAAAAAGCCAAGGGCACCCACGGTATATACCGGAATCGTCAAGTAGTTGCTTGCCAGCTGATCATAGCCCATGCCAAACAGAATGGACGGAAGGAACGTGCTGAATCCGTATGTGAGAGTGTTCTGACAGAACTGTGTGGCCGCACTGTGATGTCGGGTTAGCAGCGTGATGGGGTCTTCGAGTTTGAGAACGTACCAGAGCCAGACTTTGACGTCGCAGAAAGCCAACTTGATTTCGTTCCAGTCAAACTCATCGCTCCCTAAGTAGGCCAAGCGCTCTCGGTGTCGCAATTCCATGACTTCACGGTCGTCGGCTGTGAAGAAGTAGGCTTTTCGTATGTCCCTCGGCAAGCCGAACCAAACGGCGAAAACGCAGAGGATGCTGAAAATCCCCTCGATGATGTACACCCATCTCCAACCGGCCATTCCAGCAACACCATTCATTTGCAGTAGGCCGTATGCCAAGAGACCACCGACTGCTCCCGATATCGCAGTGCAGGATACAAGGTATGCTGTCCTTTTCGCTAGCTCCTCTCGCTTATAAATCGTAGTTAAGTATAGGTTCAGGGACGGAAATAGACCGCCTTCGCAAGCTCCAAGGACCAGACGGCAGGCATACAGACCGCTGACGTTGTGGATCAGACCATTGGCAATAGTGGTCACCGACCAGATGACGCAAAGGACCGTAAGCAAATTGCGAGGTTGATAGCGCTTTGACAAAATAACCATAGGGATCTCCACTGGAACGTATGTCGCGTAGAAAATGGATACGGCAGTCGAGAACTGTTGAACCGTAGCCCCAATCTCCTTAGGCATTCCCGCAACCTTCACATTCCCTGTTGCGCGCGATGTCAGCCATGCCTCAACGGCATCTAAACATTGAGTGTGCGACATACCAATATTCGCTCTGTCAATGAAGCAGGACAAGTAGACAATAAAACAGACGGGTGTGATGAACAAGTCGAGCTTTCTCACCACCCTTCTCTCCTTGATGGGGTCTATCTCATTGTCCAATACCTGTCCCTCGACATTGCTGCTTGTGTCCCCGGAGAGGGGAACGTCGTTCTTGGTTTCCATAGCTGGTACAGGTCTCAAGATGGAGAGGACTCGATGTATTTCTCAGGCTAATGCTGAAGCAGCGTCAATTGCTAAGGCAAGGTCTAGCTAGACCGGCGTAGCTGAAGTCTCGAGTCTCTGAGAGACCACTGATGTGATGTATAAAACTTTGAGCTCGAGAGGACACGGAGCGGAGAGGTTCGCCGGGGCTTCTTTCGTTACCTCTCGAACCCCCACTTGTTGTTTGAGTGCTCATATCATTCCACGGACGTGAAGATTGGGATCCCCCAACCATTGGCCATGCCGTGCGGAGAGTGGTCTATGCTTGGGCCTCTTACTCAGGGCCGCACCTTGGGCCTGTCCCACCAAAACATTGCCACTGCGATCGGGAATCGAGCCCGCCCATGCATGGGTGCGTGTCGCGGTTGGCTTGGCCTTACGCTTCTGCATGCTATCGCCCCCAACAAGACATCGGAATGTCGAATGTCCGCCAAGTAGATGACTAACATAGCAAGGTAGCGCTTGGACACCGATCGAGACCGCCGCGTTGCTACTGTACGGCGCGGTCTTGCGGAACTGGCTTTGTCGTCCGTGGACTTCGGGGCGCAGTCCTGTACCGCTTGCCCGCGCGTACAGTACGTAGTGCACACGCTGGTTGGTTGCATTCGGGCAAATTCCGACAGTTCACAGGTATTGTACATGGCCGATCTGAGAAGCCGGGCACATGGACCAACCCAGCATATCGGGGACGCAGGCCGAGGCGATGTTCTCCGCTGGCCATTCCCCGCACAACGTACGTACAGGAGACACAACGTATCGACTTCTGTTGGAAGCATGGCCCGAAGAGCGGCGTGCTACGCAATGACAACTACCATCCTAATGTGAGCTGCTGTGAAGCACATTTACCAGTACCTGTCTTTGGGTGATGCGCTTATGTCTGGCCGGTTGTGATAAATCCACAAGCATCCCAAGGCCAGGCCCCCGCCGGCCGACACGTCTCTACGATGATTGAAGTTCCGCTCACCATTTGACTTGGACTAGTAAATCACTGCATCTGCAACAGATTCACACGACGCCAACCATGGGCTCCGTTGAACCGCTCTCCCGGGGCTACATCCGAGTCGCCATAGGTACGGACACTGTGAGCACCTGCGAGGGCCGCCAGCTAGCTAATACAGCAATAAAGACAGGGGAGGGACATTCACTGATGTCCATGCGTACATCCCTAATGTGGCTGGGAGCGAGCTCATCCTCAAGCTGTTGTCGGTAGATCCTCGGAATTATCAGGATGCCCCAACTGAAGCTATCCGGCGCGTACTCTCGCATTTTCGAGGCGCCGATGTGTCACGAAGTGAGCCCCTGGACATTTCGGAAGTTGAGTCGATCCGAATGGGGACAACAATTGCCACAAATGCCCTGCTTGAGAGGCAAGGTGAGCGAGTGGCTCTCTTGATCACCAAAGGCTTCAGAGACCTCTTGGTCATCGGCAATCAGGCAAGACCACATATTTTCGATCTGAGTGTCCAGAAGCTCCACAACCTCTACGAAAAGGTCGTTGAGATTGATGAGCGAGTCACCATGGAGGAATTTCTAGAGAACCCGGAGAAAGTTCCAATTGATATCAGTCAAGATGATGCCCTTGTGGAGGGAATCACCGGAGAGCCTGTGAGAATCCTCAGGCGGCCCGACATGGAAGAAATCCGTGAACAACTTGAGCATCTGAAAAGGGAGAGCTTCAAAAGCCTCGCACTTTGCCTGATCCATTCATATATATACCCGAACCACGAGCGTGAGATTGCACTGTTAGCGAGGAGCATGGGGTTTGACGTGTCTGTGTCATCAGAGCTGCAGCCTACGGTATGATATCTTCGAATTGTCCACAAGATGTACCGCCGGTTTCTAACGACTTCACAACGGCATAGATAAAGATGGTGTCCCGGGGAAACTCAGCGACGGCGGATGCTTACCTGTCGCCCTTGATCCACCGATATGTGAGAGACTTCAGCACCGGATTCAAGGACGGAATGGCGGCGGTAGCCCCCAAGCTTCTGTTCATGCAGAGTGATGGTGGTCTTTGCTCCTGGAAGAACTTTTCTGGTCTGCGAGCCATTCTCTCGGGACCAGCGGGCGGGGTTATAGGATATGCTCAGTCGTGCTTTGACCCGGCAACCGGGACGCCAGTGATCGGCTTCGACATGGGTGGAACGTCGACCGACGTGAGCCGATTCAGTGGCAAGTACGACCATATTTTCGAGTCTGAGACCGCCGAAGTCACCCTGCAGACACCGCAGCTGGACATAAACACCGTCGCTGCTGGTGGCGGCTCGATCCTGCATTGGAAGAATGGGCTTTTCGCAATTGGGCCCGATGTGAGTCAACGCAAACAAATCGCCTGTCAATGTGCTTGATGCTGAGCCTGCAACCCAGTCTGCTGGCGCCCATCCTGGCCCGGTATGCTACCGTAAAGGTGGACCCCTGACTGTCACAGATGCCAATCTGTTTCTGGGCCGTCTACGACCAGAATACTTTCCTGCCATATTCGGCCCAGATGAAGACCAGGCCCTTGACTATGATGCGACTGCGGCGGCCTTTACCCAATTGACAGCCGATATCAACAGTGAGGAGAGGATGAACCTGACCCCGGAAGAAGTTGCCAGCGGCTTCCTCCGCGTCGCAAACGAAAGCATGAGCCGACCCATACGCTCACTGACAGAAGGGCGAGGAATCAGAACATCGGATCATATGCTCGCTACCTTCGGTGGTGCCGGTGGCCAGCACGCATGTGATGTTGCCGAAGCACTGGGGATCGAACGAGTCACAATTCACCACTTCTCTTCCGTTTTGTCGGCATTTGGGATGGCCTTGTCAGACCTTGCGTACGAATTCCAACAGCCGCGCGCTGCCGTACTTTCACAACTGAGTGAGGAGCAACTCGAGGCCGAATTTGGTGCCATGTCAAATGAGGCTGTCCACGGACTCAACGCGCAGGGGTTCACAGACAGCTCCATTGAGTTCGAGTTCTTCCTCAACCTGAGATACAAAGGAACTAACAGCACGTTAATGATTCGAAAGCCGGTCGACGATTGGGACTTCTGTCGTGTCTTTCTGGAGCAACACCAAGAAGAGTTTGGCTTCACGCTCGATCGGGAGATTCTGGTCGAGGACATTCGCGTACGCGCTTTAGGAAAGACGTCGGGCCTTGACCTCACGAGCGTGAGCGAGGCTATGAAAGGTACGGCCTTGCTCTCGGTAGGGTCCGATAAAGCCGTCAAGGAAACTCGATTGTACACTGGCGCTAGCTGGCAGGACGTTCCACTTTACAAGCTCGAGGATCTTCCTACAGGGGCCAGGATTGCGGGACCGGCAATAATACTGGACCAAACACAAACGATTCTAGTTCAGCCAGCGTGGTCCGCAACATGCCTTTCTCGACATCTGGTGCTCGAGAAGGAGGTCGGTTTGAAGAATGCATCTCAATTAGAGAACGATGATTTCGTCGACCCAATTCAACTCTCTGTGTTTGGACATCGCTTCATGAGCATTGCCGAGCAAATGGGTCGATCCCTATCAAAGACGTCGGTCTCGATCAACATCAAGGAGCGCCTCGACTACTCATGCGCCGTCTTCTCGCCTTCCGGGGGCTTGGTCGCTAATGCTCCGCACATCCCGTGTCATCTGGGTGCAATGGGGCATGCTGTCGCTTATCAAGCCGAGAAATGGGGCAATGCTCTGCGGCCGGGGGACGTACTCGTCTCGAACCATCCCGCCTCGGGTGGTTCGCATCTTCCTGACATCACTGTTATAACTCCAGTGATAGACGAGCTGACAAACGAAGTGCTATTCTGGGCCGCTTCGAGGGCTCACCACGCTGACATTGGCGGTATTGCGGCCGGGTCTATGCCACCGCACTCCAAGGAGATATGGCAAGAAGGTGCCTCATTCACCTCGTTCAAGTTGGTTGACGGCGGCGTCTTCGATGAGCAAGGCCTGATGGAGATCCTCCTCACTAAGCCTGCGAGCTACCCAGGCTGCACTGGAACTCGCACCTGGTCCGATAATCTCAACGATGTGAAAGCCCAGATTGCAGCCAACACCAAGGGCATCAGGCTCATTAGAGAGGCAATCAAGGAATATGGGTTATCGACGGTTCAGGTTCGTCCGCTCCGTCTAAGTTCCGTCGCAGAAGCTTACCGACCCCGCTAACGTTACCACTGGTGTAGAAATACATGGTTGGCATCCAGGACAACGCGGAAAAGGTCGTTCGAAGCCTCTTGCGACGTGTCCATGACCAATTTAGCGGGTCGCCTCTTGAGGCGGAAGACCATATGGACGATGGGTCAGTCCTAAAACTCAAGATCAACATTGACCGAGAAAGAGGCTCAGCCACGTTCGATTTCACGGGTACGAGCAAGGAAGTATATGGAAACCTCAATGCACCTAGGGCCATAACCTTCAGTGCCATCATCTACGTGCTTCGCTCGCTTGTCAACGAAGACATCCCTCTCAATCAAGGCTGTTTGACGCCGATCAATGTCGTTCTGCCGGCGGGAACCATCTTGTCACCATCACTTGGAGCAGCAACCGTCGGCGGCAACGTTGAAACGTCTCAGCGTGTAACAGATCTAGTTCTTCGGGCATTCCAGGCTGCGGCGGCTAGCCAAGGGACTTGCAATAACCTCTCCTTTGGCTACGGAGGGCAGATTGTGGACGGGAACCCTGTACCTGGCTTTGGCTACTATGAGGTGAGAAACCCCAATTGCCCGCGACAATCAGCCGATGGCTCTTGAGCAACTTACACTGTCCGTCAAGACAATCGCGGGCGGGGCCGGCGCCGGCCCGGACTGGAATGGACAATCTGGCGTCCACGTGCACATGACGAATACGCGCATAACAGATCCAGAATCGTTAGAGCGGCGATACCCTTGCATTCTACGCGAGTTCAGCCTGCGCAGGGGCTCCGGCGGCGAAGGTTTACACGACGGCGGCGACGGCTGCATTCGAGATATTGAGTTCCGCCGAGAAGTCGACGTCAGTGTGCTCAGCGAACGGCGCATAGTAAGACCCTTTGGGCTCTGTGGCGGCGAACCGGGTTTGCCCGGTGAAAACATCTGGATACGAACGGACGAATTTGGCACCAGAGAGATCTTCCTTGGCGGGAAGAACTCTTGTGTCATGAAGAAAGGGGATCGCATCATTATAAGTAAGTTCACGCTTCTTGCAATCCCCGGCTGGTTCACCCAGCTCCCATTTATTTTCGGCCTGCCAAACTGTCGCATGTCTCGAGAATTGGGGTGATTGCTAATTATTTGGCCAAAAGGAACGCCTGGAGGCGGTGGCTACGGAAAGAGTTGATTACGGGTGCCCACTGTACATGTACGGTTGCACTCGACAACCGGTACTTGAAGTATGACAACACCGCCCACTGCCGGATGTCAGCCAGATCTGCCTTAAGGCATGTGTGAACCAACGATTTGCTTTCAACTTCTATATACACTTCAGATGCTACTTTGCTCTGAAAGGCAATCCAGCTGTTTGATCACGCCGTGCGTCCTGGTTACCTCAAAACAAGCCGTGCGAAGTAGCATTGAAGAGGTTCTGGTAAGGCACGGGTATTGGCAGCCTGGGTGCATCCTCGGGGACACTATCCAGCCAATCCTGAATCATCCAAGGATGGTTGGTGACATCTACTACGCCATCCTCTTTTTGCCATTCAAGGATAGCCTCCATGTCAGTGCATCTCCTGTTGACGCTGAAGTCGGCCTGAGGATACTGCATTCCCTCAACCCAGTTATACGTTACGGCCTCTAGCGTTGCTGAGCACATGAGATGTTGAAGTAGTATGTGGGCGCAGTGCATTACATGCGGACGCCAAAGCACCCTTGTTGCCTCATCGCCATCTCGTAGCCGCGAATAAATCTCCTCTGGATAGGTCGCCTTGCGTAGCATATTGAGGCAGTGGATGCGGTGTGCTACGTCCGTTCGTGACACATATACCTCGTCACCGTAACCCCAGCTTCTCGGAGCTTTGACCGTATATTTGGGGTTCTTGCCAAGCTTCTTCACCTCCTCTTTACTCAGTAGCAAGTAGTGGAACTTGTAAAGTCGGTCCCAGGCGGCATCTACCTCTGCGCTAGGCCCCTGCTTGAAGATTGATATAGGGAAGGTTGTTCCGACGAAACTGCCGTCAACCTGGACATCTTTGAGCGGAAGTTCGACCCGATCAAGATAAGGGGCTGTGACGTAGTCAGTGCTTGTGAACCTGGGCTTCTTAGAGCTGATATTTTGGTGCATACAGTAGTATGATGTCTGTTTTAGAAGATGATTCTTGTTTGACGTGTATTCCCATTTGACGTTGGGAACGGCCTGTACAGGGGATTGGCCAAGTCGTATGAAAAGGCCAAGTATAATACCAACGCAACAGAGGTTCACGATGCCCAGGGCGAGTGGTATCCACCTCCTCGGCTCTGAGGCCAAGGCCTTGTCTTCAGCGACCGGACAATCTTGAACGTCCTCATCAGCACTGGATACCAGTGAGTTCGATGGATCGCTGGTTGAAAGGCGTGAGTATGAGTTGAGGTCAAGCATTGTGTCTGAGTAGGTAGACGTTACTGAGCTTAGCTGGAGGAGGAAGCTGGGCAATGCAATACAGATGTCCAAGATGATATGACCGCAGTGAAGTCACCTTCTTCAGCCCTTAGCCCGGCCCGTCCCTTCAGTATAAGCGAAAAGCGAGGCACCCAATAGTTTGTATCACAACATCCGAGGTTAGAGTGGGCGACCTTCCCGATGAAGCTACCTGCAATGCAGCAAGTTCTTGCCTATTACATGACGAGAATGCAATGATTCCATAGCAGGACACCGTGCTCCAAGCGAATAGGCCAATGAAGCAGAGCAGAAATACCCTGGAACAGGGAGCTTGCTGCCACAGTCAGGCTAATGCAGCATGGCACATCAGGGCTTAGAGGCGATTGGGGTGGCTCATATACCGAAGGATCCGCACTAGAAAAACACCCAAATCAGCCAGAAGCACTAGTCTCGTGAGCGACAACTCAGTGAACACAGGTCAGTCACCTTCATACTGAGAGCGTAGGCATCGTTGTCACGATATCGTACCCACGTTCACAGCCGGTTATAGGACTGAAAAGTAATTGGTGGATCATTCACTGATCATCGGAGCGAGCATCCTACGATTGCATTTCCGAGTCTCGCGGCTTCTTCATCCGGCTAGAACGAGATTGTGGTAGAAGGATCCCTCTTGTTTGCCTCGGCGTTCGGCTTCCGTCCAACTCTGAGCCTTGGGGCTATCGTTAACTCTTCTCTCGTTCTCGTAGTATAAATGAGACAGGCCCTTGCGCCCATGACGGCATCTAACAAGCCAGCACCGTTTCAATCTATACCACTTCACACCAAAAAGAGAACATCTTACTCGCAAATATGAAGTTTACCGCGGCACTCCTTATATCTTGTGCGACCTTCTCGATGGCTGCCCCTGTGGCTGATGGTACTCCGTGCCCATTATTCATTCCCCTATCTAATACCGAAATGCTGCTAACTTCTCCATGTTCTGGTCACAGGGGGTCCCGTCGTTGACGTTTACTGCCTCATTGACAAGCGTGATCCTGCTGCTGGATTCAAACGATGCCCAGTCGCTTCGGGCCAGGAGGCTCGGGCTGTGGATTTCTACTGCATCATCGACAAGCGCGACTTGAACTCCCCCATCAAGCGGTGCGGCCCTACCCCGCCCTCAGAGTAGTTTGTACAGCTGAGCCAAGCGGACTGATGTGACTTACTGTCTTCTGTCATCTGAGGAGATCAACCCGGGGCTCAAGACCCGAGTTGAGAGGGCAATCGTCTACCATGTGCCATAGCAAAAGAGAACCAGCTCATTTAGATATGGCAATGTCAGAAAAGTGGAAGAATGAAAGTGGCTATGAAGTGAAGTCCGTCTTAGATCAATGTAGCCAAGGGTAGGCCTCCACACGAGCACCGAAGCAGTAAAGCGATGGTACGTATTAAAGTCGTATTAAAAAGAGGCCGAACTACTCCTTATCAAGCCTCACAGTGAAAGACCTGTTGCCGCTTTGCCCAAAGCTCTCCACGTGACCTGGTGAGAACTGAACTGGCTGATCATGAGCCAAGAGCATAGTATGAATGTTGTGGACAAATTGCCGTGGTTTACAGAAGGCGGTTGCAGTTGTTGAAAACGATTGCGCCGTTGCCCTGCGTGAGAATTAGGGTCAGTGAGCTCGTCGTGAACCGACTGGACCACGAGGGTTTGAGGGTCTTACAGCGTTGTTTCCGATGCCGCAGCAGTAGGTCTCTTGCCCACATGTCTCACCGAGAACTGAGAGAAGACAGTTGAGAAGGCCGTTGCAGCAGAGAAGGCTGCCTCCGGAGTTACTGCACTCATCGCGGGCGGCAATCTCGCGAGCGCTGACCTCGGTGGGAACAGCGGCGGCGGCGGCTCCAAGGGCCAGGGCCGAGATGATGGCGGAGAATCTCATGATGTTGTGAGGCTGCTGTCACCCTGGGGTGTGATAAGATGCGAGTATGCCCGATACGAGTGAGAGAGTGAGAAGTAAGAAGTCAGCGTGAACGCGACAAACCACTTCCGAGGACGCACGTACGGCCCTCTTTATAGAAGTTCGCCTCCTATCTACCTTACATATTGCGTAAACTAAATCAACAGCGCATCAGGCCGTCGCAAACACCAAGTCGCTGCCCGAGGGCTGGAGGCCGGGGCGTCGGATCTCCTGCGAGTGAGGCTCATCCCGTTTGATCCGCCGAGATCCTGCCGCCCGGAGAGTGCTAAGAAACGATGATGCCACAGTGTCTTTTGCCTTCAACCAGACAGCAACGGGCAATGATGGCGTCAAACGTTGGAAACAGCTTGCGGGCGGCTTTGCGCGCAGCGCTTCGATCGCTGTGCGCTGACATGCAGTGCAGCGATGTGAAGGCGACGGTAACCCCAGCTTCCGACTGCCGACCAGTGGGTCAGCTAGCTTGGGAGCTTTGAGACCGGGAAAGACGGGGAAATCGGGACTGTGTGTTAGCCAACATCCCATCAGGGTGCGGAATACATTTGTGAGTTGCTCTGGGTCAACTTTAACCAAATTCGGGCAGCAATGGAGGCTGCTGAGGTTGGCTGTGGCGCCATCCGTTGTCCATTTCGGTCCCCCGCTTCCAGGCCGTTGACGCTGGTGGCAGACAAGTTCGGGAAGGCAGTCAATTAACTGTCGGGCCGCATTCCAACAATCGTCAATCGCCCAGCAGACTCAGTGCAGCATTTGGGCCATGCCGTCTGAGTGGGAGTTGGTAAAACACGACGGCAGCACGAGAAGATTTGTCGCAATATGCGCCGGCACGAAACGCTCTCGTGCTGTCCGCTTACGTTGTGGCACGCCACGACCAGAATTGCTGTGCGACCGATGTTCCGCTGGACCATGACTTGCAGCACGTCCCGGAGCCGATCGGCCGAAATGGCCTTGGAACACCACTATTTTGACTCACGTTCCATGTGGGGTAACGGCGGACGCCCTCAACATCAAATCGTCTGCTTGTCGGTCCAGTCCAGGCCTTCTCTCTCTCTCTTCGTTAGGTTAATAATTGCGGATACAGCGGCGTCAGGCGTAAGTTACAGCGTTACGTTCACTGCTGGCGATGAGAAGGCTTCCATCGACGTGGAACATGCCAGAGAAACACAAAATGCAACGTGCGGGGCACACTCACTAAATTCCTGTGAGCTCGTGCAACTGGTGAGTGGTTCACTGCTGATAAGGTTCCGGGTGGCGCGCGGGATCGTTGGCAAGCCTACCCCAGTGTGGCCGCGGTGTGGCCACGGAGGCACCAGTGAAGCACCATTCTCGTTTGTGGCACCGTTGGGTTATATCCCATTAAACAGGTGGAGTTGGCGAGCGATGGAACGCGGTATTTGCGTCCTGGGACAAAGGAAGCTGTCGCCGCGCCAGCTGCGTTTCCAGATGTTATGGCCCCAGGACGGCCTGGTTGATCTGCGAGGCCCAGACTTTTACGCTGACTGGTCACTGTGAGTGCCCGCTCCAGGCGAAGCATGCCCTGCAGCCACCAACGGCGCCGGACCGTCCTGGACTCCTGGCGCCTACAGTGGACTCCACGCTCACAACCTGGTGAGAAGCCATTCGCGACACGCAAGTCTGCCATCGCAAGACAGAAACTTGTCGCTGTGCCAGATTGATTGAAGAGATGCTCCAAGTCTATTAGATAGGATTAAATGTAGATGCGGATACAAAATTAAAGCGGTAATTAAGTCCGTAAGGCAATGCGCCTTCTCCGAGGGGTGAGGGCGGCATCAATCGTCCAAGCCACCAGGAAATTCTGCCCTTCTGGGCCGACCTTGTTTCCATAGCTTACAAGAAAGCGGCCACGCCGCAGAGGAAAAGCAGTCCCAGCGCAGGGTACACACGCTGGCTACCCGCCGTGACAATGGGCGTAGATGCTGAGCCCGTAGTCGTTGGGGCAGCCGTCTTGGTGGCCGAGGCCGTCTTCGTGGGTTCGGCCGAGCTGGCGGCAGAGCTAGCGGCACTGCTGGCCGCGCTGCTGCTCGTGGAGCTGCTGGGAGAGCAAGCAGCCTTGCACTGCTCAAACTCGGAGACGCAGGTCGAGATGTTGGCGCCAGGCCGTCCCCGGCACTCATTCTCCGTCGTCTGGCACTTGGCAACGCATTGGTCGCCGCCGGAAGACGCCGTAGTGGTGGCTTGGGTGGTGCGAGTGAGGGTGGTGCTCTGGTCAGGGACCTTGGTAGGCGTGGTGACAGTCGCTGCGCTGCTCACAGACTTGGTCGCGGCCTGGCATCCGGACTTGCACCTCTCCAGTTCCGAGGCGCAAGTCGAAATGTTTGCGCCAGGCATGGTGCGGCACTGGTTATCGGATGTCTCGCAGATCTTCTGACACTGGGCGTCGATGACGGCGACTCCAGGGTCGGTCGCTGCCTGCACCGACAGGGCCATGCCTGCAAGGACGGCGGCGGTGAACGAGTACTTCATCTTGAGTGTTTGTTCGGCTTGGGAGATGAAATGGGTTTTTTTTTTTGGCAAGGTGAGCAGTGTGATGGCCAATATTGATGATCAAGAAAGAGAAGTGTCATTAATCGCCATCAATCAAGTCGGCTCTTCAGTCTTATACCTACAGACTAGAGCGACCGCCAGGCGTGTATTTTGAGATGGTTATGAATGCAGACAACATGCCGATCGAACGAAAACAGTCCCAATGCCACCTCCTGCCGCCAAGTTGCAAACGTGACCTTGGTGGCAGTGCCGCGCGCGAGGTCGTCTACACCACAACAGGCGGATCGCCGGGGCTAAGCGAGCGCACGAAGGGCGGCGGCTGGACAACTGCAAACCACCGAGCGCTCGTGCAGGCCGTTCGGTATGTCGCTGCAAACAATAGCAACAAGAGCGACGAACCGAGCCACGGTGTCTCGGTGAGGAATGCGCGTTACCACGGAAGACCCCACATGCGTCGCCCTTACGCAGGGCAGATTCGCGCATGCCCAGGAACAGAGGTGTCATCCGAGACACTACGATGACATGCGGGCAGCCCGTCTTGCCCGTCTCCGGGAGCAACGAGCTGAGATCGCCATTGTGATGGAGACATCATGTCACGGGTTTTGCATCCGGACGGATCTTCGAGTTGCACGCGTACTCTTGGGATGTTTGCAATTCGGCAGCATCATTCGCCTCCCAGCTGGAACACCATGATGCGGTCCGGAAGCTGTGAATGACCTGCCAACTGCCAAGTGCTGGGGGCCGATTGTTGGGAAGCGCCATCCCCTGTGCGCTGGCTGCAGCTTCCAGGGGCCGATCAAATGATGGGCTTGCGCTTCTGCACCAAACGCCCGCGGCTGCTGCTGGTCGTCCACGGATGGGATGGCGATGCGAGCATGCCAAAGCATTCGAGCGTGCTGAACAGGCGCTTCGCGTCTTATTTTCCGCCTTTCGGGTGTTGATTTAATTGGACATCGAAGTACACAACCTCAATTGCAACGGTTGCGTTTTCTACTGCGGAGAGACAGATCATGTCAGAGAGCAATAGAGGGAAAAAGGGCCACCAAGCCTGGCAAAAGAAGCGTCCTGCAAAATGCCCTTCCATGTCATCATTTGCGGCGCAGGGCTTGCTGGACTCGGAGCGGCCATCGCGCTGCGACGAAAGGCCCACAAAGTCACCGTCCTCGAGGCTGCACAGCAGCTTTCGGAGATTGGAGCTGGCATCCAAGCCCCTCCCAACAGCTGCCGTGTCCTGGAGAGCTACGGCATCCTTGATGACCTTGTCCGACACGTGGTGAGGCCTGAATCCATCCAGTTCAGACGGTACTCATCTGGAAAGGTCATCGGCAAGACGCCATTGCGACCTACCATGACCGACAAGTACGGATTCCCGTGAGTGACCAATACAGCACAGCCGCAGACAATGTTGTTGCGATTCTGATCTGCTGTTGAAGCTACCTGCTCATTCATCGCGCCGACTACCAGGAGTGCCTCTTCGACCATCCTGTGCGCCTAGGTGCTGTCGTACTTTTAAATAGCACGCCGACAAAGTCGAAGAGTCCGGGCCTAGAGTGTTCCTTAGCAGCGGCGAAGTGCTCAAGGCCGACGTGATTGTGGGAGCCGATGGGATTCGGTCCAGGACGAGGGCTTGCGTGCTTGGTGGCGACGATGCTTCACCCACGGCGTCATCCAACTGCGCGTTCCGCGCCACCGTGCCCCGAGATGTGATGCTGGCCAACCCAGGCACTCATCATCTCATTAATGACGTTCACGCAAATTGCTGGATCGGCTACCAAAAGCACATCATGGCCTACCCCATCCGCGGCGGACAACTGTACAATCTGGTCATGTCCCACCCTGGACACGCCTCGGTGGGCAAGTGGAACGAGGCGGGCAACATGCTCGAGAAGAAGCAGCACTATCGCACCTTTGACCCCGCGATTCTTGCAGTGCTAGAAAACGTTGACTCGAGCCTCAAATGGGAGTTGGCGGACCTGCCCGCGTTGCCGACGTGGGTGAGCAGCCAGAGTCGCGTCGTGTTAATCGGAGACGCAGCGCACGGCATGCTGCCGTACCTGGCGCAGGGTGCAGCCACCGCGACAGAAGATGGAGCCTCCCTGGCCGAATGTCTCAGCAGAGCGACCGAGGCAGAAGCGATTCCGAAGGCGCTCGCCATCTTCCACAACATCCGCAAACCTCGCTGCGAAACCATCCAGGCTCTGTCGAGGACAAATGGGGACATATGGCACCTGCCAGACGGACCCGAGCAAAACCAACGCGACCAGTTCATGACGGGGATGACAGGCCAAACCAGATCCGAGAGCGGAACTTCGGCGCAAAAGCCCAATCGTTGGTCTGACAATCAGCTTCAACCATGGCCTTTTGGTTACGATGTCATCAAGGAAGTGAGACACTCCATCCCGCAACGGCCAACGCATTTTGCAGAGAATTAGGCTGATGATGTTGTTTAATGGACGCAGGATGCTTGGGCAAGTCACACCTCGAGCCACCGCGGACAATGACCTCATTGCTATGCTTCCACGCACAATGCGTCAATGGCGCGTCGGCTCTCCCCATTGTCGGTCAACTCTCCCAAACGTACGTAGTCATGTGCAGCGAAGTTCCTGCCTCTATATGTTCAATTACATTCTATACTTGTTCTAAACTGTAACTGTTTCCAGGGTAAAAACTAAATGCTTTTCGACCTGCTTTGTTGTGTACCCGCTGAAACCATAACCTGTCACCAGACTGCTCGTAGATGTCGCTCTCATTTCCACGCATGACGAGTCTCGACCATTAGAAAATAAACAGGATGGTAGCAATGCTGACGAGAACAAGGCCAAAATGCGCCGTCGCAACATTGGCACTGTCCTCAGTCTCTGTTGGCTGAGGGTCGCCAGTCGAAGTTGGTTCATCGTGCCCCTTGGAGGTCGTGGTTGCAGCACCGAGGGGCACCCATTTGGTGTCGCGGATGACCTTGATCTTATCGCCTTTTAGTGGAGGGTCGACGTCATCTATGAGGAGGCCCTGGATCGTTTCCAGCGCGCACATCTGCTCGCCCAGCCCTGCGATGCCATCAAAGCCGTGGACGTACCAACGTTGGCCGCAGGTATGGCCATCGACGCCACCTGAGCACGAAACCGCTGCGGCCTTGGCCGAAGGAAGCAGCCATTTCTCGGCTTCGCTCCTCAGTGACGGGACGAGCTTCACTGTCTGCCAAATGAAGCGACTCAGATAGCCCTTGAATGTAGTCATGTCGGCAGTGCAGGCGTTATTTTTCTCACAAGCGGCTTCGTACATGACATTGGTGGCATTCTCGAAAGGTGAAAAGAACCACCCCGCCCCCCTCAAGAGGTTCTCCGTTCGCGTCTTCCACAACTGGTCGCCAGTATGGTCCGCCAAGATGGCTGCGCCGTACAGGTAGATGCCGCTCGTGTAAGTAAAGGAGTGGTAGTTGGTTTGGCTGCAATTGTCGCGGGAGTCTGCTCCATCGTAGACGTGGAAGCGATCCGGATCAATGAATCCAACGTCAGAGGACCAATTCCATAAACGATTTGCCCAGTCAAGGTACGTGTTGTTGTTCGTCGCGCGGGCCATACGTGCCGCTAGTTGAAAGAAGCCGCCATTGCTGACCGAGTTCTTGTAGCTCAAGCCGTTTGGGTTTGACGCATATATCTGCCACCGAAGGCCACCGCCGCAGGTTGAAGGGTCCCATCGGGAGACCAGGGCGTTGAATATGTTTGCACCGAGATCGAGCCATGACGGCAGCGACGTGTTGGGCTGGGGGAAATTGCGCTCCGCAGCAGAGAGAACAGCAGATCCCCAGAAGAACAGATCGTCGTTTCCCTCCTCTAGCTCTCGTGCTTTTGGGGTGTAGTCGTGATTTGCGCCCATGTTCACCGGGGCCAGCAAAGCTTGGAGTACGACGTCATTGTATGTTGGATCGCGGGTGTAGTAGTAGTAGTCCAGCATGGCGCCCCAAAGGGCTCCAGCCACCCACCAGTAGTACGGTTTCTGAACGTCGCCAACGTCCTGTCGGGTTCAGCATATTGCAACTCAACAGGAGAGTGCCTACTTACGACCTCATTTTTGGATACATTGCCCTTGTAATAGCCCATTGCATCGTAGGCGATGGTGGCAGCAACATTGCGAATCGAGTCTGCCTGCGCTGTCAGCCCAGCTGCCTCCATGAGGGCCTAACACTGTAGGTGGGTACTGGCCTGGGTTGGTAGTGTTCAGCGAATTAGGCGGAATGGGCGCTGTGGCCACTATTGCGGCCACGCTTGTAGCCAACCTCATGGTGAGAAGGGGTACCAAACGACAGAGCGAAAGGAAAGAGAAAACCTCACGGCCATAGCCGTCCTTTCCAAAGAGGCGACCGGCAGTGCGACAGACAAAGCGACGGACAAAATGCGGGCAAGCAGCGATTCATTAGGATGGGATCGTCGCTCAGACGGCTGGAGCTGGAATGCGGACAATACCACAGAGGGGCGGGAATGGAATGTTCAAGACCCGGCACGTCATACGAAGCTGCGTTCAATAGTACGGTCAATTCGCTGTATGGCGTTGTTCGCCCAATCGCCGGGTCACTTTGCTTCGTATAAACCCAGAAAGTTCGTCGCTCCCCCACTGCGGGGGCAGGTTTTACGACATCACTTGCCTCAATCAGGGGATCCCGTCAGCCTATTCTTGGCTCGTCTCATCAAAGTTGTCGTATCCATGGGAAGGCTCCGCCAATCAATCTCTCAGTTGTTCGCTTGAGAAGAGGAGAAGAGACGGATTTTCTAAGATTATAGGGTACTTCTGACTTCACCTGGATATGGCTTCCTCCCCCACACGACAAAACCCGGCATATACGCGTGTGTACTCGGCTCCCCAAGCCTCTGCCTCACCTCAATGAGCGACACCTGTCATAGCCGCAGTTAGCACGAAAGCGCACTCAAGACTCTCAAAATACGACGACGACGATGTGTGTGAGAGAATGTACGTACGTTGATCTCCTCAACAGTCCGGTCAAAGGCCCGGTTTAGCAGCTGGTAGGAGAAACCTGCCAAGCCTTCTAGAAGGTTGGCCCTCCACATTAGCCCGATCTCCTTGAGCCTCATGTCTCTAGCCCACCCGCCAATGGGCATCTTGATGCCTCGTTGTTGGACGTCGACAAAGCCAACTCTCTCGTACACCTCTTTGAGTGTAGCGCCGAGGATGGCGGGCCGATCGAGTTTGCCTGCTGCTTCGACCAGGTCGTTGAACAGGACAGCGACTGGATTGTCCGGAGTGAGTGTCCCGTCATCGCAGCATACGATGCTGTCGACTTCCTGGGACTCGAACCAACCGCCGGGCTCTAGCGCCTGGAAGGCTTGTTCCGCTATCTGCGTCTCGAATGATGCCCAGCAGCCAACGGTAGATCGTGTATGGATGTAGTCAAACTGGTGCGTGAAGTCCCAAGGGTCGGTCCTGGACGAGTAGGTAAGCCACTGAAGCATTGAAGGGGTTGACGGTGGAGCTGGCCGGCTGCGCAGAGTGACCGTAGTTGAACGGGGCCCTTACGAGTCTTCCACGTAGAAGTAAACGTTGGGAGGCACGTTTTCCGGCTGAATGGGGGACAAGTCTGTGGCGATGATTGTCGACCCGGGGAACAAGTCGCCCATGTCAATCGCCCAATCGCCGACACCCGTAGCAATGTCCAATATGCGAAGCGGCGGCCGCGAAGGCGAGAGAGGGGCAAAGTACAGACGGTCCCCCAGCACCCTCTTGATGCACTCGCCTTGCAGCGCAAGTCGCTCCTGTTCAGGCGCATCGTTGGGGAAGGCATATGCTTGTACGATCTGGTCAGCGAGAGGAACAGTGGCAAATACATGAAGCTCATACAGCCAGCTCGGTACGCATGGTATGTGCGGCCGAATTCTTCCGGAAAGCTCTGCACGCTTTCGGATAGGGATGCTGTGTCGCTCCTGTGGGTGTGCTGCTTAATCTCGCGTCCTTTACCCGCGGTTCGCATAGTAACTACTTACATGTCCCATGGCTGATGTCGGCGAATGAGTGGCCATGTAAGCGTGGAATCTCGTCGATATGCAGGCCTAGGAGGCACTCACTTCTGCTTCAATGGAGTTGCCTGACGTGAATGGGAGGTCAAACGTGAACTCGAAGCCCTGCAACGGCACGGCGCGCTCGCCGTCGCCGTCGCCAGCACGGCCCCCTTCGGGGTAATCGTGGCCGTCCATCTTTCCGACGAGCCCCAGCTCCAAGTCCGCTGGAGGCGGCGAAGCACCCGAGTCGAGCTAAGATGGATGGAAAGTTGGACTTGGGAGCTCGGCTGGGGCGCGGTGAACACTTGAAGAAAACTGCGAAACGTGCGTCCCTTGTCCGCTGTGCCGACTCGGGGCGAGCCGTGTCAGCGGGCTGACCGTTGACTACCGTGTTTCACCCCGAGGCAGCCAGGCTCTTTGGTGGAGGACCAGCTCCGCGTGAGCTTGCTGCGGGGCTCCGTGTGGTGGCACAAGCCCTCTGTCGTGGCTCTGGATGCAAGGGCCGGGCCTGAACCAAGCCGGCGGGATTCCCAGCAGTCTGGGACGAACCGTCCGTCGACCCATGCCATGCACGCTCAGGCCACGACGATCGACTCGCATGGAGGCTGCCAGCCGCCTTGTGGCGCGGCGGCTTGTGCAGCCCAAGGTCCTTTTGCAAAACAATGGTTGCATCCAGGGCTTTGGGCCGTGTGCTCTGCCCGCTTCCCGTTGCGCTCCAACCCGACCGCGCATGCCGCTCCGCGTCGTGGTTTCTTTTTTGCTGACCGACATTGTGGGCTGGTTTGTTGCCGCACTTGAACCTGTCCCGGCAACTCCCTGCCCGTTGTGCTTTGCACTTCCGTCAGCCCCACCGAGCCGTCTTGGGCGTCGAGCCGAATGGCTTCTGCGGCAGGGCACCATTGGCTGCAAGGCCATGCAGAGACAGGGAGGGCGGCAGAAGCACAGGAGACCTGTCATATTTCTGCGAATTCTGTCCCGCCAGATAACCCCGCCTTCCCACCCACTCGCTTCTCCTCATCCTGGCTCTGTCTTGTTCAACGGAGGTGTCTTGCTCGGAGGTCCCGGGGCAATGGTTCGCCCCTGTTCAACGGAACCTCATGAGCTGGGAGGCACGAGCACGCACGGCGAACTCGCGCTAGGTTCAATTGCCCTGGATCAGGGTCCTGTTGTCCAATTCATCACCGAACTCTAACGTGTTGTCTGGGTTTGTACACACATTCTAAACACGCATACCTTCGTCCGACGCTGCGTCAGCGCCTGTGGCCAAAGGAATCCCTAACGTGACCACCGTAGCGCTTGTCACCAAAGTCGTCGCAAAACAAGAGTGCAAGCCGTACTCATCAACAGACAGCTCGACGAGAGATCGCAGACACGACACCGTCTAGGCCCGGCGGTATTAAAGGTAGGTCGTCAGAATTGCAAGGCCGGCAAGTATCCAAAACAAGCGGAAGAGATGCGTAAAAGGCAAAAAGCTTCTTGCACGTGCAAAAAACGGCGTCGAAGTTGCTTTTGCCGTCAGGCGGCCAACGGCGTCGTATGCGGATAGCGGCGAGTTCTTCTCAGTCGCCATTGCTTCCAGCTGGACCTTGTCCTCGGGCTCGACGTAGGCTCCGGGAACGTATCGACCAGTATTCTTGACATGCCAAGCGTAGACTCCCTGAACCAGGGTACCGAGATCCGCCACGTAGTCTTTCGCCTTTTGTTGCCATTGCCCAAAGTCAGGCAACTCGCTCTGCAACTGAACAAACTCGGTAAGGTCGGCGTCGTGAACCCCAAGAGCCTTCATATAAGCATCTTTGAGCTCCAAGCCAGACTCGCGCTGAATACTGATCACAATATTGACGACGTCGCCTTCCCGTGAGAGCTCTTTGGGCAGCGATATGAAGTCGTTGTGGTACCCGATGATCCTTGCTATGAGGTCGTGCATGCGCAATACGGCGGGATGGCTGAACACCTCACCTGGAAGGTTGCGGTAATTCTCGTGTATGCACAGATATTTTGCATAGCATAAGCCTCCCGAGGTCTGCCGGCGAATTGACTGATAGACAGAGAAAGGGGGTGGCTCGTTCTTTGCGTTATAGGTCTTTTCGCGGGCATAGCCAATCATGAGTTCCACAATCGAGGAGACAAACTCGTCAAAGAGATGAATAGGCATAGAACAGTCGAGACACTCTTGTCGAATAGCATGTATTTGTCGATAGAAACCTGGTTGTGGTAGAGTTTGCTCGTCCCCATTAAGGATAGCCAGTATGCGGCGTTTGACATTGTTCAGCTCATTGGGGTCGCTGTGGTCCATTATATCATCTAATATGGCCAGAAACGCAGTGAAGCGCGCAATGGGCCGTAGTTCGTCTATGGTCAAGCTCGGAAACGCACGAGCGGCGATGTCAGTCAGTCGATGCCGCTTGTGCGCTTCGCGAGCGGACCTCGACTCGAATTGGCAGTCGGCATCGATCCATTCATAGTATTCGTCGGCCAGATCTTCGATGAATGGGCTGACCAAGTCCGGAAATGGGTACGCGGGCCGCGGCCAGTCGCGCAGCTCATGATAGATTCGGAGTTCTTTATCTTTACTCATCATGAGCAGGCATGGGACAACGTAAAGGACGGGTCATAGAGTAATGAGTGAGGAAGCGATACTGAAGATCAAGTCTCTGCTCGCCTTGGTGAACTTGGCACCTCGTGCGGCCCTTATTAAAACCCTCGTCAATCTTCACCGGAACGCCGTCATCCTTAGCCCGTATCATCATCACTCCTCGGCTAAATGCAGATACGCCTGGCTCCGAGCTATGTAGGTGCTGCGCCACTCGCCTAGGTACACCGACAACTCAACCATGTAATAGTACGATGATTTCTCATAAACGATTTGATCAGAACCCCTACGTGGGCCCCTGGCGTGCCCACATATATCTAGCGTCAATGACATCCCAAGAAATCTGCAGCCCGCCCATGATGTGTCTGGGTCCCATTGGTTACCATGCAACCGACGCACTCCAAGTCCCAGTAGTATGGCACGCTTGCTGACGCCAATGCTCTATATCTTGGTTGATCTCCGCCGAACTTGAAGTGGTTGAGCTGCTGCCGCAGTGGCCGCCGAACAAGTCGGATCACCCATGGAATCTCCACCCCGCCTATTCGTCACAAGCGAAGAAAGCTGAATCATCGTGCTTGGCCGAAGGGCATCAAATACTCCGACTCTTTGCTCGCAGTAGACATTGTTCGCCGTGTTGACCCTCGGAGCGCAGACATCCCGGGCCCTCAACACCACCACCTATCTCGGCAACCGTCGCCATGGATTTGAGTAAAGTGGATCTCTCACTGGGCAACTGCATTCTCGCATTTCTGTCAATTTGCATTCTTAACGCTTTCACCATCTCCCTATATCGGGTGACACTACATCCTCTTTCCAAGTTTCCCGGTCCCAAGCTAGCAGCAGCGTCTTATATCTACGAGTTTTGGTATGACGTTGTCCTCCAAGGGCGGTACACGCGGCATATAGCACACCTTCATGAGGTTTACGGTAGGAGCTGAGTGACGCGAACTTATTTTCGTAACTAAACGCATTTTGATCACATTATAGGTCCTCTGGTGAGAATAAATCCAGACGAGATACATTGCAATGACCCAAACTTCGTCGATGTGGTGTATTCCCATGGGAAGGCGAAGCGAAACAAGTCGACCCACTACCTTGCGGCGATGCCTTGGGGGTAGGTCTCAGCTCCTAGATACCCAACACCATCTGTACACAAGTACTAACGACGCACTTGGCAAGGCTCCGGCTGGTCAGTCAATACTTTAAAGTCAAGGATGGTGGAAACTGTCAGCGACTAATTGCGGTACATGTCTGCAGGCGAGCGTTGGGACCGCCGACCATGATCATCACCGCCTGCGTCGATCGCCAGCAAGCAAGTTCTTCTCCAGGTCACGGATAATGCAGCTCGAAGGCATGATCCACGACAAAGTTCAGCGTCTTTGTGATAAGCTATTGTCAGATGACGGCTTCAAGCCATTCCAAGTCGCAGCTGCCTACTCGTGCTTTACTACCGATGCTCTCACAAGCTACTGCTTTGGTCATAGCCTGGGAAATTTGGAAGAGCCCGGCTGGAATCCGGCGTTCAAGGGAACGATTGACCAGATCACGGGGTTATTCTACCTAAGCCGACACTTGCAACCGTTGGCGTATCTTGCGGACGTCTTGCCGCTGTAAGCCTCCCCGCCGAAACTGTAGAGGCGTTGACGCAAACAGTCCTCAGTTCAATCTGTCGCCGCATTTCGGGTGAGATTGGTGCTTTACTGGCATTAGTCAGAGTATGAACAACCCTGCCTGTGGTGCTCCGGAATGTGATCTGACGGGTGCTAGATCACGATACCGCAGCTCGTCGACAGGGCGAAGACTGCCGAGGCTGTAGACTACTCGGGGAGGTCCCGCCCGACAGTCATTCAAGCCTTGCTAGATTCCGATCTTCCTTCCGCCGAAAAGACACAAGACAGGCTCATAAGCGAAGCCGTTGCCATGGTTCTTGGTGGAACGCACAGTATATCTACAGTACTCACGATTGCAACGTTCCACTTACTCAGCAAGCCGGCCATGCTCGGAGCGTTGCGCGAGGAGCTTTTGGCGGCCGTACATGACGAGACTCAGCTGCCGACATGGGCAAAGCTCGAGACTCTTCCGTATCTCAGTGCTGTAGTGCTCGAGTCGCTGCGGCTGATGCATGGGGTTGCCAGTCGCATATCTGTCGTCGCCACGGACGAGGAGCTGGATTACGTTGGGCAATGGCAACAACCCAGTTCATCCACGATCACGGAGACATCGTACTCAATTCCGCGGGGCTACGCCGTGGGAGTATCGGCATACATGGTTCATACCAACCCCACGCTCTTTCACGATCCCTCTTCGTTCCTTCCAGAGCGGTGGCTCGACGCCGACGGGCAAAGGACGAAGGGGTTAGAGAGGCACATATTGTCTTTTGCTAAAGGCAATCGCCAGTGCGTTGGGATGCAGTGAGTACTTTGCCATGAACGTTGAAGGACCCTGGGTTAACCGGCACACACCAGCTTGGCTTACTGTGAGCTGTACATTACAATAGCGGCGTTGGCCCTACGCGTCTGGCCTCGGATGAGCCTCTATGACAGCACGATAGCGGACATCGAGTACGATCACGACCAACTCATTGCGATGCCGAAGAAGCACAGCAAAGGCGTTCGAGTAATCGTCTCGTAACCTCCTGTTCAATGCCAATGGGAGTTTGTCTTGTCGTGCAAGACTCCATTGGAAGCCTTGCCCCGCTCGGTAGGGGTTCAGCGGCAAGGGTTCGGCGACATGCTGCCCGACAGAGATCACGCATAGGCCATCAGGAACTGCGCCGTCCAATTGGCATGAGCGATAAAACAATGACGCGCACGCATCAGACTGGCTCTCATGGCCGGCGCGACAAGGGATATAAGCCTTGCGATCTTGGACAACGTTGGATTGAGTATGTCGGTATGGAGGTCCGTGGGCATGATGTGAGTATGTATGGCTTCCATCGGGCCGTAACGCGGTGGATGGACGGAACCAGTAGCCTCGCTATTCCGCCCCGGCCCTGACACAGTGTATCAGGTGCTAGCACGAATCTCTTTCTGCAAAACATGTCTTCAGTGTGGTACTGTGCTGTACAGTGTCATGCACCTGGTTCTTGACGGCACTTCCATAGACCAAGCGGCGCAGCTTGTTGCCTGCCCGTGTCCATCTCACTAAGCTACTGAATCGGGCAGGGGGACCAACGGCCCGAAGTTCAGCTCTGTTGTGCGGAGTTGTTCAAGCATTGAACCTGGACCAGCCACTCATGCGTCGTACAGCACCGCGCGGTGTGTAACCTGAGAGACGTCTGGTTGGTCTTCTTGAAGCTGGGCAGCAGGTGCTACCAACGTCGGGCGTGTTGGTTGCTTACGAGGAGCTTCGGCTACATTTCACCAACAACCGCATGTGCACGGTGGCCGAGCTTGGCTTCTCCCGCTTCCCGTCGGCGTCGTGTCGAATCAAGGCTTCTCTTAAAATGCACGGCGCGTCGCACACTGTTTGGCTAGATTCTCTAGATGTGACGAGCGCGAGAGTTTTGATGAGCATAAGCTGACCTGAACGATGGCGCGCAAGAGCTTGTTGACATACCTGGAGCTGCCCGTCAAGCCCGGACAGGTTGAAGCGACGGCGCTGCTCAATTGGGATGTGCAGCCGATTGAGAAAGAGCGGCGGACATGGGGTATGAACTCGCCGTTGCGCGAAGCATCGTGAGGCGCACCTGCTGACCACGAGATGTAGGATGGACGGCCTTCCTCAGCATGTGGAGCACCGGGGCGTTCTGCATGAGCAACTTCCAGATTGTAAGTGACACGACGGCGTTGCATTGCAGCTGTTTCGTCTGATCTCGTCTGCTAACTACTGCGACCAGGGCTCGAGCATGCTGAGCTTGGGGCTGAATTGGTGGCAAGTCATTGTGCTTACACTGGTCGGCCACATCCTCGCCGTATCGCTCATTCTGGTGTCGGCGTGGCCTGGGTTCGAGTACGGCATCCCGTTCCCCGTGGCCACGAGAGCTGCTTGGGGTAGGGTCTCTTGACGCGCCAAGTGTTGCCTGAAGAGAAGACTGACGAGTTTGCAGGGCACTTTGCGACACCCTTTGTGGTGCTGAACCGCGTGCTCCTCTCCGTCATCTGGGGCGGCATCCAGGCATGGCAGGGCGGCCTCATGACCTACGTCTGCCTGCGTGCCATGTTCCCATCCATTGACCGCATCCCCAACACCCTCCCAGCAGGCACGGGGACGAACCTGCCCCAATTCGTTGGCTTCATCGTATTCTTCTTGATCCAGATACCCATGCTTTTTCTGAGCCCCAAACGTCTGCGCTATTTGGTCTGGGCTGGAGCCATTGCCGGATTCGTGGTTCAGCTGGGTCTCACCATTTGGGCTGTCGCAACCATGGGCGACGCAGGTTTCGGCGCGGTTCTGCACGACGGAAAGGAAGGTGCATTATCGAGTTCTCAATTGGGCTGGGCGTCCATGTTCTGCATCTGCCTTACGATCTCCAGCATCACCAGTCTCTCGATGAGCATCTGCGACTACACTCGCTACAGCCGGTCGGTTAAATCAGGTGTATGGGGCCAGGCGCTGTCTTGGATCCCCATCTGGCTGGGCAACATCTTCGGGATCCTAACCGTCGCGGCCACGCAGCGGCGATTTGGCGCGGAGCTGTGGAGTGTTATCCAGCTCTTGATGGCCATGCAAGACGCCTCTCCGACTTCCGGCACGCGGGCGGCCGTCTTCTTCTGTGGCCTGGCATTCCTGGCGGTGCAGCTGGGCCTCAACATCACCGGAAACATCTTCTCCGGCGGCACGGATCTGGCTTCTCTGTTGCCGAGATACATCAGTATCCGCCGCGGACAGTTCATCGTCGTTGCTGTTTCGCTCGCCATCAACCCGTGGTATCTCGTCTCCGCTGCCGCCGTCTTCCTCAGCGTCATCTCGGGCTACACCATCTTCATTGAGCCCTTCCTCGGAATCTTGACGGCCAACTACTTTATCCTGTTCCGGCACAAGTTGAAGATTGAGGACCTGTACAAGTACAAAGACTCCATCTATTTCTACGGGTGGGGTGTCAATTGGCGGTCTGTCGTCGCGGTATGCTCACTCCTTCTCATGCTCTGCCACCGCCGCAGGGCCCATTCGCTGTTCTGAGCTAACTCCATGACTTGTCAAGTGGGTGTGCTCTGTTGCCCCGCACCTCCCTGGCTTTGTGAGCTTTGTGACCCCGAAGCTGGCGATTACTACGGGGGCTCGACAGCTGTATTACATTGCGCCTTTCACGAGCTTCTCCATTGGTGAGTGCCGTCTACTTGGCGACGGGCAAGCTTGTGTCTGAGAGCGTACACTAATCCTGTCCAGCATTTATTGTATCCCTCGCGCTTGGTTACTTCTTCCCGGTCGCGTCCCAAGAGGCGTTTTTGCGCGAGACGACGAAGGCCGAGGCTTTCCGGCGCAAAGAAAACTTCATCGCTCATTTGACCACTGGCAGGGGTCTATCGGAGGATATGATGGATGAGAAGGATCCGGATGCCACGAGCGTGAGGTACTGACAGACAGAAGAACATGAAGCCAGTCCGATGATGTGCTGCCCTGGATAGCACTGCGACCTCATCTAGTTACTGCCCGATGCTGGAATAGTTCCATATAGCAGCAAAAACCAATTTGCCGTACACGCCATTCCTCCATGCTAAGTTGTGTCATGAGCCAGACTTGACGTGGTGGCCATCACGCAATGCTGCCGTTTAGATATCGCGACACAGCCTCGGGCCAAGCTCTCGAAAGCCGTTTTGTTTGTAAAAGCTCAGCGTGCGACTCCATTTCGGCTGAGCCGGTGCGCAAACCTCCAGGCGCTTCCATCCTCGCTGCTGCGCCTGAGCCACTGCAACGTCAATGAGACGAGGCGCCACGCCCTGCGACCGCATGCGCGGGCAGACGTATAGCTCCGAGACTTCGCCAAACTTTCCGCCGGCGTAGATGGCCGTGCACTCATTGATGGTGACGACGCCGACGGGCTCGTCGTCCACGTATGCGAGTGCTGCAGTCACAGTCGGATCGCCAATGACGTCGGTTGCAGTGCGGGTAAGGCTTTCGACGTCGGGGCCCTTTCCGCTCCAGAGCTCATCCAAGAGGCCAAAAAGAAGGCTGGCGACTGTTTGTGCGTCCGCCGGTCCGGCCAGGCGGGTCTTGACCTCCGGCATGTTGCTTGATTGTGCTTGCTGAATGAGGGTTGACGACTTCTGCTGACGTGCAGACATGACACAGTTTGGGTGTAGATGATGTGAAGCTCTTTATCCGCATGGGCTCTTGCTGCGAGCTCGGCGCTGTGTGTCATCCATGGTTAGCGCATCAATGATGGCTCATTGCCCAACGTCAAGATTCCGAAGCATGGAGTGGATACCTCCATGTCGGTCGGATAGACGATCCTTCCGGCTTATTTGAAGGATCCTTTGCACAGGCAATTGCAACGCATTCTGAACGTTCTCACCGATTGACACACCGGGGCGGACAGTGCCCTGAAGGCCCAGAAGGCCCTCCACCTGGAAACCACGGTATCCAGGCAGCGAGGTGGGGGCACACTTTGTTGTTTCGCCGATGTTCAGAGGGCGCGTCCACCTGTTCAAGGTCTCCTGCATCAGTCGCAGGCAGCGGAGAAGTCACGTAGACTCCACATTGTTGAACGGCTGGCAATCTGGTAGCAGGCGTTTGTGCGGGGGAGGCCTCTGGATCACTCACTGAGAACTATCGCTCTTGTGATGGGCGTTCTAACTTCTCTGGCCGTCTGACGCAATGGGGCGCCTCAGCGACAACTCTATCAACCCCCCCGCTTCAAAACCGATCAACGACAAACTCCACGACTCGTCGCGCGCAAGCTTCAGCATGTCGCGATGTCGCCCGGGTCGAAGCCCTTTATCGCCGTAGAAGAGGGGCACGGGAATGGCCATCCCTTGTCCGACTTTCACGACCCGGCCTCTCCCACTCTGGACGAGGTCCTCCGCAAATACAAGAGAGCTGCCTGTTCAGGCGTGCAGTGCCCCCACCCCGCCAACGCCTGGTTCCGAGATCCGCGCCCGGAAACCGGACGCGGGCAACGTAAATCCAACACCAGGGTACTGCGCGAGCTGGTCACGGAGCTGGCGCCGGATGCGCCCGAAGTATGGTCCGTCGTGGAGAGGTTCCAGTCCAACGATGACCTCGACTTGCTGAAAGAGGAAAACGAGGCATCCCTGTTCCCCCAGTTTCAGCGGCTGCCCGCCGAGCTGCAGGAATGGATCTGGCGCGCGGCCATCCCCCGCCGCTGGGTTCACTTCGCGCAGCCCCAGTTCCCGGTTGCGAGATATCCGCCGCTTCCTGTGCCGCAGGTCGCATCCGTATGTCGTGCGGCGCGACATGTCGTTCTTTCTGGGGGTGCAAATGTGGTGTTCCGGCAACACAACACGGCTGGCTGGTCTGACGACATCGAGAGACCGCCAGACGCCTCGACTACGAGGTATGAACAGCACATACCCGCGGGCTTTCTCAATGAGCAGGATCTGCTGTACATTACGCAAGAGCCGTATCTTGGACATGTCCTGGGCGAAAATGAGCTGGCCGCGCAGATGGATGGCGACGTCTCAGTAACGACGTGGAGCGCAGAGAAGGTGCTGGGCGTCGTTCAAGACGCTGCATCGCTCGCCGTCTTCTGGCAGGATCCATGCTTCTACTTTCTCGGGCAAAACAGCCCCGATGATCGTTCAGGCCAAAAGCAGATTGCCAGGTGGTCGTTCCTCAAAGGATGCGCAGCACTTCAGACGCTCTTCGTCAATTTCCGCGACCAGCCCGTGACGCTGCAACTTCCGCTCATAGGACCGACTTGTACGACACCGCAGGAGCGCCGCTGGAACAGCGCCCTCAACCTTGTGAAACTGTACGACGATGACCGCCTCGCGCAGCTGACGCGCCTCGAGACCAGTCCGACGCGCACCTCCATGCCGCGATACCGCTACGATGCCGGCAAGACGCCAGGCGGCCAGGGCAAGCACCCGGGCAGGTGCCTGAACTGTGAGCGCGTGCAGTGGGAACTGCACCACAAGCACGTCGTCGAGCGCTTTTGGCTGCAGCTCTGGGCAGACGAGCTGTGCGAGGCGGAGAGGGCTGCCGTATTTCCCTCGCGCAAGACGTACGATGCCAGTCACCCGTGGGCACGGAGCAAGATGAAGCGGGCACCAGAGTTTGTGCCCGTCGTCGCGATTAGGATCGAGATGCAAACTGAATAGCAGATTCGCTGGTACCTATCTGACATGCCGACAACCATGCGTCTGACGGTGGCGATCCTGCCGCCAACCGTGGCCACGGTCCGTCGCGACTCGCGATCAATTGGTGCAATCACCATTCATGACCGACTCCAGCAAACCCGTCCGCAGTGCACCCTTTGTATCGATGCCGACTTCCATCGGCTCCAACCCCCGATCCTGGTCGAAATGCACGCTGCCGTAGCGCATGTAGGCGGCAAAAGTGTCCTTTGCAATGTCTGCGTCGCGATGCTCAGGCCGACTCCAAATGTCTGCGAGGAAGGGCACCTCGCCCGGCGGTGCGTGTGAGAGCTTCATCGTGGCCGTATTGGCGAGCATGTGGTCGACGACCCGACTTGCCTCTTCTCGCAAGGATATGTCGTCGCCGTCGCTCGTCGACTTGGCGGAGAGGAGGGCAAACTCCTTTGGACCCTGCCACGAGCTCACTCCTTGCAGGTAATACATTTCGCTCATGGACGGCAACAGAAGGACGTGCGCTGCGTAGTACTCGGGTCCGTTGAAGCCGAACTCGGCTGGTTCGATGACCTTGCGGAGACGCTCAAAGCATTGAACCTGCGTCAAGTAGTCACCTAGGAACGCCATGCTGACGGTTGCTTCTGGCGCATTGAGCTGCTCCGCGGTGAGCTTTGGCAGCGGAATTGGTCGCAATAAAGGGTGCTTGTGAAAACTAGGGGCATATGCATTAGTCTGCTGGCCCCAGACGGTCGCAAAGATGTCGTGCCACCGTTTGATGAATAGGCTGCCCTTCCTGGCCGCGATGAAGCTATTCATCATGCTCTCGACACCGGGACGAAGCTGCATGGTAAACCCACCGACCTCGTAGGGCGAAGTCGGATCCGTGATAGCGTTCCAGCAAATATCTTCAACGTGCCGGAAAAGTATCATACCGACGTCCATCCAAATCCCTCCATGCTGGTAGATTAGGGGCAGTCGCACTAGGTCAGCCTGATGCTGGCCCACAGTCGGCCCATCCATTGTGCCCTCGTTAAACGCCTTGGGTAGCACGGTCTCCATGTCATCGAGAAAGTGCCGGACATTTGTCTCCGAGTCTGGAACGGTATCCAGTACATGAACTGTCCAGTCGGGACCGAGGCGGCGCACCCAGTTGATGACGTTGCGCTGCGACCACGCCGGCATCGTCTTGAAGCCCGAGTTCCAAAACGCCCATACATTCTTCTCGGAGACGACTTCGTGGCGCTCTTGCAGCCAGGCGGCGATCTCTTCGTCTGTTCGACGATCTAGCTTCTCTGCGGCGATGGCGGTCGTGCCCGGAGGCGGCCTGATGAGGCCCGTGACGGTCATGGCGGGGCTTGCGGTGTCTGAGAAGACGATCGAGTGCGGTGAGACAAAAGAATTATTCCCCAGAACTAGGGCTCGTTGAAGTCACCGTGTTTTAAGCTCTGTGGAAGAACTACGCTGCCAGTGTCCTGTCGAGCTTTAGTGATGGTGTCCGGCCCTCGTTCACGTTCGGATTGGAGGACCACCCACGCCGCGCGGGCAACACCACAATTATGTGCGATTTACCCGCGCCTCGCACAGAGCCCATCGACTCGACCACACTCAGCCGGGCAAGATCCAGGCCAAGAGGGCGATTGGCTGCCCTGGACGCTTTCCGCCTCGCGATGGCCAAAAAGCAATATGCGCGCGGCCTAGCGTCAATGCCCACCCGGGCAGCGCGCGATGGCGGGTGGCGAGACGTCACGGACTCACGGACCTTGGAACAATAGGGCCACCGACCCCGGGTGAATAGAGCGCTCCGCCGCTGGGGCGACAGAAGTAATGCGCGCCGTGGGCAGTTGCGAGGGTGATGTACAGTAAGGAGTGCATGCGGCGTGTTGCGCAACCAACACGCATGAACTAGTTGAGACGGCCCGTCCGGACATGGCAGGCGCTTGTCGCAACAGGCTTGCTCTGCGCAAAGAGAACGTCTCTTTCAGTCTTCGGGACGATGGCTTGTTTCGCCGGCCTTCTCTCGGCAATCCCACTTGTCTGGCCACGACGCTAAAGGCTGGTTGTCGCGATGAAGTCGACTGGAGGATGCGGTTGCAGTTGCACACGTTGACGACCGGGTCTCACATCACAAGACGTAGCAAAGACGCCCTGGCGCACCTTCTGTATCGGAAGCAAACAAGCGGCCTGCGCGGCATCTCGCGCTCTGAAGCTTCCCTGGCGCCCTTGCGTGCCTCGGTCGGTGGTGTGGCGGCCATCATGGATCACGGACACCTCCTCGGCTGAAGCCAACACACCTGCGTGTGTCAGTTGGGCACGACGACCTCCAGGGTGCGTTGATGTCGGCCATGTATGGAGTGACGAAAAGTGCAAGACTGCATACTGTAGTAGGAAGAGCACCGCTCGAAGACGTGGAACTGGAGTTGACGAGACAACCCTCCGAGGCCCATGCAGCCCGGTCTACCTCGTGTAAGCTGAGTCGGGAGACAGCAGCCAATTAGGGCAACGTCAAAAACTTGACGCAGACAGATCTTATGTGAGGTTGTGCTTAAAGCTGGTTGAACGCAGGTTTTTACTGCCCGGGACGTCAAAGAGTGCCGGACAGATCACTGCCGTTCACATCGTCGGCTGTGGGCGGCAACTTTGGCAGCTGCGCGTCGTCCCGTACGCATACATACGGTACCAATCCCGATGTCTTTGACCGAGCAGCAACGGAGCGTTGGACCGTCGGTACTGTGCAGGAACCAACATGCATGGTGCATGAACGCCACGGCGTCGTCTGCAGCCAACACGCAGCCGGAGCTGTTTGCCTGGACGTTCGAGAAGAGCTGCTGCGTCGGAGACGGACATCCGAGACGGCTTCGGCAATTGCACCGGGCGTCGCCTTGGACCCTTTCGGCTCGTATGGTAAGCGCGCAGCTCATAGCGAAAGTCACAATTGGTTGGCGATGGCGACATTAACTTACGGTGCGGTGGGTGCAGATGAGTGCTGTCCGCAACCGGCGTTCACCGTTGACAGCGCGGAATTGATCAAGAGACGATCAAGGGTTCCGATGACTGAGAAGTAAGACAAGACAAGACGGCTGACACTTCAAGAGCACATGCATGAACGGCACAAGCGATTCCAAGCTTCATTCTTTCACTACCATTAGTTCGGACCCAAGGCGGGGCTTCCTCAATCCTCACCACTAGCAGTCGTATGCTCATTTTTTCTCTCACAGCCCATCAGAAGATCTTTTTATTTTCATTTTTTCTTTTAACAATTTTTGGTTGGCGTACATCCCCTACGCAAACTTGTCCTTGTTCTTGGCCACAAAGTCGCGCCACGTCGTGGGCTTCTCCTCGAGCAGGGCCAGGCTCTCGGACAGGTCGGCGCCGCCGTAGTAGCCCGGGTCCTCGAGCAGGAGCATGTTCTCGAGCATCTCCTGGGCGACGGCGGGCGGGAGGAAGGACTTGAAGACCTCCTGGGGCACGTTCTGGACGCGCGCGGCGGCCGAGGCGGCGGCGTCGCTGCCGCCGCAGACGGCGGCCAGCTCCGAGACGATGCGCTGCGGCGAGTAGTAGTCGGTGGCGGCGTAGATGCGCTTGCCGGCGAAGGAGGGGAAGTTTTTGATGGCGGCCTTGACGAACTTGCCTGGCGGGAATGTCAGCGTCTAGCTCCTCCGACACGCGCGCAGCCGGCCATTGATCGCCCATGTTGAATTGCTCAATGAAAGGCGTTGTCAGGATGGGACCGGGGGAAGAGGTGACTTACCCATATCGTCAGCCACGTCAAACAGCGGCACCTTGCCGCCGTCGGCGGACACGCCCTCGGGCAGGGTCCACGCATACGCGCCGTCGTCGCCCTTGCGAATCTGCGTGAGCAGGTTGCTCATGAAGAAGCCCGGCAGGACCGACGTGATGGGCACGCCGCTGCTCTTGCGGATGTACTCCTCGATGCGGGCCTTGCCGTCAAAGTGGCTGATGTGGGAGAGCCGCCCGCCGCTGGCCTCGCTCGTGTTGATGAGGGCCGAGAAGACGATGTGCTTGACGCCGGCTTGCTTGCTCGCGTCGGCGACGGCCCGGCCCTGCGAGACCTCGACGTCGGCGCTCATGCTCTCCCAGAAGTTGGTGACGAGGAAGACGGTGTGGGCGCCCTGCACGGCGGGCGCGGCGCCCTGCACGCTCGACATGTCGGCCTGCACGAGCTCGACGCCCTTGGCGGCGAGGGCCTGCGCCGACGGCTTGGACGAGTCGCGCGTGACGCCGCGGATGCGGAACTCGCGCGAGAGGGTCGGGTCGGCGAGGATGGCGCGGATGACGGAGCCGCCCTGGTTGCCCGTGGCGCCGAAGACGGTGAGGATCTTGGACATGGTGGGCTTTTTGTCCTCTTGCGTGTAGTGCTCAGATGTGTTGGTGTTTTGGTTGACAGCTGGTGCTGTGGCGGGGTGGAGGTGGAATTGCGTTGGTGATCGTGGTAGTGGTGGTGGTGATGGCTTGTCAAGTTGGTGAAGCTCGCGAGGATGGGCTCCTGAGTCTCGAGTGTGAGGATGCGAATGCGATGCGATGCAATGAAGCCTCAATCGCAATCAAGGCGGCTGCACCCTCGACGTTTATATACTCGAGCTCCTCCTCATTGTCTCTCCTCTGCCCAACCCCTCCCCCTCCACCTGCCTGCCCCTCGTCCATCCGCGCCGGCCGGCCTTGGTCGCGCGTCTAGCCACGCCTCGTAGGGCCGTCTGTCCACACAGTCCACGGACGGACGCAGCTCATCAACGAGCTCCTAGTTCCACCACTCACTGAGCGTCCCTCCGCAGCTCTTGGCCCGCAGGACCATTCTGTCACAGCTACGTAGGCGTGGTAGGGCACGTTTGCGGCTCGCCTAAGCTCAAAGGGAACGCGCGTGGCGTCGGGATAGCGCCGAGCCGCGAAATCTGACCTGCATCGATGCGCCTGTCCATCCTGGTTGAGCCTCCGCTGCCAACCTGCCACTAGTAATCCATTATTAAGCTCCCGTCGCTTCCATGCTGAGTGAATCTCGCGGCAAAATAGACGACGAGACATGGAGCCATACGTACCTAGCGAGCCAGTCGTTGATCTGTGACCAAAGGGTTCCATGCGGGTTCCCTCTCGGCCCCCAATGCAGCCCGAGCAGCGGCCCGCCGTCCCCGCCATAGTCCCCCAGGCAGCGCCAGGCCGGTTAGTAATGCGCCTGGGCAGCTGTACCCCCCGCGCCAAATTCGTGGGGGCCGGTGACAAGCAGGCGGGCTGGCGGTGTCGGGCCTCGGACCCCGCAGCACCTCCGAAGATGGCTGCTGAATCATGCTCTTCGTCCTGAGTCGACGACATCCATAACAACTCTGGAGCACTAGGCTCGCGTTTTGCGCCAAAGCGCGACGACGACGACGGAGACGAGGCATCAAGGCATCTAAACTCCAGAATGTCCGCGCGAGCAGGCAAGCATGGCACGTACGCAATGCTGAAGAATCATTGTGAGCCTGCGCGTCCACCGTCTTTTGTCAGCATTGGTCAATTGGCCCCAGTCATCGCGATCGTCGCGCGTTTACGGCGACGATACATCGACTCTTCCAACGTCTGTCCGTGTATTGATTGACCTTCTCTCATCTAGGCGTAGTTAGCCATTGACACTCCCCCACCATCTAGGCGTACCCGTTGGCCTTGAGCCACGCCGCCACGTCCTCGCGGTCGCGCTCCAGCCACGAAATCTTGGACCGCACCGCGTCCTTGCTCTGCTCCAGCGACTGGTTGAAGCCGTTGGTGTTCTTGCCCTCAAAGAACTTGTCCACCTTCGCCAGCTGCTCCTTCTTGGTGAAGCCCGACGTGAAGATCATCACCATGCTGCCCAGCATCGTCAGACCCGGCGGCAGCCGCTTGTACACGAGCTCCCAGTTCTCCTCCATGTACGCAAACAGCGCCTCGATGCCCTCGGCGTGCGTCCGCAGCCCGCTCACCGGCATGTACACGTCCTGGTCCTTGACCTCGCTGCCAAACAGCAGCCCCAGCGTCCGCTTGATCAGCTCCGGGTCCTTGGCCCGTCCGAGCACCCGCAGGCACGTGTTGCGCTCGTCGCTGCTCGTCGACGATCGGTAGTAGTTGAGCACGTGCTCGTACTGTCGCCACTGTTAGCCACTTCGTCCACCGCTCCACGCACTTCGAGTCAAACGTACCTCTTCCTTGCCGCCGTACTTGAGCGCAATCGCCATTACGCTCCGGCGAATGTTGGGGTGCACTGCCGACTTGTCGCCCCCCACAAACTTGGCAAACATCTCCTTGGCCGCCGCCACAATCTTCTTGTCGCCCGCCAGGCCCGCGCTGCCAAACATCATGGCCTTGAACTGCTGCTCAACGTGCCCGTCGCTGTCGGAAAACTGCCACCCCAGCTGGTGCGCCTTGGGCGCCACCAGGTCCCGAAGGAACGCCTCCAGGCCGTTCTTGACGGCCGGGTCCTCGAAGATCCACGCAGAATCCACGGCGCCCAGGCGGCTGATGATTTCGTTCCAAACCACAAACTCCGACTCCGAGTCGAAGCCCTTGAGCAGGCTCAGAACGCCAGACGTCTTCTGGTAGCCCGAGGCAGCCAGGGCGCCCGCATCCGCAATCATGCCCGCCCGATCCTCGACCGTCAGGAGGCCGTCCTTGGCAGCCTTGCCGAGCTTCTCCAGGCGGTCTGGCGTGTACGACGTCCGGTAGATGCCAGTGTGGTTGGCGTTGACCTTGAAGAAGTCGCCGTCGGACAGCTTAAAGTCCTTCTCGCGCTCGTTGAGGGCCAGCGACTTATCGACGCCGTCCTTGGTGCGCACGCTGAGGAAGACGGGGTACAGGACCTTGTCCTCCTCGGGCTTGACGTCGCCCGTGCGCAGGAAGCGGTTCTGCTTGACGTGAATGGTGCCGGGCTCGTCCTTTTCCGTCACGGCAATGACCGGGTAGCCGACGTTCTTGGTCCAGGTGCTCATAATGTCGTGGATGGGCTGGCCGCTGGCAGCGCTCAGCGCGTCCCAGAGGTCGCCCGTCTGCGTGTTGCCGTAGGCGTGCTTCTTGAGGTACTGGCGCACGCCCTCGAGGAACGTGTCCTCGCCAATGTGCGTCGAGATCATGCGCAGGATGCACGAGCCCTTGGAGTAGGAAATGGCATCAAAGATTTGGTTGATCTCGTCGGCGCGCTTGACGGGCACCTCGATCGGGTGGCTGCTTCGGAGAGAGTCGAGGCCGAGGGCGGACTGCAGGTTGTCGGTCACGTACGTCTCCCACACCTTCCACTCGGGGAAGAAGGCATTGGACGAATACTGCGATCAAACGGTTAGCGCTTTGCAGCAGCGAGACAGTCGCGGTGAAGAAACATACCCAAGAGGCCCAGGTGGCAAAGCCCTCGTTGAGCCAGAGACCCTCCCACCAGTCCATGGTAACGAGGTTGCCGAACCACTGGTGGGCGAGCTCGTGCTGCACCACCTCGGCGAGGCGCTCCTTGGTTGCGGCGCCGCTGGTCTTTTCGTCGAGCAAGAGGTCGACAACACGATAAGTGATGAGGCCCCAGTTCTCCATGGCGCCAGCGGCAAAGTCGGGAATGGCGACCTGGTCCATCTTGGGCAGGGGAAAGTCGATGCCAAAGACCTTTTCGTAGAACTTGAGGGTGCGGACGGCAAGGTCGAGGGCGAAGCGGCCGTGCTCAATGTCCTGGCCGGGAGGAGCGTAGACGCGGACGGGCACGCGGAAGTCGAGCGACTCGACATAGTTGAGCTCACCCACGATGAAGGCCAGCAGGTAGGTGGACATGAGCGGCGACGTGTTAAAGCGGACGGCCTTTTTGGCGCCGCCCGAGATCTTGGACTGCACCTCCGACTCGGAGGCGACGTCCATGTTGCTCAGGCAGGTCAGGGCCTTGTCGGCAATCAGGGTGACGGTGAACTTGGCCTTGAGGGAGGGCTCATCGAAGCAGGGGAAGGCGCGGCGGGCGTCGGTGGCCTCCATCTGGGTGGTGGCCAGGATGCCCTCGGAGCCGTCGTCGCGCTTGTAGGTGGAGCGGTAGAAGCCGGCCATCTTGTCGTTGAGCTGACCGGTAAAGGTAATCTCGAGCTGAGCCTTGGTTCCCTTGGCCAGAGAGCCGTCGAAGCCAAAGGTGCTGGTCTGCGTGTCCTCATTGTACGAGACCTTGGGCGAGGAGCTGACGGTCTGGCCACCGGCAGAGACCTTGGCGCTGTGGATATCGAGCTCGAGGGTGTTGACGGCGATGGACGACGAGTCCTCGACGACGTCGACGTCGATGACGACGGTGCCCTCGTAGGTGAGCTTCTCAAAGTTGGGCTCGAGGGTCAGGTCGTAGTGTCGAGGGATGACGTTGGCCGGGAGCAGCTCGCGGCCGTGGGTGCTCCCCGGGGCAGCGCCGCCGCCGCCCGCGACGTCGGCATCGGCGTGTAGCTTGCACATGGCGTGTCTGCGGAACGAGCAATGGCGCACCGAATGGAGGCTGGTGCCGGGGCGATTGGACGGTCGGAGACGTCGAAGGGCGGAGGAGGACGCGGAGGCGAATGGGAGGGAGCCGGTGTGAGGAGGTGTCAGGGAGGGGTTCGAGGCCGCGGACACGGTCGAGGCAAATCTTTTATGAGATGCCCTAGAAGTCGAGACGTGTCAGCCGAGCTGTGGACGAGGAGGGCACGTAACGGTAGCTGGAAGCAGAAGGTGTTTGAGGAGGACGTGGACTGATGGAACACGAGGTGGGGGAGGGGTTGACGGCGATGAGGGGCACCGTCCATAGCTGGAACGGCAGCGGGTGGCTTACAGCGGCTTGCGCGGGCCCAAGGTGAGGTCCGCCGTCAAGCTCCAGCTCGAGCTCCAGCCGGCCTGCGGGTGCCGGAGCGGCCGCGGCAGCGACAGCCTGCCTAAACTGGAGGCGGCCGCGGTGGAGCCGGCGGTGGTGGTGCAGGTGTCTCGGTGGTTGGCCCAGGGGCTGCGGTTGGTCCCCTGGACGTGCTGGGCGCTGCTGGCTGTGCTTGTGCAGAAGCTGGAATGCGCCGCCGCGCATCGCTCGGGGCGAAAAGCCGCAGGAATTGATGGCGACCGCGACTGGCACCGCTGCAGCAGGCACCGCGCGGGCGACGCCAGGCTGCGAGGCGGAGGGTGCATGATGAGACCGGCCGACGATGTGAGAGTCTGGGGAGCAGGCCAAGGTCGTGCGCGACAGGAGATGCACCAGAGTCCGACCGAAGGCTCCGGCTATGCGGCCAGGGAGTCAGGGACGGTGACGCTCCAGGGGCTGATGGATGGGATGGCGTCGCGCAGACGCGGCACGCGAGCACGCGTCTCAACGCCAATTGGCTTCAAGATTGCTGCTCCGGGCTTGCCGATGATCGCGCTGTGTGAATTGATTGCCCCGTGCAGCAATGAGTGCCGAGTCGCTTCGCTCCGTCTGCGCCGTGTTGGGCCCCGGCGTCGAGGAACGTTGATTGAGCGCGGTCAATCGTGGCAGAAAATCCGTCACCGTGTCATGCAGCCATCTCGACAGCTCTCAGGCATCCACTCCAGGGTCCAACAGGCGGGCTTCGGTCGGTACGTCCTCCATTGGTCCTGTGCCCTCTGCCCACCGCCGCCAGCTTCTGGAGTGACCAAACAGGAAGGCGGTGCACGTGATGACCACGCACTGCCAAAGTTCCAACAGAACGCGCCATTCAACACCAAAACTGACCGCTGGGGACTTTATTGTTGGCTGCAGCGAGACCTGCAACGAGGCCGATGCGGCTGACCGAGAGCCTCGAGTCGCGCGAAGCTGAACTGTGCAGATGGCGCAATACGAAGTCTGGCCTGCGATCCAGAACACGCCCTGTCCAACAGCTTGGCGAGTTGTGACGACCGCTGAAGCGTGGAGTGTGACCAGTCTGCCGCGTCCCAGAGCCGCTTTGTTGGCTCTTCGACGGCCGTCGCCGTCACAGCCGCGCCTTTGCAGGCGCCCATCTGCCGCTCAATCGTAGTGCAATCAATCCGTTCGCGTGTCCGCCTGGTGGATGGTTTTCCGCTTCGTCTAATTGATGCGGTGAGCACGTGTTTCTTCGGAGCCAATGCTGCCGTCAGATGCTTCACGTGGAGTTGGCACCCAGCCCTTGCGAGCTCGCGACGTCTTTAGTCGGCGCAAGCAAAGTGACTACCAGCACATTAATGAGGCGCCCGAGCCACGCCCCATTTGATACGTCCATCTATGCACCCGTCTAAAGAAGGAGGCATCATCAATGGCATTCGCGAGGTGTCGTAATGTCCGTCTTTCGCTGTGAGAGCAACCGACCCTGGCCTACCCTGGATCCATTCATGCCATCGCCTCTGCAAAGCATTTACACCCGTCCTTCTGTTGACGGAGGAATACACTGGTATTGCATGCTGCAATTATTAACATCATCCCAGTTTCATCGTACCATCGTGACATGGCTTGGTCATTTACGTCGAGGTCAACCCAGAACTTGACCTTTAGTATGTACATTGACGCAATGGGAGACCATCATGGCATCCGGCTGGGCTGGACCTGCCGGAACGCCGATATCCTCACTCGCTCCTTCCTTTACCGCCAACATCGGATCAAAAGAGCTGATGACAATGCGTGATGGCGGTAGCAGCTTGCCGTGATTCACCACAGCCTCGCCCACTTTGTCACTTCCATCACCACCAAGCCCTCTATCCCTAACCCTTCGCCCCTCTGCCTCCAGTCCTCGCCAACGACCACCTGTGAGACATCAAACACATTCCTATCATCGCCGCGTGCCACGCGCCTGCCTCACCAGCCCCCCGCCCGGCCTCCTCAGGTAGTAGTCGACTGTGGGATTTCTCAAGAGGGCCGCCAGACCCCGGACGGCCGTTGAACTTTCTCCAGTCTTTTCCTGTCGATCTTCTCCATCGCGAACCCGTCGCGCGTCGCGCCAAGCAGTCACCATGCGATCTATCGTCGCCCTGGCTTACACGCTGTTGATGGCAGTCTTGGCTGCCGCGGTGCCCTTTCACGAGCCCGGCACGGTACGGGAAACCCAATGATCAATTCGAGGAGACTCAATCGCAGCGCTAACGCTCGGCCAGCTTGGCCTCGTCGTCCGGGACTGCAACTGCCAGGACAGCAGCGACGGCTCCTGCACCTGCGCGGACACCTCCCCGCTTCAGCGCCTACACATCGACTTCACCACGTTGGACTGCAAAGAATGCATGGATAGTGGCAAGCCCTGTGCCTGTGCTCCTCCAGACGCTCAACTCTTCCACTGCTTGTGCACCAACGGCAGGACAGACGGCCAGGTAGAGCCGTGTTCATGCAACAGCGACGAGGAGCAACAGCAACACGGTGTGGCGGCACGAGGTCTCATCGGCGACCTGCTCCGCGAGCCCCCCAGCAAGGACAACAACGGGGCGACGACGCCGAAAAGCGTCTTCTGCGGCGAGGGCTTCAGGCTGGGCAAGTCGTCGACGTGCTCTGGCAACCACGGCTCGGCGAGCTTCGACAGGCGAAATGCCGCCTCGCGATGGGGCCTGCTCGGCAAGCTCATCCCTGGCGGTAGGCCGGACAGCAAAAAGGGAGCCGCGCAGACGCCGGCACACTGCGGCAAGTCTCTCCGGTTGTGGGAGCCGTCAAGCTGCGGCGGCGCACAGGATCAGGCCACTCTTCAGTGCATGTGCCAGGACAAGGGTGTCAATGGCAAGGCGAGGCCTTGTCCATGCAACGGGCCGAACGGCGACAGCATCATCTTTCTCGGCAACAAGGTGTAAGACGGAAAAGAGTATACGGCAGATAAACGCAGCGCATTGTTGATTCCTAATTCCTATAATAATCCTTCAACACCTTGATCATATGTCGCGCCATGACGAACCCATCAATGCGGTGGCGTCCATGCCTCCAGAATCTCACCCAGCTGCACATGTCTCTTCAAGGCGTCCTCGGCAGACGGCGTCGTCGCGTTGTCCTTGCCTTCTGCAAAATTCTCGTAAAGGCGCGCAATGTTGCGACCAGGAATTGGCAGCTCCTCCTGCCACGCGTCCCACTCCCACGGCACGCTCTCAACGCTGTCGCTTGCAAAGTCGTGCACCTCAATCGTCACGGGCTTGGTGTAAGCCGACGACTGCAGTGTCGGCCCACCCATGGCCGTGAGCCGCACCTCGCCCTTTTCGCCGTTGATAGTCCAGACCAGGCCCGGTGAATTGGGGAATGGCTGTCCGCGACGGTAGGAAATAACGATGCTGGCGCCTTGCTGCGTCGTGGCCGTGGCCGGGAGCGTTCCGGTCGCGATTACCAGGTCGGGGACGTCGGAGCGCGTCGTCTCGACGGCCTTGGTGGTGGATGGGTCGATGAGCACGACGCCTGGGCGCTGGAGCTGGAGGCGGCTTTGGAGACCTTGAATGTCGCCGAGCACGTGCTGGATCTGATCGAATACTGCATCCGGGTGGTCAGCTCTGTGCGCTCGTGTACGGCGGTGAGACAAGAGACTGAGAGACGCGGAGGCACTTACAGTGGCCGAAGCCAATCGTGACAATGTTGCCCCCGATGTCGAGTTCCGTAAAGCACTTTAATCCCACCGCCAGCCTCTCACGGTCATGCGAGCCGCCAAACGCCCTGACCTCGGAGCTCAACACCTTTCCAATGCGGCCCTCACCAATAAGTTGCTGGAGTTTCACCACCGGCGGCGCGACCCGTCCCTGCATGCCCACGAGGGTCCTCCCCCTTCCCTCCCTCGCCGCCTGCACCAACTCCCTCGCGCGCTCCTCATCCTGCGCGAGCGGCCACTCCACAAAGACGTGCTTGCCGGCCCTCACGCTCGGCAGGATCGTGCGGTAGTGCACGTCGACGCGCGTGCAGCACACGACGAGGTCCACGTCCGGGTCGGCGGCGAGGCTCTCCGGGTCGCCGTACGCGCGGGTGGCGGGCTCGGGGGGCAGGTCGAAGGCGCGGATGGCGGCGCGGGCGGCATCGACGCTCGAGTTGCAGAGCGCGACGATGGTGTAGCGCGTGCGGCCGCGCGGGGAGAGCAGGTAGGGCAGGTGCGCGGTGCTGGCCCAGGAGGTGATGGCGGAGGCGGAGAGGCCGATGATGGCGACGCGGATAGGGGCGGCCATGGCGGCGAGTCGTGCGATCGATTCCCAGTACGGTGATTTATTTTATGCGGCACGGGAAAGACGATGAAGGTGATGGCATCATCTGATTGAATGGCTCGGGCGCCGAGAGGATACAACTTATGTGCAGCGTTACTTTCATTTATGTTGGCGTTTACGTGTAAGTTCGCTCCATGTTCCACGGAGGTCATCTCCAGCCCTCCACGGAGCTCGCCATGCATCCAGCACTGGGCACACCCGTCGCCCTTTTTGGGCTGCATTTCTAATCGCCGCGGCGTAAGCTTGTGGACAGCTTGTGAGATTGAAAGCTTGCCAATTGACCTGGTCGGAGCTTTCCTATTGTAGCAGCAAGCAGGGCCATCAATCGTGGTTGAGGTGCGCTGTAATTCGGCGGCCGGTGGGCTGGCCGGCGGGGGTTGGGTCGCCGAGTCGGGGCGGGCCCGGATGGGTTTCCCGGTCCCGGAGGTTCCAGTCCTGGCCGTGCCGGATTCGCAGTTTCGTATGGCTTAGGGAGGCTCCGCGATTTGGCCCTTGAACACGAATGCCTGTTTCCCACCTGTCCAGTCGCCACTGGCAGGATCCAAATACTTCGTACACGCGCAACAAGGCCCGTTCAGGTTCTTGACACGAGCATCTGCAACGGACGGTGGACAGTTGTGCTTAATCAGTACCGTCCTTGACAAGTCTATTTACATTATACATTTGCTTTTTGGAAACGCCGGCCATCCCTCGACACCCTTATCCTTGACTCCGGGCAACTTGCTCGATCTCCGCGCCTGACGGTCAAGGTGCCCGGCGCCGCAGGATGCACATCTCCACCGCAACGCCAGGGCCAAACGCGCACGCGACGATGTACTCGCGCCGACCCTCGTTATCCGAGCTAGTATCGGCGACCATACATCGCAGGCGGTCCAAGACGCTGTATATCGTCGCAGAGCCGGAATTGCCCCTGTTGACGTACACGTCGTAGCTGGCCCGTAGATGTTGACGAGTGATGCCCAAGGCGCGCTCTGCGTTGACCAAGATTGCAGGGCCGCCAGGGTGCAAAACCCAGTCGAAATCTGTAGCAGCTGTGTATGGTGGCGGTAATGGAGGCAGAGCGGCCAGCAGGTCCTCAAAAGTCGGGAGGATTGCCGCTGCGGTGACTTGGGGAACCCGCGGCGTCAGGACCGCTTTCCAACCTGCGTTTTGTTAGCATCATGTCGCATGCCAGACAGGGCTTCTTCTCAGATCTCACCAGCTGGATCAACGTCGAAGCCAAGCTCACTTTCCGTGTCGGGGATGATCCTGTGATCCCATCCCAGCAGTTCGTAGACAGGCTCGGCCTGTTCGCCGATGCCATTGCTCAGCACCACGGCCGTCGCCGCGTCCGAGAACAGACACGCAGCGATTCTGACTTGCTGCGACTCCTGTATGCTGTCCAGTTCGCTCCTCACCATCGGCGTGTTGATCTCCAGCGTCACGCAGAGCACCCTCGCCGGCAGGCCCCGTGCCGTGTGGCCCAATGCGAGGTTGGCCGCCGTCCTGAGCGCCGCTAGCCCACCGCTGCAGCCTACGCCGTGAAGCAGAACCTTTTCGACCTGGTGGGTGATGCCGAGACCCTTGACTACGGAATGGTCAAAGCCCGGGTTGGCGCTGTCGGTGCAAGTGGCTGATACGACGTGCGTGATGCGGTCGAGCTCTAGCGCGGACTCCTTGATGGCCTTTTTCGCTGCGCTGATAGCTAGGGGCACGCCTTCGCGAATAAAGATCTTGTGCAAGTCTGCAATTGAAGGGGCGTTCTCCTGGTTGTACATGGGGTCTTCGGGCGGTGCGATGCTGGCGCGGGACTCTATTCCAGCTGCCCGGTTAATTGACATGACTTTTGCCATGCTATTAGATGTGTTAGCCCGTGAATTGCAGCAGCAAGGCAGGCTGAGCGACTACTCACGCGGGCGAGTCTGTATAGAACCTCTTGCTCAAGGCATCTACGTCTGCGGCCCTGAGCGAGTGGGCTGGGTACTGCGTCCCCAGCCCAACCACCGAAAGGCCGAGGCCTGCGAATGTACTGTCGGGCATGATGTATAGCAGTTCGTGCGGAGCGACAACGGCAAAGCGCGTCGTGCTTGCCTTTGCGCTTCTTAATAGGGCTACTCATGATGCAAAACATGGTTGCCACCCTGCTTGCCATGGCCAGCTGCCGCGTCTAATGCCCCAAAGCGGGTGCCAGCGCCGACATACTCCCCCAGAGAACCTTGGAAGGGGCCGCGGCTCTGGGGGTAGGGCGCTGCAAGGTCCTATTAGACTGCGACGACCGTTGTCGAGCTTGGCTTCGAAGCGGAGCATGTCGATGTGAATCGCTGGACCGGGGCCACAAAAAACGAAGCTATCGACTCTAGGAGCTTCAAGTCCCTCCAGGACACAGGAAAGGTGATTGCGACTTTGCGCTGCTTGCATAATTGATGGGGTTTGCTTTGCAGGTTGCGTGAAGCTCTGCCCGGTGTCCTCGATGGAGCATAAGAAGTACTCGCTCGCTTGCGGTGCAATCGCTACGATCAGCTGCTCTGGAGTGGTATTCGCCTATGCACCACCCGATCAAACGGCCAAGCATACCACTAGTCCTTGGCGTGCTGCGCGTGAGAAATTAGCGTATACAGGCATATTGAGCATACACACAGCTTCCAGGATTGGCAGAGACAACATCTGAGCTTTGAGTCACGTCGTTACTGGAACAGGGGAGCGCTGTGATGGCCAGGGCAAAGGGGCAACTATGCGCGACCACTTCAAGGGCATCATATCAACATTCCTGAGTTAGCGATAGAAGGCAGTCAAATGCCTCGACTACCTGGGCTATACGGCACGGAAAGGCTGGAACAGAGACTGCAAAACCGACCCGATGGCCAGCAGGTCAGGGCGTGAGCGACAATCTCATTCCCAATTCTCAATGTCGAGATCGTCCACGCCTCTCTCCAGCCAACGGATCGTACCCGTCCCCGGATCCAAAATACAGCCAAAATGCGTACACTCATTCATGATGGGATACGACTGCACCCACCATCTCAACGTCTGCTCGTCAACCGCGACGGGTTCCTGCCCCTCCTCCCGCTTTGCATTTCTTCCACGCCTCCTGACCAGAGCAGTCCATTTCTTCTGCATGCAATCTTGTCTCTCCTCGCTTTCTTCGAGCGCTCCCTCCATGCCTAAAATGAAGTTTGTCTGGTTCTGGATAGAAGCCCCGTCTGAGGGATCCGTCGGCGGAAAATCGTGATTCGTGTGCACGATAAAATCATCAGCTGATCTGTATTCTGCGTCGTAGAGGTCCTTTTGCAGCACGACGGTTTTCCGGCCAGAGCACAGGATAACATAGCAGGGCGTGGCGCGTGCGCGACGTATCGTATTGGCCATATTGTCAATTTCTGCGTCCCCTTCCTCGGCGTGGAGGAGGCCGTGGCGCAGAATCGAGGATACAGATGGCCGTATGCCCAAGAGAACGAGGGCCTGGTGGATGCGAAGCGACAAGGTCGAGCAGTGGTGATTGGCGCGGAAGTTGAGCGAAACAGACAGGTTTTTCCTGAGATTGTAAGCTCTCGAACCTCTGGTGTCCTGTGAGAAACGTACCTCACTCCGGTGAGTGTGCCGACGAACCCAGCATACGAGACTGTTCTCATGATGACTTTCTCGGGTTCGGGAGAGGCCGACCTCACAAACTCCAGCACGACCAAGATATCTCTCAGCTCGGGCATTCCCCAATCCAGGGTTCGAAAGTGCATCATCCTGTTCATTCGCCGCAGGCTTCTTCGTCCCGCCTGTCGAGATCGTTCTGACCCTTTGTCTCCCTCCGGGCGGGTCAGTACGCCGCCGCTCGTGCACCCCAATAGCGCGTCGAGCAGCAGGTTGAACGCCACGAGGAAATACATGTCCACTCCGCTGGCTTTTGCGATTCCTTTCAACTCTTGCGTTTCCTCATGCGAGTGAACACGCCTTAGACGGAGAGACGCCGAGAACCTGACAATGGAGCGTAGGAATGACCACGGTATAAATGATGCGAGGACTGTGTCAAATAGCGGGGTGATCCTCCTCATCCGCGGCGCAAAGTCGGTGGCCAGCTCGACATAGCGCTCGCGCGGAGGGAGGGAGAGGTCGATCCGATACGTCGGGATTCGGTCTTCCGCGAAAGCTTGTGCAGCTGCTGAGCGTCCTGACGCCATGTTGGCCTCGCCATCAATGTCATACGATGATAATAAAGCGTGACAAACGAAGACAGGCTCAGAGTTGCTGCCTCTGCATTGTCGGCATCAGATGGCGGTCGCGTCTGACTCGACAGTTGGTCGTGCCAGCACAGTGGAGCCACAACCTGTGAGTGACTAGGTCGGGTACGTGAGAAACGCGACGCCGTGATGAGTGACGACGTGCTGCAGTCTGGGCAAGACTGGATGGAACTGAATCAAGTAACGCCCCGATCGCAACTGCTATTTAACCACGTTCCCTGTTCAGTGGGGTAAGTGTCGGCAGGCAGCAGCCGCGCCCTGGCCGTGAATTTGATCACCAAAATTCGTGCCTAGCTATATCCGCCAGGCTGTTTCTAGAGCACAATGGTTTTTCTGGTGTAGAATCTGGTGCGGACACGCAACAGTTCCATTTCGCGTGGACCGGAGCCCATGCTCGAACGGCGACCGCCAAGCGGAGTGTGGACGACTCTGAGAGAGACCGCACACAAAAGCGCGCTTGGCCCAAGGAAGTAAGAGTCGAGATAATCTGACCTGTGTCGGGTCAGTCATCCAGCAAGAGCTGCAACATCCTGAGCCTTCGGACAGATGGTGTGCATGTGGAAATGGGGTATGAGGGGAAGGGACCTCGCCATCAGACGTCCAGGACGTAGGGCTGAGGGAGACGTACACGGCGATTGGACAGCCGTTCGCGAGCTGCTGAGCAGCAGCCGGTCGAGACCCGATTGCGCAACGAATGAGCGTTGGACCGCCGGCATTACCGAAGGGCTGCGTCGCATGCGTCTTCATGTTGCCCCCGTGGCTGCGTTACAACATGCATTCACCCCAAGGGCCATAGTCGGCCGACTGGTCGGACTGAATCGTGCATGCTTTGGATTCACGATGCATCAGTAGAAGGCCAATGCTAATAATGTATGTGTATGTATCATTGGCAAATCCGATCTCGTTTTGGTCACGGCCAGTGCATGTATCAAACAAACGCCATTTGCCCTCCGGGCCCAGTAGTTCCTTGCCAGCCGCTAACGGGTATCTTTTGCATCCAGATCAATCTTCGCTTGCGCTACCAGAGACGCCTCTCCGTCATCGACTTCACTGGCGCCCATGCTCCTCCCGCGTCTCGTGATGCGCCGCCAGCTCTGACGGGTACCCTTGACGCGGGAATCCGGGCGACGGGTGCCCACCGCTGGCCATGGAGCTGAGGCTCGTCCTGTGACGGTCCGTCAACGACGGGCTGGGCTGGCCCTGAGACCACCGCGGGTCTGAAGACGTGATAGAGCCACCGTACGGGTACGACGTGCGCTGCCCACCGCCTTGGACCGGCAGGTGATGCGCATCCCCGGGCAGCTCGACGGGCACAATCTGCTCCTTGGGCGGGATCGGCGGCGCCTGATACGGTCCGTGGGTTTGCGCGTATGGACTCTGCGGGAGCTGATACGGCTGGTGGGAGCTTTCGGGGCGTATACTGCCCGAGGTCGGCGACGGGAGACCGGGCTGGTAGTATTGTGATGTGACGCGAGGACTGGCCGGTCCGGCGCCGGGGCTGGCGTCCGGCGGTATGCCGGGGCTGGGAATCAGCCTCGAGCGGTCGTTGGGGTTGTACGTCTTGAGCTTTCCGTCCTCGACCATGGCCCGCAGGACGCCGGCGTCAAGCAACTCAGCCTTCTTGATGATGCGCTGGACCATGTCCTTGCTGGCCGACTTGAGCTGAGACTTGACGAAGCTGACCATGGCAATGTTGCACTTGATCTCGATATCTTCGCGCAGGTACAGGCCGTCGGCGGGAGCACCCAAGGCCTCGAGGCCGATCTCGCGCGTCTCGGGCGGCTCGACGCCGGGCTGGTTACCACCTATGCGATACTTGTGGCGCAGGTCGATGTTCATGGGCGCGTAGATGTGCGTCTGCAGGCCCCACGGCATGTCGTGGAAGCAGCCGTTGAACGAGATCTTGCCGGACCCGGCCTTGCCCACGCCGGGGACATACTGGATGCGCTCGACGATCTCGTACCATGTGCTGTAGTACTCGTCGGCGGCGGCATTGCGCGGCGCCGAGATGGGCCGGTGCTCGAGTACCAGCGGGTTGAGCGTGATGACCTCGCTGTGGGAGTGAAGGATGTCGATGGCGAGCTGCCGCGGGATAAAGCCGGGGATGGGCGTCACCACCGTAAAGGCCTCCTTTTTGCGCAGCATTTCTCTCTTTTGCGCGGGGTGTTCGCTCGCTATGCGTCGGTTCGATCGCGCGCGCTTGTCGCGTTCTGTTTCGGAAGCCCCCTATCCCTGTGTCGGCAGGATCTCGTCAATCGCCGTATGTCGAGCGGTTTCGTGGGCGGGTGGGCGGCTGCTTCGGCACTCGCGTCTCGGCAATCGTCTCGCTCTCGGTGGGCGCTTGTTAGGTACGTAAGTTAATCGCGGGCTGAAATAGTCCTCCGCCGCGCGTGTGGTGGCGGCGCTGCGTCAGTCTGGTCGGTCTTGGCTCGTCAAGTGGCAGGCAGGAGATGCGGGCGGCAAGCGACAGCAGCTGATGGCCTGCCTTTTTGATGTCTGGTTGCAAACAGGGATTTCCGACTGAGGGACATGCCGTGAGGAATCCGCAGAGCCGGCGAGCGGGGTCTGGCTGACAGGCTGTTCTCTTGCCGACGCCATATTCTGACGTTTGACGGCGGACCAGGCGCAAGCCTCCTTTCAGCCCAGCCAACGGCTTTGCCCAACGATCGGGGGATGGTCAGCTCAGGGCCCAGGTCCTGGACGCCTCGATGGGCGGCGAGACTTAGTAACTCGGGACTTAACTTAGTACTACAGTGGGACGGGGAAAGGTGTACCGGACCAGCAGTACGCAGTGCCATGGACAGAGCAGCAGCTGGACCCTGCCATGCCGTCCAGCCCCCCGCGCTGTCTCGAGATCTGGGCCCACGTTGGGAGTGCCTGCGTATGGGGGAGCACAATTGGGTTGCGGGCTTGCAGCGTGTGCGCCACAATCCGTCCCCCTTCGCCCTTTCGTGCTTCAGCCCGCTCAGCGCTCGGATGGCGAACACTCCGAGGGGCACTGCTCCTGGGCAGCTCACCGGGATTGCGCGTCCCGCCAACTAAAGTGTTGACGTCAGCGTGCCGACGTGCCTGCGCTGCCGCTCGTACCACGAATGCTGCTCCCTCCGCGCAATGACAGCGTCTTGACGTGCTTGCTGTACCTTGCGGACTTGGGCGCGCCATTGATGTCCCGGACTCCGTCAAAGGCGTGCTTTTGTTGGGCAGTGTGAGTTGTGCAAGCCGCGTACCAACGGCGCCGCAACGTGGAAGCAGCCCCCTCGCCCAGTCCATCACGTCAGTGAATGTCGTACAGCATAATCCCCCCTTCTCGCGGCAGAAGCTAGAACAAAAGCCATCTTTCTTCTCAACATTATCTCTTGAAAACAGTACTTAGCTTGATAGAAGTCCGTCGAGTACACGGACATTTTCTCTAATCATGAGGTTTGCTCTCGCTGCCGCATCTGGGGCGGCCCTCGTCGGCGCAATCGTCATTCCGGGTCTCCCGGCCGACTTCAGCGTGAACCGGCAGAGTCGCCTCTCTGCGGGCCACCCCCACGATGCCGACGAGTCCAAGCACGATGCGCTCTGGGCCGGCCGACTGCCGTCCAAGGACGCACTTGTCTCGACGATTGGAGAGACCGCCGACCGCCTGGCCAGTGCGTTTGACAGCGCCGTCGATGCCGTCGAGGACGCCCGCCACGAGCTGTCTGACAAGCTCACGGACATCCTGTCCGGCCACGACGACGACGACAAGCACAAGCACCACCACCTGACCATCTACGAGCTCATCCAGCACAGCGAGTACACGACCAAGTTTGCCAAGATTGTAGACGAGCACCCCAGCATCGTGAAGCTGCTGAATAGCACCAAAGCCAATCACACACTCTTTGTGCCGACCGACGCGGCCTTCAAGGATGTGCCCCATGACGAGAAGCCCGACAAGGAAACCGTCGAAAAAATCCTGAGGTATCACATTGGCCTTGGAGAGTACTCTGCCAAGCGCATCCTCACGACGCACACCCTCCCGACGACCCTCGACGAGTCGTGGCTGGGCGATGAACCCCAGCGGCTGCGCACCAGTATCGGCCTCCACGGCGTCAGCATCAACTTCTACAGCAAGGTTGTCGCTGCCAACATCGTATGCCATCCCTGTACATTCCCGCTCCAGCTCAGTCATGATACTTACATCTACGCAGGAGGCAAAGAACGGCATCATTCACGCTGTCAACCACATCCTCATCCCGCCCCCGATGGCCGGCCGGATCATCACTCTCTTCCCCGGCCAGTTCTCGACACTGCTTCTCGCGTACGAAAAGACAGACTTTGTCAAGTTCATCCACGGAGTCAAGATGACGGGCAGCACCATCTTCGCTCCCAGCAACGACGCCTTCCGGCGCCTCGGCCCCCGCGCGAACGCGTTCCTCTTCAACACGGAGAAGGGCAAGAAGTACCTCAAGGCGCTTCTCAAGTACCACATCTCTCCCAACGCGACGCTCTACAGCGATGCGTTCTACGACAAGACGGGCAAGGACGACAAGGCCGACGCTGCGGGCGGCAGGGAGCACTACGACCTCGGCACCCTCCTGGGTGAGGCGCGCATCAGTGTCGACATTGCGAGACTCGGGGGCTTCTCGGCCATCCGCGTCAATGGCTTCGCCCACGTCTCGGTGAGGGACGGGGTGGCCAAGAACGGCGTCATCCAGGTCCTGGACAGGGTACTGATCCCGCAGCACAAGCACAAGGGGCACGATGACATCCATGACATTGAGATTGAGGATCTTGTTCGCAGGCTTGAGCCGTACGTTTGAAGACATGATTACCTGTAAAAGAAAAGGGATCTTGCACGGGAGACTTGGCGAGGATGGATGGGCATCTCAACTCTGATAAAATGTAGTAGCTGCGAGCAAGGGCAATGGCACACGAACGCGCGCGTTGATTAATTTGCTCCGCAAAGTCCACAGTATTGCAGACCATATACTCGGCGACCACCTGGAGCTGCCATCACCCCTTTCGCTCGACTTGGTCATCCTCCGGCTGCCGTTCAGCGCTTCCACTCTCCACCGCCGCATCCACTGAGCTTACTCCAAGTATGGTCATCTGCGGAGCGTACGTCGCGCCACCGATATGACGCTTATCCGCCGGGACAAAAACATCTAGCGCCCGAGGTAGGCAGAAGCCGAAGGCGATGGTGATCATGACGACGTGCGCCACGCCAAAGGCAAAGATGTGAAGCGGGTCCATGCGCTTGGTGTAGAAGGACGGGTACGCAAACGAGACGACAATCGCCAGGATCGGACACGAGACGTAGCGAACGACCGGGCCCCAGAAGAACGGGATGCTCCAATTCTTGCCCTCTGCTACAACCGAGTTGAGGTCGCGGCGCAGCTGGTTTGCCTGTACGTGGCTCATTGTCAGTTCTTCTGTGTCGGATGAGAGGCATAGAGTTGTCACTTACAGAGTAGAATGAGAGCCACCAGAATTTGCTGAGCCAGGCGTTGCGACCCCAGAACCTCGGAGGCATGGAATCCGGCGTGCGAGCGAGAACAACGGCGGCGATGTTGCCGACAATGAACAGGCCAAAACCGACACCGGCACCAGCCTCGGGGCCAACTGCCTGTCCGACGGCAACCCCGAGCACCATCGAAAGAACGTACGACGAGGAATGCACGATGAACGCAACGACGCCAACTTGCTCGAACACATCGCTGCAGCGGTAAAGCGTCATGGTGACGATGCCCTCAAACCAGACGACGAAAATCAGCGACAGGTTGTTGATCCACGTGTCAATGGCGTCGAGAAGGTAGAACCCGAACTCAGTGCAGTACATCAGAGAGAGGAGCAGCGCGACCACGACAACGGCCGTCGCAATGATTGTGCGAGACACCCTGCGCCCAAAGTCAGAGTCGCAGATCATTGTGACAAGCGACTCGACCAGCGCAAACGCAGAGCTGAGGCCGAGAATCGCGACCGTGAAGAAGAAGAAGACGGCCCAGACGTTGGCGCCCGGCATTTCGGATATGGCGAGCGGGTAGGTCAAGAAGCCGACTGTAAATGTGCCCAGCTCGGTGCCATCCTCGGGCCGCAAGCCTAGGAAGCCGATGATCCCAAAGACGGCGAACCCGGCCAGGACCTCATAGAGGGAGTTGCTAAATGCAATGATGAGTGCGTCTTGAACGGCGTTTGCGTAGCGGCTATTGTAAGAGGCATAGGACGTAAAGTAGCCAAACCCAACTCCGATCGAGAAGAAAATCTGCCCACAGGCCGCCTGCCATATGGCGCCGCCTGCGAGCTTGTCTCCGTGCCACTCGGCGAAATACATTCGGATGCCGTCGATAGAGTTTGGAAGAGACACGCCGCGGCCGATGAGAATGATGATCATGACAATCGGCAAGCCCATGGTGATGTAGACGACGCGCCCCGTCAGGCCCACGCCCCTGAACATGCAGAGCCAGACGAGGAACCACATGAAAGCACACCACCCGACCGTCTCGCCGATAAGGCTCGTGCCCGGATACTGCGTGTAGCTCGTCACCGCGCTGCCGCTGGTGTTTCCGGGGATCGGATCCACGTTTCGAATGGCATCCTGCATGTAAAACTCTTGGCCGCGCCCAGTCCACGGCAGCGGGCTTGTAAAGGATGACCGGAAGTAGCGCAGCACCCAGCTCAGGATAGGCACGTAGTATGTCGCAACGATGAATCCGTTCATGATGACGGCTAGGCCCACGCCCTTGGTGTAGCGGTTGATGCCGTTGAACGCCACGATGACGCCTCCGCGATAGGCCTGGCCGATAGATATTTCGAGAATGAGGACGGGGATGCCGAGGAAGAATAGCGCGATGAGGTATGGGATAAACCACTGGACGCCATTGTTCGCAAAGACAACCGACGGATACCGCAGCAAGTTTCCCAGCCCGACGGCTCCTCCCTATCCGTGGACAGTCAGTTCTGCGGCAGACATGGGCGGCAAAGGGAAGCTCACCATGGCTGCGAGGACGAAAGCCGTCCGGGACGGCCACTTGTCGCGGCCATCCTGCTCCTTGTCCGCCTTTGGGGCGAACCAGTTGGCTATCTTCTTAAAGTTGACCATTGTTAGCAATTCTCAGTAGCTTCGAATCTAGGTAAAGTAGGGGGATACATGGAGATCATTGATGAGGAGCAGGAGACCAGCTCCGAGGTAGCGCAGAGAGCCTTTTAGGGGCATTCAGATGCCCGTCTGGTTGTCGCCTACAAAACCGGCTGTCGCTCCCCCAAGAAGGCCAAGATCACGGCTAGTCTCGCTTCCCAGAGATATTACGCCCAAGGAGTCTGAACAGTGCCAAGACACCAATCAGTGCTAGAGCCATGGCGCGTGAGTGGAAGCCAAGTTGCCTAGCGAGGCTGAGCTGACCGAAGCCAAGGGATCCTGATGCTATTCACATGGGATCGAGGCTACACGAGACTGCGTCTTGTTGGTTCATCTCTCGTCGTGCCCCGTACTTCCTTGATTGGACCATTCCGAGTCGAGTAAGCACCGCGTCTGCCAAGCTTCGGCCGATCTTTCTTTGGAGGAAGAATGCGGGGTGGCGACGGCTTCGAAGTCGTTGACGCGTGACTGGACTTCTGGCCAACATTCTGTCATTGAACCAGCTCCGACTGAAGTGAAGTTGGTCAGTGAGAGCGATGACCAAGTCAATTGGACTGGCTCGCGGACCTGCCTCACAGAACTGAGTTGCTTGCTGGTCATGTATTAGTAGGATTGAGTCAGGCCCAAGCGATGGCTTCTGCCGCGCCAGGCTTGGCTCTTGGCGTCGTCTTCTGTGTGTCCGCGAACCTTGAAAGCCTTGGTACTGTCAAGGGCGAATCTTTCTTAACGCAACTAAGCACCTTCCAGAATTGGCCACGTCAAGACGAGTTAGTGGAAGGGCCAAGGTAAGATTCTGCGGGGTGAGGCATACGCACTTGACTCGTATGGCCGCTCTCTCCTCCAATCTGCCTTTGCACGTGAGCAATGAGCATCATGATTGAGCTGCCTCTGCCGCGTGCTGGACAGATGCCTTGCTACGGGCGTTCCGATAAGCGCTGTACGGACTGGAGTCGGCACACATGTCGCTGGCTGCTACCTGATGCGTTGTCTGGGGACGTCTGCCGATGGATGTTGCTGTTAGACTGGTTCAGGGGGCTGGGGATTGGAAGACGAACTTGCTGGCATTGGGCGCACATGGACCCAAACCGGAGCAACACCTCTTCATGCATGCGTACGGCCTTGCACCTGATCCCACATTTATGCGCAAGATCCCACCAGGCCACGTGGCTGTATGATGCTATGCTTGCGCGAAGCACAGGAACTCGCAGTCCCCGCGAATCCAAGGCATCCCACCCTTTTTCCTGTACGAAGTTACCCACTGGCCAGTTCGGACGTACGATCCTTCCAAGGGTTAGCACCTTCGTATGTCTGAATCGATCTCATCCACTGCCCTTCTCGCGTGCCAGCCACTCAATACCTCACAACCATGAGTTTGGCGAGCTCACGTTCTCGCGGTGAAGGGGCCAGCACGCTATGTTATGCCACGTCAAAATTGCTTCAAAGGATTCGATTTGCCCATGTTTGGCTCCAGTAGACCGACCCATAATCTCTGCTTCTTTGGTACCCATATGTTGCTGCCCCACGAGAACCATACTTCATGTGTACTGAAGACTGGCGAGCCACTTTGAGTCGCTGATATTATGAAGGCTTGTCATGGTATTTGTCATAGTACCAGCGCCCGGATATCCAAATACCGGAGGTAATCTCCCGTCCAAGAACAAGACACGGAGCAGCGGGCTCCAAGTTGGCGGAACCGACTCCAGGACCACTGCCAATTGACCAATTGGAATACCAATGCCGTACTTGGGACGGCAGGCGGAGGCTGATACATGATAAGCATTGTCCAGAGCTCGTTCGACATGGTCTCGAGCGGAGATATTGTAAAACAGTGCATTAAGAAGGAAGACACCGCCTTCTTCCACGAACCATTGATGCAACTGACCCGATGCTGGCGAGGATACCCAACGCCAATTACCCAAGAATGAGCCCCACGCCTCGAGAGGACATGGAGTATGCTACGAGCTTAATATCATTCTTGACTATAAAGACTGCCCGGGCCTCCCTGGTTCTGACCGAGTCCCTAGGATCACGCACAAAGATACATCAGTGATACGAATATCCACAACTCGACATCAAACGTCGACTCCGACCAGATCTATCCTCGCCTTACTCTATCCGATTCAAGATGAAGACTATGCAGGCCTCCCTTATTCTGTTGTGCTTGGTCAAGCTATCTACTGCTCGCGGGGCGATTACGTGCGTTGGTAAACACGCTGTGAATAGGCAATGCATGAACGGTCAATGGGGCAACGGGTGCAGATGTGACGACTGGGGCGATTACATTTGCAACCCGGGTGATCTTCACAGATGGCCTTGCGCGGGGTGCAGGTGTGAGAATGTGTGATTGGGGTCAGGCTGTTATAGAGCTAGGGGGGTGCTTTCGGCCTCAAGGTTGAAAGCTGAGGCTATTCTGTCGGCTCGGCGACTGAGCACGCGTCTGGAAACGAGCGAGCGGAATAGGCCTGCGGGCGGGAGCTGGTTTCTTGGGGGTTCAGCATGGATTGGCGGTCAAAGGCAACACACTTCGACCTGTCCGGCCACCCAAGTTGCAAAGTCTATGGGCGAACTTGTTGCATGGCGATTGTTCCCTTTGATGGACTGGCTGGAGGGATCAATCGATCGCAAGTTCTACTCTACCGCTTCTTCGAGGGATGTTTCACTGTGCACCAAGAGCTGTCGCGTGCATCTCGCACCACCTGGGCCCAGGCCAACATCGAAGAGCTCCATGTCACGACCCTCAAAGTGCCTCTTTCCCGAACACCCACCACCGCCTTTACCCTGTGACAACCGCGCGCTGAGCCTCCAAATGACGGAATTGCCGGTCCCGTACAAAATCCAAGGTTGGGACACCGGGGATGACCATTTCGACATAAGCATCTGTGTGAACGGGTTCCGTTTTACCACCACCGTCTCCCCGGACTGCTTCGTCGACTCGCCGCGCGCAATTGAGCACTTCCGCGAAATATTCGAGCTTATAAAGACTGATGACGACGATTCCTCGGAAGTTTGGGACTATGCCGAGCAAATTGCCGACGTCTTTTTGCCAGAGTTCGAAAGGCTAGCACCTCCCAGGCCACATAAGGCCAAGTTGACGCTCGCCGACCTCGCAGTCCGTGGCTCCTTCGTGTGTCAATACCAGGTCGTTGAGGAGAAGCCCTTTGCAGTCGCGGTCACGGAACGAGTATGGGAAGACACATCGCTCCCCGCAGAATGGGACATGCGCTCCATCCAATCTGTGTTTCCGATATACTCAATCCAGTAGATGTCGAGGTGCCCTTTAGCGACGAAGACTCCTTTTACGACACAAACCCTCGGCAAGTCTTCGTCAAAGGCCGGGCCCTCTTCTACAAACCATGCTGGTCGCCATACGATGCCGTCGACGAGGTCGCAAAATACTCGCGCATCCACACGTCGGGATTGTGCACACAGCAACTGAGCACGTCCCGACTTTTCGGCGTGGTTACAGGTCGGGGAGGTCTCGCCAAGGGCTTGCTCTACGAATGGATCGAGACGAGGGACGCCGGAACTCTCGCTCTCATCATCGGCGCCGACACTCCGCTGACATTGAGGGAGAAATGGGCCGCGCAGATACGCAACGCCGTGACGGGACTGCATACCTTGGGTATCGTTTGGGGCGACGTGAAGCCGGAAAACGTCCTCATCGATACGAATGATAACGCCATTGTAATTGACCTAGAGGGCGGTACGACGCGGGGGTGGGTCGACCGCGATGTGAGTGGCACTGTCGAGGGTGACTTGCAAGGCCTGGAAAAGATGGTCGACTTCATTTTCAACGATGAATCTCCGCTACGCCTTGGCCGGGGCCACGGCGAGGATCACATGAATAGATCGCCTCGATCTGAGATTTTGTAGTGTATATAGCGTAGAGTTACTACATGATCCTTCCCTGCTGTCCGAGGCGAGCATCGACGTTGCCTGGCTTGGTGCGGGCCGGCAGGTGAAGGGGACATTCGCGGCTTACGGACAGTGCGGCTTTTGGAGTCATGGAGTCGCGAGAATATAATACCGTCTTGGGTCATTTGTCAGTTAAGCCCCATGCCTCCGGCTTCCTTGGTCCTACGATGTATTGCAGTGCATATTGGATCGGATCCACGTCGAAATCCACATCAATTGATCCAACGTGGACGAACACAAGTTTGGCGCTGAGTAACGCGCGCAGGAAACCCATTGGGGGCGCCAAACCAATGAGTGACGCGGGTTGCAGGTAATGAACTGGAAGGATAAGCCTGTGCGGAGCCCAGACTACCAGTACTACATGCTGCGACGTGATAAGTCGACGTACATATGAAGCAGCTGCCTTGTAGGGTCGGAGCACGGCTGCACCTGTCGTTGGCTTCTGTGCTTCCCGGCCGTCGTTGGCAGGCCTGCCGGGCAGGTCAGCAGGGCTGGCATCGACGCCCCAGCAAGTCTGAGCCAGCCTCCGCTTCATGTGCTCGGTGGTCTGGCGACGGTGCGCGGGCCCACCATGATTAACTAACAGCGCGGTTCCGTCTGTGAATGGCCAGTCGTCCTGCGGGCATGCAGGGTCCAGCGCGGACCGCGATGCTGGTGGCGTCAACAGCCTCCCCCTCCCCCGCCCCTTGTCGCCTCGAACAGGTCAGACACCAACCCAGCTGGCATCGCCGGATCAATCGCGATGGCCCAAGGCAGCCGGGATGCCTCGCAATCACAATCAGTTGACGCGAAGCTGCAGTTGGTCGAGGCGATGCGAGGTGATAGTGAGACCGGCTACTTCGTCATTGACTGGCAGAGTGCTGGTACGCTTATCTGTACTCGATGACCGAGCGACCGCGCATTCCGCGGTCTGGTCGGCAGGCAATCGGTACGTAGTCGGAAGCGGTGGTGGCGTCGGGGCCGGGATACGACTTTGTGAACTCCGGCTACCAGGCTCGAGCTATTCGGCAACGCGCAATGACCCTCTCGTTACCCCAGGATCTGCCAGGAGGGAAGCTGCGAGATCTCCGTCGGCTGGCCGCCCTCAATTGCCCGTGGGGTAACGCGTGACCTCCGGACTCCATGTCTTCCGGGAAATGGTGGCTCGTCCACCACGGGCGATACCAGCTGCTGAGGTTTGTAGCATCGGACGAGCGGGCGGCTTGCCGAATACGTTTTTGTATCCTTGAAGTCACTGCTGCTGCCATGATTTATTTCGGATACTAGCTCGAGCAGCATGTTCTTCCCGGGCGCAATGACGAATGCGCTGTATGATGTCTCGTGACCCTAGATGCTCGCGGGCTGAGGAGGTGTAGGGTTGGTATTATTCGTGTTCATACTGAGCGTCTTTCATTGCAGTTGCGAGCCTGCCGCAAAAACAAGACAATTGCTGACAGCGGCCAACATAAATTGAACGCACCCTGGGTGGAAAGCGGTTTTGGCACCGTCGACATGGGCGGAGGGACGCGAACCGGTGTGTCTTGTCTCAATGACTGCGTTCGGGGATGTCGCCTCATGTCCGCATCCCCACACGGCTTCAGCCTCAGGGCGCATGACGCAGGCCAGTGCCTGTCCCTTGATGTAACAAGCTAGCGAGCTGCGCTATGACCCTGTCTCGACCTACGACAATGAGCCTCCTCGTAGAAGTTGTTTCTCATGTTTTGTGAAGCGCCCCAATGCATGCGGTTTGCTCTCGGACCACAGTGCAGCCGCGAGGTTCGGGGGAGGTGCGAGCTGAATAGATGTTGCGTTGGGGCAGCAGTTTCGGAGGTAATCGAGAATGGGTTGGCCATGATGGGCTGAGATGTGCAGGAATGGCGATCTTGGCATGTCGCGCAGGCGCCTGTATGCTCGTATGTGATGAGTGAGCACGTAAAAAAGCCGTGAGGACAAAGCCCTCAGGAACCTTTAATCGTGGCAATGCTCATCCTGTTCAGCTATCGCCCAGTCCCGCAATGATACCACAAGTAGGCAAGCTACAAAGGGCAGCAATGGAGCTCAAGGTCTAGCCCTCCGGCTCTCGCTTCCTCCACGTCCGTAGTGCGCAAAGACAAGCCACTGGGGCAGGCAGGCAGGCAAGCCAGCAATCTTCAGCAAAACGGGGCTGGCATCTGGGCAACGGAGAGGCGGCGCCCACCCATGCCGCACCAACAGCAACCTCAGGGCCTCATCAGCCATCGCGGGGCGAGGCCCCCCATCGTGGTTGGCCTTGCCCCCTTCCCACCCCCCCAAAGGGCAGACCTGGAAGACATGGATGCATTATCGGGCCACTCACTGACCCAGGCAAGCCAGGGCGACTCGACAGCACGGGGTCCGGCCATAAAAGTGTGGGTCGCCTCCCCCAGAAAACCACATGGCCAAACGCTTTTCCCGAAGACTTCTGGGCCCCTTTGTGATTTGCGATCCCCGCTCGAGTTCCGGCCGCCGCGTCTGCGTCTCACTTCAACATACATACGTACCGGCTTGACTCCAGTCCGCGGCCTGGGCCTGCGAAGCTTGTCGCTCACGTGGAGCCCCGAGGGCAAGCATCGATAGTGAGGCAGCAATTGTGCGACACCTCGATTGTCCATCCAGGTAGGGCGCTGCCGACGCCGGCGCAACCCCCGCATCCTCGGTCAGACATCCATCTTCGTCGTCATCATCATCACCATCGCCACCATACGGTCTCATGCTCGCCGCGCCGCCCTGGGTCTGAGGCTGGACACGGGACTGGACCGTTCATGATGCGGGTCATGCCCATCATCCGCAGCAGGACCGGCTGCTTCACCTGCCGCCGCCGCAAGAAGAAGTGCAACGAGGAGAAGCCGATATGCAGTGGCTGCAAGCGCAACAAGCTCGACTGCCGCTGGCCGACTGAGGCCCCGTCTTCGTCCTCGCTCTCAACCTCCTCCTCATCCACCATCACCGGCAAGAACCTGCCGCCTTCACCCACAGATGTCATCTCCGCAGCCCAACGCATGGAGAGACACGCCATCATCGCCGCGTCAATGAGCCCGGAGGAGCCCCGACGGCAGAGCCTCCACCAGCAAGAGCGCAAGCTCTCCCGGCAGGAGAATCAGTCCCCTCGCCTGCAGCGAATTGAGCCGGCGCCGGAACCGACTTCTGCTGTCCAGCCGGAGACCCACTCGCCCCGGGACTTCTTCCACGTTCCCACGGAGCCCGGACCGGAGATGGACCTGGACGACGGCGACGTGGAGGACGTCTCGCAGGACGTCGATAGGAGGTCGTCATCGACGTCTTCCCACTCCACCTCGTCACTCGAAAGCCTGCCACTGCAGTCGGGCTTCCTCGACGACGACGCCGTCAGCGACCTCGCCCTCATCAGCTCCGGTCTCTTGTTCGACGACTCCTCCGGCCTGCAGGACGGCGGCATCACCATGCCCATGTCGCTGCTCCCGACGCACGGCCATAGCTCCTACGAGCTGCTCAGCTACTACCTCTCCCGCACCGCCAACAGCATGGGCAACGGCTCCACCGACGTCAACCCCTTCGTCGCGAAGCTGGTTCCGCTCGCCTTCTCCAACCCGCTCGTATTGCAGCTGATATTGGCACAAAGCGCGGCGCATCGCCAGGCTTCCAAGGAGCCGGACTCGAGCAACGAGGTGGCGCAGCGCTACTACACCGACTCGCTGCGCATGTTTCGAAACGTGGTCGGCGAGTACGTGGGCGGGAAGGAAGAAAACACACTCACGCTGACGGTCGGGAGCTTGATTCTTTGCCTCACAGAGGTTTGTTGACATGTCCCCACCGCAGAGCTGTCTCTGGACGCTGACACGCTTGTTAGGTTGCGCGTGGTGACATCAACGGCACCATCTTTGACCACCTCACGGCTTCAAAGTCGCTGTTGACAGTGCTGCTCGGTCGGGCCAAGTCCTTTACCAACGACGACCTCCCCGACTTTCTCGTCGAGTATTACATGCACACGGCGGCGTCGAGCATGATCTCGACCGACTTCCACCAGTCGAACCACTCCCTCCTCAGCCCGCACATCGAAGACGCGGCCAGGACGCTGGTCAACCGCAAGTACATCGGCCAGCTCTGCGGCTGCTGGCTCGAGCTCCTCCTGCTCATCCCCCAAGTCTTCCAGCTGGGGCAGAGCATAATGGGCGAAACCGATGGCGAGCAGCGGCGGCCCCCCTCTACCGACGACATCATCTCCTTCGGCTTCCTGCAGTCGCAGATCCTGGCCTTCTTCCCCTCGCCGATCGCCAGCCCGTACAGCCATCTAGCCGGCATCGTCTTCAAACAAGGCGTGCTGCTCTACCTATGGAGCATCCTCGGCACGCCACAGACGTCGCCCGCTGGCAGCGCTCACAGGGACCTCATGGAGGGCGCCATCGCCGAGGCCATCACCGCGCTGAGCCAGTTCCCGGCATCGGTGCGCGTCAACACGAGCCTCTGCTGGCCGCTCGCCGTCATCGGCTGCTGCACCGCGGACCCGGGCGTGCAGGAGATTTTGCGTGCGCGCCTGCAGACCATGATTGACACCATCGGCCTGGGCAACATGCGCGAGACGCTGGTGCTGCTGGAGCGCGTGTGGAGCCAGCCCGTCGAGGAGACGAGCCCTTGGACGCTGTACAAGACGATGCAGGACCAGCAGATTTGGATATCCTTTGCGTGAATAGCATGAAGGGTGGATATGCTTCAGACGAACAAGGAACACGATACGAAGAGCCGAGCCACGAACACGTCGGTTGCCTTTAACGACAGCACTGCGCTTGCTTGGAGAAACAAAATGGCCATGTCGGACTAATCGAGCACGAGTGTGCAGCGGCAAGTCTTGACATGGAGTCTTCGCTGACTGCGGAGGAATTGCGCCGCCTCAAAAGTTGCGGTCCGCAGAGCTCAGAGTAACAGCTGCGTGCTGCCAGAGGGACGGGCAGCTTCGACCACGACATGATAACAGCTGCACGGCTTCGATGGCATCTATTGCCTGTATATTACGACGAAACGTCTATGGCAATGCTTGCTGAACGACCCCAAACCTCTGCGTCATCGCGCTAGCTGCACCAACAGGATCGTTACCATCACGACCTGGTTGCGAGCAAAAACTCCCAAATCTTGGTTGCCATCAGCACGCCGTCGTGGTGCTGCTGCGCCCTCGCCGCCCCATCGGCAAACATGTCATCCGTGAAAATGCCCTGGTCCCGCCTCGTCTTGAGAATCTCATCCATGATGAAGCCGTCGAACTCGGGGTGCGCCTGAAACGAGATGACGCGGCTAGGTTGGTACAGGCCCTGGATGGCGCAGCTGGGGCTGCTGCCGAGGTTGACGAGCCCCTTGGGAACTTCGAGGACTGCATCGCGGTGCATTTGGTGGAGGGACTGCAGGAAAGACCATCAATCAGCATCATCAGTACGCTCTCATCGCTGCCGCTCGTGACCGCGAAACGAGCAGGTGTCCGGGGCTCAGTCTCACCAGGGATGAGACGCCGAGGAGGTCGCGGCCCTCTGGCGTGGCGTCGATCTTGTCGACCGAGAGCTCCCACCCGCCGGGGCTCTTGCCGACCTTTGCGCCGAGCGCGCGGCCGATGATCTGGTGGCCGAAGCAGATGCCGACGACGGGCTTGCCGCTCGTCTCGAGGAAGGACTTGACAAAGCCGACCAGGGCCACGATCCAGGCGTCGTCAGCAAACGCCGTGTGCTCTGCGAATGTGCATGTCAGATGGGTAAATGTAACATGGGTGAAGGAAGGCAAAAAAGTTGTGAGCGTAAACCGGGATGCGATGGATCAATGCAACGTACTGCTCCCCGTCAAGAGAATGCCGTCCACGTCCTCCGCCTTGGGATACTCCTGTGACCTGACGACATCCCACTTGCTCAGCGCAAACTCGGCGCCCTTGTACTTGGCGTCGGCAACGCCAGCAAGGCCCTTGGTCAGGAGCTGGCGGAACACCTCGCCGTAGGACCCGCGCGTCTGCTCGACGGCGGGGACGGGAGTGTCGCACTCGAGCACGGCGAGGCGAAAGGCGCGTCCGCTCATGGTGCTGCCTGTGTGATGAAATGTGATGACGGTGTGTAGAGCGAAAGAGTCAGAATTTCTCCGACAATTCTGCAGCGTATCGCAGATCGCAAGAGTGTGTTGTCGGGCGTTGAGAAGATGTGAGGCGGCGAGAAGTGGTGATGGATGACGCTGTAACAGAGTCTGAGGCTCTGTAGTCGTACTTATGCAGGCGTCAAGTTGGGGACCGGGAGCCGCTGTTGGCAGTGGCACAGGCACGGCCCCAAGTGGCGGTAAGGCCGCTGATTGGGCTCCAGGGCTCCTCTCGTGGCCTGGGCGCCTCGCGTCGGTCCGCCAGCGGAGACTCTGTAGGTTTCTGGGGCGGCTGACCCTGACGAAACAGTGGGAAACTGGAGACCCGCCCGTGGCCCGGGGCTCCGGCGTCGGCACCGGGCAACACACAGTAACCGCGGGGGCAACAAACAGTCTGGTTGACATGACAAGACCATCTCTCCGTGTGTTGGTTCTGACATGTTTACTTGAACGTGCTACAGTTTGAGTACATGTACGAAGTGATATGCGCCAATGATGAGGCTCTGAGCATCACCACTTTACATGTCAAGAGTCAAGGACGCCTCGGGCTCCGAGTCAGTTCGGCAACTCAACTCGCGGTGAGAAACGTGACGGAAGGCGCTTCGCTTTCATTCAGACCACCAAAACCAGACGCATTACATAGCCGCGGTCCCTCTCGAGTACCAAAATAGTAATGGCAAAAACATTGTCGCATCACAGACGCTCACGCTCACCCCTCCGTCTCCTCCTTGGCCAGCTTGGTCTCGTTGTACACGTCCACGGCCGTCGCCTCGGCCTCGGCCTCGATGCGCCTCCGGTTCCTGCGCACCAGGTACGACAGGCCCGCGCTCCAGATGACGAGGGCGATGGAGCACGCAATCATGGCCCACATGCCGCGCTGCAGGACACAACACATGTCAGCGACTTTCAACATCATGCAGGACAACTCCTGACGAGGCACAGAGAGAGAGAGAGAGACTCACGATAAACCACGGCGCCATGGACGCGCCGTAAAAGAGGATGCTCCACCACGCATTCACGGCGTTGTTGCCCAAGTTCATGCCCGCCAGCACGACGGCTCGGAAGACGGACTCTTCATAGCGCATGGCGTCGTTGCACCACGCAAAGAACGTCGCCTGACAGGCGTACACGGATCCCGCCCAGTAGTACGCACCGAACACGACGGCCGTCGAGTTGGGGCTCGTGGGGTTCTGGTGCGCCACGAGAATCATGACGGACGTCGCCACGCCGGTGATGCCGATGAAGTAGCCGACCAGGTACCGCTTGCCGCCGAGGAAATCCGTCAGCGCGGCCCAGAACAGCGTCGAGACGATGCCCGCGGCGGCGACGCCCGTCGGGTAGTTGTTTAGCTGCGAGACCGTGTACTTGTGCGTTGGGTGATTCTGCAGGTACAGCGCGAGCAGCGAGTTGGAGCTGAAGGACTCGGTCTCGCCGGCGATGACCCAGAGCCCGACGAAGCCCCACCAGTACCACGACGAGAGCACCTTCTTGAGGAAGCGCAGCGTGATGGGCGACTGCTCCTCGACCTTGGGGACGCGCGATATGGCGAGCTTGCGCTCCTCCTCGGACAGGTACCACGCCGTCGTCGTCTGCGGCGTGTCCGGGAACAGCAGGAAGCCGTAGATGGCGACGGGGATGGTCAGCAGGCCGTCGACGATGAAGAGCCAGCGCCAGCCGCTCAGCCCGTGGCGCCCGTTGAGGCTCTTGTAGATGCCCGTCTGGATGAAGCCGCCGATCATGGTGCCCGCGAGGCCCGAAGACGTGAAGATGCCGCTGCGCTTGCCGAGCTCGCGCTCAGTGTACCACGCGCCGAGGATGTAGTGCGTGCCGACAAACGTCGACGCCTCGCAGATGCCCTGGAAGAAGCGGATCGCCATGATGGACTGCGGGTTGTGCACCGACGCCGTCACCATGGTGAGGCCGCCCCAGAGGATCATCATGAGCGGGAACCATATCCGCGGCTTGACGTAGTGCAGGGAGAGGTTGGACGGAACTTGGCCCAGGACATAGCTGCGGTGCTGGTGTCAGTGGATCTGCTGGATGCACGTTATTGTTTCGCGAGTGGTGCCAACTCACCCCACGGTGAAGCAGGTGTTGATCTGGTTGAGCTGGTTTCCCTTGAAGCCAAGCTCCGTCTTCATGCCCGACACGTAGGCATTGGCAAGGTTGGAGCGGTCCAGCTGCGATGAGTCAGTCAGGGTCCAGTTCAACCCGTCGCCGCATCCCGACATAGAGTCTTGGCGGTTGGTTACAGAGACAGCGCACTCACATAATTGATGAAATAACTCAGACAGCAGAAGGTAAGAATGAAAAAGTCAATCTTTTGCACCAGGACTCGCTCGCCCGGCTGGTAGTTGACGGTAAAGTACTCTCGCAGGCGGGAACGCATTGGACTCTGCGGTTTCGGGGGCGCCCGTTGTGGTGGCAATCTCTTCTCACGCCAAAGTCAATTGTGGGGGTTCGGTGGCCGAACGCGTGGGACGTTCAGTTGTCGGGTGCCAGTTGAGGAGACCAGCGTCCGTTATTATGGAGAGATTGACGTAGTTGACACAAGCCGTGAGCGCGACGCAGAGAGCATATGAGCCGTGGGCATGACGAGGGGTGGATGCCGAGATGGTTCCTTATGAAGAAAAAAATTGGGAACGAGGCAGAACGGCTTCGCGGGCCAAAGTTGGCCGGCAGGGTTGCTGGTGGTGGTGGTGGTAGTGGTGAGGGGGGAGGGGACTGAACATGGAGGGAGGAGAGGAGGCGCACCACCAACTCGCTGGATGAATCAACCGAGGGCACTAGCAGTATTGGGGGAACCTGCTTGCCTGCCCGGCGCTGGCGAAGATAAGACTAACGGCGGAAGGGCCCCGTCCTCGGGCTCCATTCCACCACCCATCGCACCGGCGTCTCTGGTATCTGGCCGTCGCAAAAAACAAGGCCATCAGCCCATGATGCCTATCGCGCCCTGGCATCCCGCGAACATCGACCAACCGCGTAACAACTTGCCAAGGACATGGCTCGTCCAAGAACTGTTGGATGCGGTAACCGAAGAGCCCCAGAGACCAGTCTGGACACAAAACGCCTCCGGGCGCAAGGGTTCTCCAGCGGTTTCCACACCCACCTGGCAGAACCTGGGGTAACATGCTCTGTACTCGTAGTGGCGCTGGGGAATAATCCGGGGTAGTTCTCCAGCGCTCTCGGAGGCGACGGGGGGCTAGGAAAGGAGGGGGGTCCCCTGGACCAGTGCCCAGTGCCGACCGGTTGGGTTGGGTTGGTTGTCCGAAACAGGGTCCAGGGAACTCGTGGCATGGCCTACATAAACGTAGCGTGGCGCCCTCCCCCCTGCTCAGATTCTCGTCAACGGTTTTGTTTCCCTTCCCCATTCGGTAGGCTTTCCTGCCAGTCTCTATTTTTCGATATCCTTCGCAGGACTCCATTCTGGACGTGAGCATGTCTCGCGGTCGAGCCCGCACGCAACATGCCTGCCCGTGAGAGCAGCAGCAGCACCCGCAGCAAGAGTCAGACCCACGCCGCCGCAGCCGCCGCAACCAGTGGACATGGAGGAAATGGAACCACAAACACGAAGCCACGGGGCAAGCCGCGGGGGATGCGCCGCGACCGAGACTGCCGCACCTGTAAGGCGAGGAACGTCAAGTGCGACCTGAACCGCCCGCAGTGCCTCCCCTGCGTCGAGGCCGGCCTCGCCTGCGGAGGGTATCCACAGAGAGTCGTCTGGGCCGGGGAATCGTCTTCAACATTGGCAACTGCATCGACAAAGTCAAAGGTCGAACCCCAACTTCATCTCCATCCCCCACATGCAAAACCACAGCCGCCGCCGCCGCGGGGGCGCCGCCGGTCGTCGCGGAGCAGCATATCCACTTCGTCGTCGCAGTCCCGGCCAACCGACCACCCGATACCGGAGATAGTCTCCTTGGCGAAGCTGCAAGGGCGCGATGCCTCCTCCACATCGCCACGAGGCGGAGCTGGAGGCGGAGGCGGCGTCGACGACCACAACAGCTTCATCAACCGCCTGGCGACCTTTTGTCAGCAAATTATCTCGGCCAGGGGCCGTGCTGGTGCAGCGGGCAACAACGGCTATCTCTCGGACGAGGCCATCTCGCTCGTGGCGCATCTGTCCGACTTTGTGCAGGCCCGTATCCAGGGCTACTCGTCTGCCGCAGCACTTGGCGATGGGCGGGCCATGACCGAGTCCATGGACGCGGCGCGCCATCGCCTGGCCGCGCTCGTCGGCCTCAACGAGGCGTTGCGCGTGGCCAACCCGCTGGCATTGCTCGCCATCGCCGCGTTCGCCTTCTTCGAGGTGTACGACAGCGAGTTTGGCGAGTGGCAACGGCACGTCTACGGAGCGAGGTCGTTACTTGACTACCACTGTCGAAGCCGCGCCGAGCTGGAGCAGCTGTCCGTCACGGTCACCGGCCTGACCGAGATCGTGGCACGGCTTGTCTGGTTCGACGTGTTGGGTGCCATTGCGCGGCAGAGCACGGGGCTCATCTTTGACGACTGGCACCGCGAGGTCCTAAACGAGGGCTTCTTCGAGGTCGTCGGCTGCGCGGCCGACACGTTCGACCTGTACGTGCGCGTCGCCAAGTCGGACGTTGCGTCCTCGGACCACTTAGACAGCTGCGTCTTGGCCATGGACCAGCTCTTGAGGTTGGACCCCTCAGACGTGACGGACTGGGGCCGCTCCGCCAACGCGCATAGATGTGCGGCTACCATTGCCGTGCTCGCAAAGCTGCCGGGCCATGCGGCTACTCCGGCGACACAGAGGGCCATGCGGTCCGCGGTCGATAGGGCGTGCCATATCATCGCCTCGACGCCATCGTCGTCGCCGTTTTACATATTCATGGCTGTGACGGCCTACCTGGCGGGCCTGCACGCCACAACGGACCAACAGCGGAATGTCGTGCGTGGATACTGGCAGAGCTGCACCACGGCGGGTGTTCCACGGTACCCCTGTGCGTTGGCCAAGTGCGAGGCGACATGGGCGAGTCGCGGAGCGATTCCGGGAGATGTCAGTTGGAGTCCGATATGAGAGGGTCTCCTGTATGTACGAGTATCTGTGGACGACCCGTATTCCATCAGATAGACGTGCATAATGACAAGGGTGTTCAGCTCGTGCGGAGAAATCGTGGTCTGTTTGTGGGCGGATAGCCGTCGGGTGGCGGTCTTCAGCGTGTGCCCCCAACTTGTCCAGAGGGCGCCCACAGATTCCCTTCCCAACAGGGCAATCGACCTACAGTTTGCGGGGAAGTGGCAAAGCTGCGACCCCAGATTGCGCGGGCCGGTGTGGACTCTGTTGCCAAGCTGGTTGGGGTACAGGAGTCCGGACTCCGGACAAAACGGCATGAGAGAGCGAAACGCGAACGAACGGATGCGCTTTCTTGCATTCTCATTCTCGTTTCCGGATCGTCCGCCCCCCCGGCCCATGCTTGCTGTCGTACCCGCGCCGTTTTCCTTCTCATGTCGTGACACCAAACGCGGAAGCTGGCAGGTTCGTGCGATATCGCAGCACCCCGTCGTCCCGCCCGGTCGCACCTCACCATTACCCCCGCGCGTCTGGGAATAAACCGGTCTGCTCCATGACCTAGCGTCCCCATTTCTCAAGAGACCTCGGGACGGCTATTCATGGGGGAGGAGCGACAGAGGGGGTGCTGCATATAGGTATAAGTCGGCGAGCGTCGTCAACTGCTCGCAGAGCGAATAATTCCGCGCCAAATCGCTGCACGTTGGTCCGGTCGCTTCGCCCGTACTGCCTCTGTTTCTTGTCTGAACTACATTCAATCATGTCTCTGTCCGTCGACGCGACCACCCCGCGCTGGGAGGAGATTGGCGCCAGGAAGCGCGAGGCCCTCTCGGCGTCCATCCCAGAGGAATGGCGCATCCCGGCCGATCTCCTGCCTCCGGAGTCGCAGGACGACGTGACGGCCTGGCCCGAGACGTCGGGGTGGTTCACGGAGGAAGAGCTCGCGATCACGGCACAGACGGCGAGTGACCTCGCGCGCCAGCTTGTCGCCGGACAGCTCAAGTCTGAAGATGTGACACGGGCGTTTTGCAAACGAGCCGCGGCGGCTCATCAACTCGTACGTCGTTCCCTTCATCTCACCAGAGAACGCCCGCGCCCAGCGGCCATGTCTGTCGCTGATTGCTGACGGCTCTCGCGCAGACAAACTGTCTCTCCGAGACGTGCTTCGACCGCGCCCTCGCCACGGCCCGCGCGCGCGACGAGCACTTTGCCCGCACGGGTAAGCCCGTCGGCGCGCTGCACGGGCTGCCCATCTCGCTCAAGGACAACTTCCACCTGCGCGGGCTCGACGCCACGGTGGGCTTCGCATCCCACGTCGGCGACGCGGCTGAGGACGACGCCGCGCTGGCCAAGCTGCTTGAGGATGCGGGCGCCGTCTTCTACGTCAAGACCAATGTGCCCACGGCGATGATGATTGCCGAGACGGTCAACAATGTGTTTGGCCGGACGCTCAACCCGCGAAACAGAAAGACGACGAGCGGTGGCAGCTCGGGCGGCGAGTCGGCGCTTATTGTCATGAAGGGCAGCCCCGTCGGCGTAGGCTCTGATATTGGTATGCTTTTACTTTGCCCTGCGATGATGTCCCGTATCTAACGAGTGATCTTCTATAGGTGGCTCATTGCGAATCCCCGCCGCCTGCACCGGCATCTTCACCATTCGCCCCTCCTTTGGCCGCTTCCCCGTGCGCAACTGCCGCTCTGGCATGCCCGGCCAGGAAGCCGTCGCGTCCGTCAACGGCCCCATGGCGCGGACGCTCGCCGATGTCGAGTTCTACAGCAAGACCGTCATCGACAGCCAGCCGTGGCTCTACGACGCCAAGTGCGTGCCTCTCGCCTGGCGCGCCGCGCAGCTGCCCCAAAAGCTCAAGATCGCCGTCATGTGGCACGACGGCATGGTGCGGCCTACGCCCCCCGTCGCCCGCGCGCTTCGCGACACGGTGGCCAAGCTCAAGGCCGCGGGCCACGAAATCATCGAATGGGACGCGTCTGACCAGAAGGAGGGCGCGATACTTCTTGGCCGTATGTTTGTCGCCGACGGCGGCAAGGCCATCAGGCATGAGCTGGGGCGCACAGGGGAGCCGTTCCGCCCGGAGATGCAGGCGTACGAGGAGGCGACGGAGCTGGGAACCTGGGAGATGTGGAAGCTCCACGCCGAGCGGACAGAGTACCAGAACCGCTACCTCGACCGCTGGAACCAGGCTGGCATCGATGCCATTCTCTGCCCGACTATACCGTTTCCCACGGTCAAGGCCACGACCTTTAAGCACGGTAAGTGTCAAGACCGCGCAAGTCCCTTACCCTGCCGCTGATAGTAGTATCGCAGTTGCCTACACCGGCGTGTTCAACGTCCTCGACTACTCCGCCGTATCCTTCGCCACTGGCCATCACGTGGACAAGAACATGGACAGGTTGGACAGCACGTATGAGCCGTTGAGCGACACTTGCAAGGCTGTTAACGACGAATGTGAGTTCTACCGCGTCCGCTGATATGCCATCAGACGTACCGTTCCTAACGTTCAACACCTGTTCAGTCGATGTCGATCTGCTGGACGGCCTCCCCGTCAGCCTACAGCTCGTCGCCAGACGCCTCGAGGAGGAAAAGGTTCTCGCTATGTCCCAGCGCGTTCTCGACACCCTCTCCGAGTAAGTCTCGCCCTGTTTCTACCCCATTGAACAATACGCTAATCACGTAAGGTCCTGACTTGAAGGCCGGCAAGCGTGCAAGCAGTTCCTGTGAGAGGACACCAGAGAACCCGTAGCCAATTGTGAGAGAGTCGTTGTGAAAAACGCATCAGTGTATTTTAGCTAGCATATAGAGCCATTCATGTTCACGACTAGGATCAAGGTATCACACGGCGAGATGCTGATGTTCCTGTGCTTGAGTAGCCCGACAGCATTCAGCTCAACGCAAGCCGGTGGCACACGGTGTACCTGACGCAAGACCACTTGCAATTGTCTGATGTCTGACGCGGTCTGCTCATTTTGCAAACTACCTCGCGAGGTTGGCAGCAGCCCTCAACCAGGCGCCCACCGTAATTGGCCCCGACAGCGAAGTGACCTTCTGGGCCAGACAGTTGGGTCCTTGCACGGATATCGGCAACGGCGTAGAAGGGGGGACCCTGGAGGCCTGGCGGCCCGTGCGTGCGTCGATGGCTACAACAAGAGGAGACCCTACGAGATAGACGACCGCGGCGAAAGTTCTTGCAAATACGGCCAAAGTATTATGCTCCAAATGTTTACTGTACGCTCAGAGACAAAGGTTCTACCAGAAGTGTCAGCGAAGTGCCACGAGTCGCACACTGGGTCGTTCGAGAACGGAAGTTCGTCGATCAAAGTTCCTCGACTCCAGTTGCTGCCCAAGGATAGCCAGCAGGGCCACGAGCCAGCTGCCATATCAGGTTACCAAGCGGTGCCAGCCAGACATCGTGACCAGGAGGTGAGTAAGCACGACTTTCTGTTTGTAGGGCGATATTATCGCACTGCGCTTGTTCTTTTGTACGTACATGCACCAGCTCATCTCGATACTTCCCATTACCTTCAGGAGGGAAGTCAGTACATGTATGTGGTCCCAAATCCTCTTTGTTCCATGTAACAGCAAGTACTCTTCGATGCAGGCGCACATGTAACCGTGTTGTTCCCGGAAGAGGGCGTCCGGTCAAGCCCTGGTACCTAACGGGCCTCGGAGGATCACCTCAATGCATGCCAAAGACATTGAAACGTCAGTCAGATACAATACGATCATGACAGCTTCGTTTCCGATGCCAGTGCCGAGACCATCCATGCAAACCATGCCGACCGTCCGGGGTTGGGCGCACCAGACCGCAGCTTCGAGCACAGTAAGCAATCCGAGTCTGGAAGGTCAAAGGGGAACACAGTGGCGGTAGCCTGGATCTCGGCAGACTGGCGCTGCCCTCCCCATTTGCCACTGGCCTTTAAGCGACTCTCGGGTTGGGTTAATTTAGTGTCGCCAGCGAGCCCGCTGGCGGTGATAGGACGGCTCAACCGGCGCCTTCGGTCCGGACGTACCAGCGAAGCTCGGGAGACAGCAACACTAATCCTTGCCCGGGAGAGCAACCAGGTGCCCAGCGCTCTGGTTGGTCTCTTAAAGCACTCTGTATTGCTGGCAGTCGCTCGTGGGCCAAGCGTTGGCCAACAGTGCACGCGTGTCCGCAAGTGACTGGACTCGGATTTGATCAAATGAGAGCAAGAAATGGCCCTACTCCACCCTTGTGTCAAGTCCATTTGTCGGCGCATACAACGGCAAAAGTTTTGAGACCATCTAACGAGTATAAGACCAACCTAACCTACCGGATGAGGCAGCTCATTTTAGGCAACTCAGTCCAAGCAGCTGCCAGCGCTGCGGCTTAGACGACGCATACCCATGATCAAGTTGCATGCCATCCAACAACGGCATCAAATTTGACTGCGAACTGACAGAGCAAAGAGGCGTCATGCCGGGATGGGAATCTTGTATATACAGTGACATGGCCGCACAAGGATTGCTGCCCATAGGAACAGCTGTCAATATTCTTCTGTTTTTGAAAGTCGATCACTTCTGCAGTTGAATCGCGGCAACAATGTTTCGCTCGTGGCTACTAGCCTCGCTCTTGGCGACACTGTCGTCTGCCCTGGGCAGAAGCGGTCGCTCCAATAGCCCAGCATTTGTGCCTGGAGCATATATTTTTGAGCTGGAAGACGGGCATGTACGCAAATGCTGACTTAAGCCGGAGCCGTGATGTCAAGCTGAAATGTTAGGACTCTTCCGCTTTAATCGACCAACTCGACTCGGTTGGCTCCATCCGGATGCACTTAAACCACAAGCTATTTAAAGGGGTCTCGGTGCAGCTTCATGACACTGAAACGGCCCATAAAACGGCGACGAAGCTGGCATCTATTGGCAGCGTGAAGCGGTCTTGGCCGATCCGAGTGTATACCTTGCCTAAACATGAGGTCGTGGGGCAGCCCGGAGACATATCAGCTCAGTCTTCCAACATCATTAAACATCAGGACAACTCCACTTCACCAGATACTTTCACTCCGCATGTCATGACCCAGGTTGACAAGTTACACGCCTTGGGAATCACTGGCAACGGGGTGAAAATTGCCATTGTTGACAGCGGTGTAGGTATTTTGAAAGCCCCTGAAGCGTTCGTCGAATGAACTGACAATACTAGGTTGACTACACGCACAAATCCCTTGGCGGCTGCTTCGGCGAGGGTTGCGTAATCTCATTCGGGTATGACTTTGTGGGCGATGACTTTGACGGCTACAATACTCCTCATCCCACAAGTGACCCAATGGATTGCTTTGGTCATGGAACCCACGTTGCGGGTATCATTGCCGCACAGCCCGGTACAAACCGTTTGGGGATTCTCGGTGCCGCCTACAATGCTACAGTCGGCATGTACCGCGTAGGCGGTTGCAGCGGAGTAAGTCCTGACGACATTCTCATCACTGCATTCAACACAGCATTCGAGGAGGGTGCCGACATAATCAGCTGCTCCATGGGCGGGGAGGGCGGCTGGTCAGACTCAGCGTGGTCTGTTGCTGCATCGCGTATTGCCGATCATGGAGTGCCCTGTACTATGTCAAATGGAAATGACGGTGCATCCGGCATTTTTGCTACACTAGAAGCAGCCGATGGCAAAAATGTCTTGGGTATTGCGTCGTCGGACAACTCAATAATCCCTCTTTTCCCTTATATATCTTACTTTAGTATCGACGGCTCCGAGTACCAAGAATTCACTTACGCCCCCGGCGGAAACGAGACCGCGCGCCAGCGCTGGAATATGACGATGCCTTTATATGCCATCGAACCTAACAGAACGGCGACTCAGGATGGATGCCCTCCGCTCTCCGAGGATGTTCCTGACTTGAGCAAGTATGTTGTCCTCGCGCAGCACGCCAGCAACGACTTGGTTTGCGACCCTGGATCGTTGCTAGCTCAGCTCCACGCCAAAGGTGCTGTCTATGTTCTTTTTCACCAAGACGCTCCGGGCCTTGACGAGACACATGTCACCAGCGGCATACTGGCCGTTGGCATGGTGCGGCGCGTTGCGGGCGAGACGATGCTGAAAGCTCTCAGGGCCGGAAGGCACGTCACAGTCGACATGAGGCCTGCTTCCAGGGAAACCCAATCTTTACGTTCGATGAAAATACGCGTTCGGCTGGAGCCGCTAGTCAGTTTACCTCCTGGGGCCCTACCTGGGAGATGGATGTGAAGCCCCAGTTTGGCGCCCCAGGTGGCCACATAGTTTCAACCTGGCCCGGCGATCGATATGCCATCTTAGATGGCACATCCATGTCCTGCCCGCTGGTGGCTGCTGCTATTGCCCTTGTCGCCCAGGTCCGTGGCACGTCCGACAATGTGCTGATGCGGAACCTGCTTTCAGCCACCGCAAAGCCGCAGATCTGGAATAACAGTACGCAGTATCTTGAGGGACTTGCACCAGTTGCACAGCAGGGCGGCGGCTTTATCCAGGCTTATGACGCGGCATTCGCGAAAACTTTGCTAGAGCCCTCAAGCCTATCCTTCAACGATACAGAGTTCAGGTCGGAGCAGCAAACCTTTTTCATTTCAAACAAGGGTAATGCCGAGGCTACGTACAAAATCTCGCATGTTCCCGCAGTATCGATGTACGTTCGTCTTCCAAACAGCGTCTACCTCATGTGGTTCCCAAACGAAATCGTTGACGCTTCCGCAACTCTCCACTTCTCGGACCAGGTAGTGACCCTGCAGCCGGGCCATCGCAAGATTGTTACCGTATCGGCCCAACCGCCTCAGGGCGTGAACGCATCTCGTCTGGCGCTCTGGTCCGGCTACATCACCATCAACGGCACTGACGGATCCGCTCTATCTCTTCCTTACCAGGGTTTGACAGGCTCGCTCCGTAACACCACTCTTCTAGACAAGCGAGGAGTCTTTGTCTCTACGTCGAACACGAACCAGGGTGAAACGGCAGTCCCTGCTAACACGACGTTCGTCGTTCCCTCGCCAGGCACGGCAACACACCCAAGTGAAGACGCGCTCCCGTGCTGTGCATTCCAGATACAAATGGGTAGCCGCAAGGTCAGGTGTGATATTGTTCCACTAACGACATGCCCGCCAAAGAACCTTACGGTCGACGACCCTCTCGGTAGCGGCAAGTTCAAGACAATCGGCCAGCCGTCTGGTTTTCCCGAGGTTTCCTTGACGTACGGTTTTTTTTCCCCTTCCTGGAATGGCCTGCTCGATAGCGGCATATATGCACCTCCTGGCAAATACAAGTTCATAGTACGCGCGCTCCGCATCTTCGGCGACGAGAACAAGCTGGAGGACTGGGACGTACAAGAGACAGTTGGCTTCAGGCTTGAATATAAGGCATAGGGTCCACGATGAGCAACATGTCGCCAAATGCCTTGCCGACCGGCTGCGATGTACATGCACTTCGAATCTAAGAATAAAGGTGCACTAATAAGCTCCTGTCAATTTAAACGCCTTGCACCGTTGTGGCCTTGTAAATTCTTGTTTTAACTCACGTTTGTGGGGAAACAAGTGAGACCAGTCAGGCTGGTGTCTAGTTGTACCAAAGTGGTTGCAGGACTTTCATGCCCTCGACTCGGTTCATTCATCGTCACACGCATGGTGATTCTGATTCTCCAGAACTAAGGCCGGCATGGCCAGAAGCGGCAATCCTTCAGTTGCGTCTTGTTCGTATACAGTCCTGGAGTGATCTAGTGTCGCGTCATTTTGGTACTTTTGATATATCATCGTTGGGTTTCGCGGTTATGGCCGCGCTTGCCAACATACATATATGTCATAGATGATAATATGTTAGAAGCTATATGCTGGCCAGTGCAGCGGAGGAGCAGTATGATTTCCCTCGTCAATTGCAATCATCAGATGCTGTCTTCTGCTAAGATATCGATTCCGTGTCTAGAATGTCGGTCAGCATTTTGTTGCTTTAAGAAGGCGCTTTGCCAGGCCCAGCCACTGACCAATTCTCTGCCACGGATGTCCCTTACTGGATTCCAAATCTGAGAGATGGTGCTGCTCCTTGTTTGACAGCCTCTTGCTGGCGTTGGTTTGCGCCTGAGACTGAACTCCATACGACCTTCCGCTCCTGGAGCCGGATCCTAGTTGAGGGAATAGCCGCAGTAGAATCAGCCGCAAACTAGGCAAGCACGTGCAAATCATCCCGACATTGACTTCAATTGTGGACCAATACGCAATGCTCCACTGATCCCATGTCGGATTGCTAGAGTTTGCGAAGAAGATGAGTGAACGCAGGCGTAGGATCGAAACGATTGTCACACTGTCCACGCATGTTAGCGTAGTTTCCCAAGACGCAACAATCGCAGCAACTTACAATGCTCCTGTGAGAAACATAACTGTGACCCCAAGCTTCTTCTTCCAATGCAAGTTGAGTGCGCGTACTTGACTGAGAGGCAAAGCAATCAACCATATATCCGCAGCAACGCTGATCGCTGCATTCGCCCACCCAAAGACGTTGATGTTCACACAATTACCACCGGAGTGCTCCACGTATTGGGTCCAATAGTAGCTAATTGGGCTGCACTGAAAAACAGCCGTTACGACGAAAGCGACGCCGAAGAGTATGTTGAAAATGGCCGTACCCCATAGCAGTCGTCGGATTATAGCCCCCGGAAATATGAATAGATAGAAGAGCGACAGGCTGAGCTTGATCAGGGAGAGCTCTGCAAGGTAGAGGATTTCCATGACGTAGAGGAACTTGACGAATGTCGTCAGCTCCGATGGATCCATGGTCCATACGTCCTTGCCTAGCCCGTGGGCAGCAAGACCTTGCACGTTGATGATCGTGCACGATATCCGAAGCGCTAGAGTTCCGAGAATGACCTTGTCGTCCGGGCCGAGCGATTGTGCTGTGCTAAAGAACTGTTTGAAGGCGACGCGGATCAGAACCAATAGCACCGTAATGGTTCCAAGCGAAATGGACATGGCACTGTATTGTCCGGCCTTGTCTCTGACAGGATATTTGCAGGCGGAAGACGTGATATTCTTCGCAGCTTCGTTGCGGAGACCCAAGTCAGCGCGAGCTCGCGACACGGCGGGAAAAGTGCGTATTGGTTCGTACCGAGGGCTTGTGGGAGTGGGCATGACGACAATATGCATTTGCTAGCCTCGTCTTCGATGGCTTTGCTGTCGCAGATGCATTTCATGTCATCGAGTGAACATGACGACTTGGACACGGTCGAGGTCAAACATGATTGCTGTACGACGTTAAAGTTTGTCAGTGGCTTACGGAAAACAAAGAACGCGAAGCTGTTTGTCAAACTCACGGCACATTTCGGAATCTCCAATAAGACCTCGGAAGGAGTTGGCAGGGGCTTATCCGTGCCCTCCGCTTGCCCAAAGCAGAGCACCGGCAGGACGGCGGCCAAGAGCACCACACTGGGCCAGAATCGCATTGTCGCGACGAGGCTCAAAGGCCTGCGAAAAGCAATGAGACGGTTTGGCAATGTGCGGCGCACCGCATCTGGGGTCTGGAGGAGTCTGCCGGGCTCCCTGTCCCGCTTGCGGTACAGAAACCTCAAATGGGATTGACGAACCGAAAGCAGAAGAACGCTGTCCAGGGACGGGAGGATGCGTCGTGGGGGCTCATCCTTTACATATGCGCACGTGAAGTTGTGGGGAGATCAAGATGCCGTCCGCAACTACCACACCCCGTTCTTGCATTGCCCTAGGCCCGGTGGTGGCGTTGGCGGGCGGCAGGTATCATAGCCCAGCTCAAAGCCATCACAACCCCTGCCAAGCATGGACGGCCGAATGGATGAATTGGACAAACTCCAATGAACACCCTTTAGGTAACACCTTGAGAGAAGGCTCCAGGGCCACCCCTTCCACATCATCGGGGCTTCCAAATCATCCAGGGCTGGATCGGGCATTGCTGGCCGGTCGCCATGGGTGCTTAATACCGATGGCCGATCAGCCCCTCCCAGCCGAGTCAGGGTCTGCGGCAACTCTCTCTCAAGGTGTTGCCCCGTTGTCTCAGCGGCGTTCAAGTCTCCTTTCCCTCCTTTGGGGCACCTGTGGGTGCTATCGAAATCATCAACCCTGGAGCGCCACATCGCGGACGAGCTACTGCACGGCACGGGCAGCGGTGGGTAGCTTGGCTTCGGCCGACACACACTCGCGCGCCGTTTTTCGCCTCCCCGACGTGCCCCAAGGCGAAGATCCCACTTCAATTCCTCAGACAAGTTGTTCAACTAGTCGTCGAATAGGGCAAGTTTAATTTCACAACAAGCTGTCTTTGAGCGCGGGCCGCACTGACAGGTTCTGCCAAAAGTATCCGGGGATGAGACGGCCGTGGTCGTGGGACTTGATGCATGTGATGTCCGACCAGTCTGTCGGGAACATCGACTGGACCGAGGGCCACGTCCCTTTTCCGCATAGATCGGCGCAACGGGCTGGCAGACACTTCGATGCAGCATGCAAGACAGTCGCAGCCAGCGTGCGGCCTGCCGGAGAAGCCCTGTCTTCTCAGTGGCCACAACCTCAAGCAAGCGCAAACCGTGGCGGTTCTTAGCCCATTGCCCGGAGAAACGGAAGCCGTTACGACACTCCCATTGAGGGTGGCACACCGTCATCGCTTCCGCCAATGTTCTGCAACAGCATCGCGTGGCTACCATGTGCTGCTCAGGGGGTGAGGTTGCCGCCACAGTCGGTGACACCCAACCCACCCCACGATGGGTTGACGGGCCGCCGCGACAGGAAACCCCCCCGAAAATCAAGAGCCCCCCCGACGCAAAACTTGAATCGTGCCCTCGAACAGGAGATGGGGCACGACCCAGACTGCTGCTCGAATCTTGCTTGAGGCACACGAGCATGACAGAGCTGTCAGCCAGTCTTTGAGAAATGAGCATCTGCCACTGTGGGCTTCTGCACCGTATGCCGCGGTCCGCCGAGCCCGCTGTGGGCCAGCGGAGGAGACCAGGGGTGATGGATCCATGACTGGTGGATGCTTTTCGCCCACACATTGACGCCCAGTTTCATCTGGTGTCTCGCAAACCTGTCGCCTGCTCGAATCAAGGCTTCCCCTCACTCACATGCATTTCGAGACTTGGCCGACGGGACCCCCTCTTCGGCCCAATTTGCAGTGTCGGGCGGTTTGCCGCAACAGCCTCTGCAGTTCAATTCCCCAGACCTTGGTCCGTTCAAGACAGCGACTCAGCCCTCAGACATGACTACTCGACAGGGACGTCGGCACCGAGACACTGACTTGCTAGCCCGTTCTCTCCACATTGCTTCGTGACCCCAATTGGACCCCCCACTCGGGGTTAACACCGGTGCTGGCTGTGCCTTGCGCAAGCGGGCCGCCTAACGCATGCCAACGCGGGTACCGACACCGAGGAGGTCCAGCGGCGACGCTCGTTCCGCTGTGCTGGTTTATTAGCTCCCCTGAGCCGTCCCGCCTGGCCGCTGGTGGCTCTGAATGCCGAGTCATTAGCATCTCGAAAACTTCAGCGATTGAGAAGCTGATCGACGCGCTTCGGGGTATTTGCCCCGCAAGCAAGTCGCCTGGCGCCCTTGTAGCGTGTCGGGGCCCGCCTCTTCAATCTTCCCATCATGATACGCGGTTTATTTGTGCGTTTTCAGTCGGCGGCCGTATCCGGCCGGTGACGTCTGCGCTGTCAGGCCCCGTTCACTCGACTTCATGTTTGTTACCCTGCACCTGGTTCGGCTTTACACGTCGGCAACCTCAGAGGTCATTGAATGGTCGACTCGTATCGAAGTCAAAGACAGCATGGATGACTCATTGCGACATCGGGCAACAGTATATACCACTATAAGGACTATACGACCTCAGTATTCTCGCATTTTTCGTTCTCAGGTTCATGCAGGGTTGCCGCCTTCTTCTCGACCGCATTGACAAAAGTGTAACTCCTCCACTCACGCACTGGGACCTTATCCATAAAGAATCGCTCAACTTCGGAAACAGTGCGACCTGTTGTCTCGCCGACACAAAACCAGATGTAGGCCAGAGTGATGAGTGTTGTGCCTGCATATACAAAGCACATCATCGGCCCCATGTTAGCCGAATAGTACAGGTATGGAGCTGTAAATGCGATGATGTAGACTGTGATGAAGAATGAACAGATCGCGACGGATACGATCTTGTTTCTGTTTCTCCCGACGGCCATTTCCGAGTTGATTGTGTAAGCCAATGGACCCAGAGAGAAGTTAAAGCAGACTATCACGATATAAGAAAACACCACAATGGCGATGCTGACAGAGGAGCTGAAGTTCCCGGCGGAGTCGCGCGTTGTACCCAGACCACCGACAATGATATAGGACGCGAAAAGCCCCAGTGTGGTATACCAGAGATTCTGGCGGCGGGGAGTCTTGTTACCCAGTAGGACGGAGACGGCGACAGCAACCACCTGCAGAATGTTGGTTATCAGGGAGATTGTGAAGGGCTGAGCCATCCCAATCGACTGGGCGAAGACGACACCATACGAATAGAAGAACTGGATGCCGTTGATTTGCTGCGCGATCATGGCGCCTGCTGAGTAGATGACCTTCCGACGTTCGATAGGGTCCATGATCAACGAGCTCCAGGACGACTCGGAGGCTAGTTGCTTCTCAAGCTCTATAGCGTCTTGAAGGACCTGCATGTCGCATGATGGATCGTAGCCTGGCATGCTACGATTGATTCGCTCCAAGGCAATCTTGGCTTTTTCCGTCTTTCCCTTTCTAGCGTACCAGGCAGGGCTTTCGGGAAGAAAAGGCAGGAAGAGTATCATGAGACCTGGCAAAGCTATGAGCAGGCCAAAGGGGATCAGATACGAGTTCTTGCCGGATATAGTCGAGGTTCCTTGGGTGATTGCCGATCCGACTAGCTGCGAGCAAGACTGCAGCAACTGAAACATCATGAGGGCAGGTCCTCGGATGGCGGTCGGAGCAATTTCTCCCATGTATAGTAGGCAAGTCACAGTGAACTGACCGATGCCGAGACCAATGAGGATACGTCCCAGCACGATCAGTCCTTCTGAGCCGTGCGAGGCCAGCTGAACAACCGCTCCACCGATGATACAGAGGCTGGCGCAGAAAAAGACAGCCCTGCGCCCGAAGAAGTCGTTGATCGGAGCCGCTATGAAGGCGCCGGCGAGTTCTCCAACGTAGATGATGGATGCAGTGAGCGAGAGAAACGAGGTTGTAAGAGCCGGGTTGCCGTCCGAGTCCGTGGTCTGACCATAGTCATTGATGAAAGGGGTCATGCCCTGAACGCCGGTGTAGTAGATCTGGTCATAGCCGTAGCACAAGGCACCAAAGGTCGAGATGCCACAGAAGAAGAGAGCCCATTTATGGGCACCCCAGTTGATCTTCGTCTCCATTTTTCGTAACGAGTTCGTGGCCGTCTTTGTATGTTCGTTGACGGTACAAGCAAGGTTTGCCCAATTTTGTGGACTCGTGAAAGGAAATGGCGAAGCGACAGGTGAATCTATATCGAACAAGGCGGAAACGAATAAAAGCCATGGAAAGATCGTAGCACTTTATATAGCCGTACAGGTCTCTCCATTGCATGATCGTATAGGGAATGTTCTGCAGACTCAACGCTGAACCTCATGGAAAACCATGGGGAAAGTTAGTTTGCGGGGAGTTTGCGGGGGCAGAAACGGGTGCTGCCCGTGTGCATGCCGTTCGCTTGGATTTGGATCACACCAGTAACACTGTTGGATGTCTAGAGTGCCAGCCCGAGTTTTCCACGACCCACGGGTCACACTTCTGCTCAGATGTCGTGATCCCGCTCACACGGTCGAGTTCTATTGGCGGTTGCCGTTTAGCCGACTTGGACGTGGAGTCTCCGTGGGGATATCGGTCGGGTCATCGGATGCTCCCCGACGGAGCCTCCCCGACACACTAATCGATCTGGGCCCAGCCATTCGCGAGCAGCGATGGCCTGACGAATGGCCGCACTTGAACACCATCCATACGAGCCTTGTTACCGTACTTCTCGAAACTAAGCAATGCAGCCCTTGGCAATGCTTACACTAAGGGATTAAAGCCAGGTTTGGATGGTGTCGCATTAAAGTCCTTTGATGACCACGGCCAGTCTGCTAACGCAAAGACTGATACAACCCTCTTTCATTCAGCTCTCGTTCTTCGGGCTTTTGCCACGTCACGACGAAACATGACGACAACACCATTGAAGCAGCTCCAAGTCGCGGGCACTGTGGTCATCGCTGATACAGCAGATTTTGCCAGTAAGCTGATAAGGTGTATCAATTCAAGGGGTTTAAGTACTGACCGTTTTAGAAATTGCTCGATTCGATGCCTCCGAAGGCACGACGAATCCGTCGCTCTTGTATAAGGCAGCAAAAGATCCCACATATGAGTCACTCATTAGAGCAGCGGTTGAATATGCCAAGTCTCTCGATACTGCCGTGACATCAGCCGAGCGTCTGAGCGCCGCTGTTGACTTTTTGGCCGTTCAGTTTGGCACGCAGATCTACAGTCTCACCGGCCGCATCAGCACAGAGGTTGATGTTGCGCTGTCGTTCGACGCAGATGCCACGGTTGCATCCGCATTGCGGCTGCTGGAGCTGTATAAAGCGCAAGGAGTTCCCAGAGAAGCTGTCCGCATCAAGATTTCCGGAACCTGGGAAGGTATCCAGGCGGCGCGTGTTCTTCAGCGAGACCATGGTGCGAGCTGTCTCGTGACCGTCGTCTTCAGCCTAGTCCAAGCCATCGCCGCAGCCGAAGCCGGTGTAGATGCCATCGCTCCTTATGTCGGCCGACTCGCAGACTGGGGCCGGCTCCATGGCATCGAGGGCGACCATGGAGTCGCAACTGTATCCAAGATGCAGAATTATCTGAGAAAGTTTGGATACAAAACTCAGGTCATGGCAGCCAGTTTCCGCACAACAACACAAGTGCGAGCGTTGGCAGGAGTAGACCTCCTAACGGCTTCTCCTGAGATCTTGGAAGCAATGCTACATGAGACTGAGCCGGTTGCTCCAAAACTGACCCGGAACACTGGTAAGCGAAACAACATACAGGAACTTATTCTCAATCTCTCTAACCCTTCGCAAGTCCACGATCTGGATGTTCCCAAGATCTCGTACATCAACGATGAGCCCAAGTTTAGGTGGGATTTCAATCAGGACGAGTGCGCGGTGGAAAAGTCCGCTGATGCCATGAGGCAATTTGGAGAAGACACGGAGAGGCTGAAAGCCATTCTCCAGCAGTATGGTTCATTTAGTTAGTTGATAGAGAGATGATTCCGCCCATCCGGACCGTTCAGATCATTCACACTGATCAAACTCAAGCCGGTTCACAATGAACTACAAAATCACGCCATAAATAAGGGGAAAACTCCGAGCCCGTCTGATGTGATCGAGAAAAGCCGCCGTTTCTGATGACCCCGGGCTAAAGCGAAACCCAGGCGTGTCAACGTCGACGTCTCACAAACATGAATTTCGCGTGGAAAGCGCCAGTCGCTATGTTCTTTGAATGATCCTTTGCTAGATATCCACGGCCTGCATCGCATGGTGGTCTGATTCCGCCTAGTCTGCTTCCTCGACTCACAAGTGCGATGGGATCGTTTACACTGGCCCCATCGGGGAAGCCTCCGACAGATCCACTTCGGGGGACCTCCGCCATTGCATTTTATATCCGACCTAGTGCGAGTGTTAAAACCCGCGGATACAGAGACGCGCAGTCACACCACGCCCAGGTTGGTAATGCCATGGGGATGCTATTTGATCGGGTATATATGCTGTGAAGCTTCGTCTCTCATGATGTTCCTGGTTGCATTCGTTCCTCGTGACATCCTTGTTTCTTTCCGACCATGGTCCAGGCGCTTCCCCTGTCATAATCTGCTATTTGTCCAAAGTAAACATGCCATACATCCTTGGTCTCAATAGTGGCTCGTCCTTTGACGGCGTCGATGCTGTACTATGCACAATCGATATCGCTGAGGACGGTCATCCCACACGCCCCAAGTATGTCGACGCACTCACTGTGGACTGGCCTGAGGAACTGCAGCCTCTGATCCTGCGTGCTTTCAACAACGACCTCACAATCTTCGAGATGACGCGACTCAACTATGCTGCCGGGGCAGTCTACGCAGAGGCAGTCAACACATTGATTCAACGCGTTGGCATCAAAGCCAAAGACATTGATGTCATTGGTTATGACGGCCAGACCATTTACCAGGAGCCACCCAATCGTCAAAAGGAGATGGAGTACCTCAAAAGTCAAAGCAAGAGCTTGGTCGATCTTTGGATGAAGGGCGGCTACCCATGTGGCTTCTTCATCGTCGAGTCTGGCGTTGTTACTGCCTTGACTGATATCGACACGGTTACCCAGTTCCGTCCGCTCGACCACGCTCTCGGCGGCTCGGCGGCACCACTGATGCAGTATCTGGATTTCGTCTCTTTCCGAAACGATGGAACGACTGTTACTCTCAATATCGGGGGAATCGCCAACCTTCAAGTGGCGGATGCCGATCGCTCAAAGATGATGGCATTCGACACTGGCCCAGGCAATGTCATGATTGACCACGTGGTGAAGGCGCGAACCGGTCGCAGTTACGACAAGGACGGAGAACTGGCCTCGCAGGGGAAGATAATTGCACCGCTGCTGGAGCAGCTGCAGAAGCACGAGTTCTTTTCGCGAAAGCCCCCCCGCTCGGCATGGCGGCTTGACTTTGGCGCTGCGTTTGCCGACCAGATCCTGGAGCAGTACGCCTCAGCCTCAACGGAGGACATACTGGCGACCCTCACAATGTTCACTGCGACTTCAATCACCCGCAGCCTTACAGAGTTTGTTCTGCCCAGGACATCCGTCAAGAGGGTCATCGCTTCAGGTGGAGGTGTACAGAACCCCACCATCATGAAGTTCCTCGGAGAACTCCTCGAGCAGAAGGGATTGAAGCTAGAAGTAAGCGATGCATATGGCCTCCCTGCACCATACAAAGAGGCTATCAAGTTCGGAACCATGGCCTTTGCGTGCAAGAGGTGCATCGCCAATAATATTCCTGCTGCCGGTGGAGCCTACAGATATGGAGTTCTGGGCAAGCTCAGTTGGGCACCAAGCAAGGCCAAGTTTGGAGGTGAAGTAACTGGCAGAAATGAGAGGGTCCTTGGCCAGCTGGGATGGACGAAGCCGTAAGTGTGAAGCGGGGAACGTCTTGTCTGATGACATGGAGGCAACGAATTTGGCCCATCAGTTCTTGTTTCGACTCAAATTCCTTGTTTATTGTGGTTGCCCTTCTTTAGCCATTCCAGTATTTAATACTTAGTAGCTGCGAAAGCCTAGTGCAAACCACTCTCAAAGCCTCGCCGCTCAGTTCGCAGCAACATGAGACTGTTCTTTATCGTAAGCGACTCAAAAGGGACCCTCTCCAGGACCATCTCGACCATATCCAGGAGCTTGTCCACTTCACTGGGGTCTTTAAAGATGTTTGTCAAGGTTGGGACCGGTTTTGACTGTAGAAGCACAAGATAGACGGCGAACAATAACTGGACGTCACACCAGTTATAGTAGGACCGCTCAGTGTCTGTACCGATGTCGAGGCGCATGTGATGCATGTAAACGATCAATGCTGCGCTCTCCGTGCAGTCGCGGCAGGATTCGTGAACCCAGGGGACATTGTCGAGGTTGACAGATACTGGGTCCGGTGGTCGGATGGTGTACTCTAGCTCCTTGTGCAGGTAGAAGTACAGAACTGGTCGGTGTAGAAGGAAGATGCAAGAGAAGTACCTAAGAGCAAGCTCTCTCTACCGAAACCCATCCATGAGATACTATTCTCCAAAGTCATGGAATCACGTACCTGTCGCAATGATAGACTTTGCCGACTCATAGTAAATGTGGTGATGTCTCGGGCGAATTGGTGATCGAATGGAAGGCCTCGAGACCACTGACGAAGTTTCGTCGAATAGGAGTCGACTAGATCCCCGAGCTCGTGGGGCGCAGCGTTGGCATTATCTGGCGAGTAAAGGTCGTGCAAAATCCGATTTAATGTGTCTCTGAGGAACAGATGACCTTGTATGAACGGCGTGATGTCATTTTCGCCAGTCGGGATATTCGACTCTACCTCGGTAGTATCGAAAGGGGTCGGCCAGTATCTGTTGAGGGTGTGTTGGGACTGTGACGGAAACGCGTCCAATTCGGTCAAAATGTCACTGCTTGAGTTAGCAGAACGAAGACATAATCTCTTTTCAAGTACAGACCTTTCCAACACGCAATGAATGAGAGTGTACGCCTTGATGCACTCCATGCTTGACCTATTCACCACATTATCAGTGGATCATCGGGCCCAGATTCTCATCGATGGATCTCTTACTCGTCGTTTCTATTGATCAATGCCAAGTGGTTTATCAGCGGGCCAAGGGACTGTAGAAGACCAAGACAATGATATGGCCGTCCCCAGAAGTGTAAGAGACATATGGCCATGGCCAGCAGGATGCCGAGATTCTGCACCTCGGGCTTGGAGTAAAGAAGCCACTGTCGTTGCATCACGAGGGCAAAGCAAGCCTCCAACAACGCTGCCGCATCGCAATCATGTACCGGCAAATCATCAAGAGATCCGAGGCCGATGGAAAGCAACAGTAGTTGCTCAAGGCTCAGGCTATGGAGTTTGATCGAGTGAGCCGGGTCTCCCGTCAGGTTTGCAGTTCCGTTTTCGGGGTAACAGTTTGGCGAGCATGCAAACAAATACGCCAAGCTAGGTGGCAGCTCGTGAGCGTTGCGATAGGTGTGTTCGATGGTACGTAAGATGGCGCCGGCAGGGAGATGAGGTGCCTGAGAATCATGCAGTGTCGTGCTGACCAGAACAGGATCCGCGGAATCGATCTCTTTGAGATGTGCCATCGGGCGGATGTCCTGTTGCTGTAGGTGTAGCCTCAATCGCGGCCACCCGTCCAGCATCTTGTATGATGCAGCTGTGTGAAGATTGGGCGGACCCATGAGAGCTGTGCTCTTACGCCGCCCAGGGGCCATTGGAGTGGCATGAGGAGGGGAGCGACACTCGAGAGCATCGATGCGTGCTTCGACGTCCGAAAGACGCGTAAGAACAGATAAGTCTCTGTAAGAAGATTGTCAGTTGCGCACAGGGGAATGGAAAGGACGGTTTACGTTTCAAAGACGGAAGCTGTGGGACGATAGATGCAATCGACTCCGCTGGCTCTACAGTGAGTGCACTTTGGGCGGGCGCCATCGCATCTGGACTTGCGTCTTCGACAGGTATCGCAGGCCTTGGCAAACACTGTCAGTTCGTCACGGTCATAAGATTATGTGCTCTTTCTTACTACGATAGCCTTGGCCCGGATAGATCCTGATGCCATGACAGCGGCACATCCACCGGCAACCGCAACGGCAAGACCACGCCCTCCCGGATCAGGCCAAACACACAATCACTGCCGCCCCAGCGATGGTCGCGCGTGCTAGGCTCACTGGTCTTGAATGATTGAGGTAGCCAAGAGCTCAGCACTGTTAAGCGTTTGTACTGTTGCTGTGGATCGCCAAATGACCTGAACCGACTTGAACCGGCGTGGAGTTCCAGGTCGATTTGGCCCACGATTTATACCGGCGACCGGAGACACGCCCACAAAAGCGGACCTTGCAGACAGCTGACGCCCCCTGGGCTGGCGGCAACGACCCACATGGACCCCGTCCTCCCAGTCTCTACGGCAAAAAGTCAGGTGTCTGGAACAGCGCACAGAAACTGGCTTCCGTTGCTGGTGCTCCCCTCCGGTCGCGTGACTGCCTCGACTGATATCTCCCATCATACATGGCACGCATCGCCTCAGGCCTGTCTTGGGCCATGCAGGTTCGATGATTTGGACATCGAAACGACAAAAATAAAAAAGACAAAAACATACAACAGCCGGTGTTCGCTGGTCGTCACCGACCCAACTACTAATCTGCCCCTTACAAGCTTAACTATGGGAGAGCGGACGGGATCCCGTGTATTCTTGTAGGTATGGTCGTATGTACCAGCAACTCACCGTATTCAACTAATAAGGCCGTTCATGGGGCTCCAATCCCGCACTACCATAAACACCATGCCAGCCTCCAACTGTACATTAAATCGTTACCTCTTTGCATCACGAGGCGAGCCAGTCGAGGCGTATGGTCGCCGGCCGCATACCGTTATACCAATTGGCGTTGGCGCGACTTCATGGGTTGCAATGGTAGACATGAAGTCGACAGGTATGACTGTCCTGGCTGCAAGCTACCAATTACCCTGAAGAGATGTGGTAGCGCTCGAGGTAAATAGCCTGGGGGAGCGGCGTGATCCGGCGACTCGACTTAAAGACTCTCACCGCAAATGCGACCTCGTCCTCTGCCTAGCCTCGAGGGAACAGGTTGGCATCATGCAGCTGCGGACCGCATGGTATAGAACACGGGCGTCTTGATGTCATCTTTCTCTGTACGCACGCGGCGTTTATACTCTGGCCAGCGGAGACTTGCTCAACCTCCATCGCGCGACAATGACCATCGCTGCGGACAGAAGCGACAGCGCGCCGGCGTAAAACATTGCCGGCCGATATGCTTTCAGGCCTCCGTCCGCTCCGCCATACGCTTGCAGCAAATAACCAGCAATTGGGGCGCCCTGTACTCGCTGTCAGTGATCCTGGAGTTCGACAGCTATCAGACCGAATTGGTGCGCCTTACCATCAGATATCCGCCGACCCAGCCGGTGATGGTCATGCTCATAGCAATCGAGACCCTAGCGCTCCCAAAGACGTTGCTCACCACGGTCGGCATCGTCGAGAAGAAGCCTCCATTAGCCGCACCACTGATGAGGACAAAGATGATAAGCGGCCCCAGAGAATGCGATGCCGGCCAAATCGCAAGCATGCTGATGCCCGTCAAGATCAGCGACACAATGAGAGTGTTGACCGCACCGATCCGGTCGCAGGCCAAGCCGCACATGATACGGCCGACGGCAGACGCGAGGGTGAAGCCCGCGACGAGCCCGGCGCCTGTGCTGGAGGACAGGCCTGATGCCTTTGTGTACAAGGGGATGAAGAATGGCGGCACGTAAAGCGGAAATGTTCCGATGGCTGATGCGAAGAAGATGAGATTGAACGTCGCAGACTTGAACAAACGCCTGGGAGCACGGTTAGCTGCTGAAGAACACTCAAGTTCCGCCTCGATGGTCGGGGGAATCGTACCATTCCACAAATCCAGGCCAGGGCACCGCGACGCGGTCCTTCATGAACCACGCAGCTGGCAGGCCAGTCACCAGAGTGGCGAGACCCAGGATGCGAAACGTCCAGGGGAGACCGACATTCTGAATGAGACGGTCGACGCTGAAGCTAATGGCTGCCCCGCCGAAGCCACTCCCTGCGAAAATGAGGCCATTCGCAAGTCCTCGCTTCGCCTTGAAGTATTGCGCAGGGATCCGGCTAATAACCTGTGAATGGCGAGTGTCAGCTGCTGGTCCTCCAATGTGCTCAAAACATGAATCCTTACAACAAAGCAGAGGCTGGATGGCAAAGTGTTAGTAAATGGCGACGGTAAGCCGGGGTAGAGTGTCTCACCTGGCGCCGACCCCATACAAGAAACCCGACGTAAAGAACAGTGCACCGATATTCTTCGTCGCGAAGCTGCTCAGGATCTCGCTGCCGCCCATGAAGCCAATGCCAGCCATGCCAATCGCCCGGACGCCCACGAAGCGCACCAGCCAGGCATTGAAGATTGCAAAGACGGATACGAGCGCCGCGCCCAGTGAGCCCACAAAGGACAGCACGGCTGGTCCCGAAAGGCCCTCTTCAACCAGCGCTTCCTGGATCACGCCCCAGGCGTAGGTCGTTCCGACGGACCACCATAGGATGGCGGCGCCGCTCGCAACGATGACCCAGCCGTAGCCGCCATCTGGGACTGTCGAGTCGACCTGCTCGGACGCGAGGAGGGCATCCTCAGACGAGGAGATTTGGCTTCGTTTGGGACGATACCGGGCGCCTTCTGTCTGGATTGCCGGCGCGGTCGGGTTGTCCTGCAGGCTGATCTCAGTCGTCGACGACATTGCGCGTGTTGCGATTGACTGAGTGCACAATCAGCACAATAGGAACTGATCAGTTGAATGCGCAGCATGAGTATGAAAGTTCCGAACCGCTCGTGTCGTGACTCTTCAAATATTACTCCGAGTGAGCCTCCAACTTCGACAGCAATGGCTAGGTGGGCCCCGAGAACGGATGCAAGCTGACTTGGCTCATAATGCGGGTAACTCAGGGCGCCACGGACATGCTTGAACTCCACTGAAGCCTTTCCAGGATAAGCTTTGGGGAGGGCAAATCGCTGGAGCCTGCGCCCTTTGCCGACTCCAACGCCCCGCCGACGACATGGACAGCGGCACAGGTGACACCGAGAACTGAGTCTCTGACATGCCCATGCCATTCCAAGTTCCCACTTCACACCTTTGTAATTGACGCTCAATATGCTTCCCTCACGATTGGTACCATAGGATCTCGCAACCCAACCTCCTCTCTTGCCCAAGAGATGGCATTCTGAACATCAGGCATCTGCGCTACTGGCATCTCATGCAGCATCGCGGCGACTTCTTCGACTAGCTCCTTGCCGCTGGACTTGATCCACCACATCATGACCTCTTTCGAGGACTGGTTGACCACCACGCCAAAGTACATCAGTATGATGAGCGCCATCGGTTCCCACGCCCGGACGGCAGCCATGTACTCCGATGGCACGACGTCGCAGATGCAGAAGCAATACCCCTTGACCGCGCCGCGCGCATCTTCGGCGAAGCTGTTCTTTACGTGCGATATGGCGAGCTGGTACACCCTCACGTCGGCGGCGAGCGCACTGCTTGGGCCGGCGAGCGGGCTCGGGACACGGATCTGCTCGCTGAGCGACGTCAGTCGGTCGAGGGCCGCCCTGGTATTCGCGCTCAGCAGATCCATGTCGTGCTGCAGCGACCCAGACAAGACCAGCGACGAGCACGGCGGGCGCCAGTGCGCATGCGTGATGATAAAGTCAGACGCGCTGGAGACTGTGTCAAACGCCGCCCTCATGCGCGTAAACGCAGTGGGTGCCAACGCCGGCATGGAAAAGTTAAAGATGTTGGCAATCATTGCAAAGGCGTAGATGGCGTGCACGTTGTCGCGACCGACATTCTGCAGTGCTACCTGGTAGTCTGCCGTCGCGCGGGTGCTGTACTCGTATGCAATAGCCAGGTAATCGGACTGGCCTGAATGGGCGAGGTCGGCGGCTGCGAGGGCAAAGAGCCCGTTCATCATGTAGCTCTCGAACAGGGCGGCGCGCGGCAGGTGCTCCTGCAGGAAGGGCTGGTCGTCGGGCACGCTGTACAGCGACGCCCAAGTCTTTGTGGACCAGCGATGCATGAGCTCCAGCTCCAAGATCCGCGAAGAACCGGGCGTGGATGAGAAGGCCGTGACTGAAAGGTTCATGGGCTGGATAGCCGGAGTCTCGACTGCATCAGAAGATGAAGATGCAAAGGAGTCTTCGCGGAGTGCCATCTGGCCCTGCAAGGACGACTCTGTCTGGGCCGCAGCGCTGCCAGCATTGTCGGCCGTTCCGCCTCTAACACCTTCCAGCACTGATGGTGATGGTGAGGGCCGAGGTGGATATATGCATTCCGTGGCGCGAACCACGCAGTTTGCGCACCGCGGCGTCTGCTCGTCGCACTGCACGGGCGTCCGTCAGCGATTCTCGCCATTCCCGGATGTCGACTGATACGCGTATTGCTGCTGGGGGCGGGACATGACATGAACTGACCTTGACGTGCCGGCCCTTGCAGGCTAGACACCCCCTGCGCGACTTGGTGTGCGCCCGTCTTCTCTTTTGCTTCTCTGCCACCATTGCGCCTCGTGGAGTCAACCAGCGCCTGGGTCCTGTCCGGGATCTTGTCGTCGGCATCTTTGGGGGCCTTGTCAGCGTCGATCTAGTGTTGGCAGAGGTCTGGGCTGACTCTGACGTATGCGACCGGCTCTCGCACCGCAGCATCCCGCTGCTCGGCGCTTGTAGGGCGCGTATCCCCCACTTGGTCTGCAGCTTGCCATGACAGACACTTTCTGTCGCAATAGGCTGCTTCATGTAGGCCATTGAGAGTTGCGAGGCAGGAGACTTCAATCTCAAGAAAAGAACAATGAAGGGTTCCGATGCCTCTGGACGGTATCGGAATTCTTTGTAGACGTCCAGAGGATTGCTCGATGTGTTGGTGATCCATTCTCCCGGCTTTGTCCCAGACGGTCTCCTCCCGAAGCAAGGGTGATGTGCCGCTTTGCTTGGCAGCTTCTCCAACTTTAGCGCTGACAGCGACATACACAGGTCAATATCTCCCAGGCAGCTCAAAGATGTGACCAGCATCTCCAGTCGTGGCGATGCGACTTGAAGGTTTGCATCCCGTTCATGCTGTCCGCCTCTTCGTAGTCGCGACCGGACCTGCGCTGCCCAACTCAGACAACATTTGAGCCAGACACAACCATGGGCGGCGTACCATCCGTACCCCAAGACCCCACGCGGTCGCTCAAGGTAATCGGCGCGGGCTACTCCCGGACCGGGACCCTCTCCATGGCAATGGCCCTGGAGAAGCTTCTCGACGGGCCGGTCATGCACGGCGGCTCCCAGCTCCTAGGCCGAGAAGACGGTAAATAGTCGCCATCTGCCAGTTGATACGTTCGGGGCTTGATGCTAAACAATGCGCGCTCTTGCCGCAGCGTACGTCAAGCTCTGGTCGGACATTTTCGCCGCACGCCACGATAGGCCGCGCCTGTTGAAGCTCCTGCGCGAGGCGACCGCGAGGTTTGTCGCCATCACCGACGCACCGGGCAACTGCTTCGTCGGCGAGCTGCTCGAGATATACCCGGACGCAGAGGTCGTTTGCGTGCGGCGCGACCGCGCGACGTGGTGGAAAAGCTGGGAGTCGGTCACGCAGCAGGCTGGGCAGGGCTTCCTGAACTGGTTCCTTGCGCCGGTGCCGGGCAAGAGGTGGTATCCGAAGCTCGTTACGCAGTTTCTGGAGCAGTACGTCTCGGCCATTGCACTCCTCGGGCCTTCGGCTATGTGATTTTGAAGCTCGGTAGCTAAGTTGTTTCACAGGCAGGAGGGGAAATGGGGGCCGATGACCGAGAGTAAATGCCCAGAGCTTTCTGACGCGCCGCCTTCTCCCCTTGCTCCTCTTCGCCTGTCAAGTACAGAGCTAAGACGGGCGTTTTGTAGAGCGGATGGACGAACACAATGACTATGTCAGGCAAGTGACTCCGCCAGCCAAGTTCCACATGATGGGACTGCGCGATGGATGGCGTCCCCTCTGTGAGATGCTCAACCTGGACGTCCCAGGCGAGCCCTTTCCTCGAGCCAACGACGCCGAGGCGGTCGAGGGCCTAGCCGGCCAAATATTGGTCGAGGCGGGATCTAGGTGGGGTATCATACTTGCCATTGTTGGGCTTGTTGGGTACGCCGGTTGGCTGGCCGTCAATATGAAGTAGGCCGGGACGGCAGTTGGGTCATGAACTGACTGGAGTCACTGGACCTCGGGACGCGCCACCGCCGTTCATTCTCCACAGTGGTGAATACAAGTCAATGAACAAAACGTGAATTGTCTCGTGCCAGCCCTACACGGCTCGGGTCGCCGTTATGTGAGCCGCATGACACTAAGCCGCACCAGAGCATTCTGGGATGTCGTGTCGATGCAGCCGACCAGACTTGGCAGGTCGTCGACTGAAGGATGGCCGGTGCGGCGCTGGGGGCCGGTGCTGATATGGGCCTATGTCATTGTCGTGCGCATTTACAGTACCTGTCGGCATTGCAGAGTATTTCGCACTTATAGCGAGACTTGCCCCTACGTTAAATAGGCCGAGGGGGGGCTGTCGTCTATTTACACCTCGACCAGCCACGGTGGCACGGTACATGTACAATTGCAAGAGCCTCCTGTAAGCCAAGGCATATTTATTGCCCCTCGGATTGAGCCCACTGCGAACGCCATACACCGTACATATCGCATCGCATCGATCAAGTTTGAGTCACATGATGGGTGTCTCGGACACAGATTGGGACTACGTCCTGGTCGGCGGCGGGCTGTCCGCCACCGTCCTGGCGAGCAGCCTCATTCGCTTCGACGCATCGCTAAAGATTCTCGTCGTCGAAGCTGGCCCCAACGCGAATGACGCAACCGACATTGTCTACGCGAATTCCACGAATCTAGTCGGCGGTGCGTATGATTGGAAAGACAAGACAGTGCCCCAGGCGCACCTGGGCGGCCGCAGCGTCGACGTGCCAGCCGGCCGTGCCCTGGGAGGCGGCACCGTCATCAATATGTGTAATGTTCCACTCATCAAGCGCGGATTGAGGCGCACGCGCGACTAATAAGCCCGAAGGCGGTTGGATTCGTGGTGACAAGGCGGATTACGATCTCTGGGGCGAAGTCGTCGGCGACAAACGATGGAGCTACGCTGGCTTGCTCCCATACATGAGGCAGACGGAGACGCTACACAGCACCGCAATCGACGCCGAACAGCGTGGCGCCACAGGACATATGCACATTCAGACAGTTTCGGGCACGAAGCGAGCCTTCCCGCTGCGGGCCAGTGTGCTCAAGTCTTGGGAGGAGGTCGGAGTGTCAGCGTTACCCAACTTTGACGCAAATGCAGGCTGCGCCCTGGGTGTCGCAGAGCTCCACGAAAACAGATCCAGTGGTCGACGAGAAATATCCTCGGCCGTCTATCCACTCGACGGAGTCACGGTTGTCACAGACACGATGGTCGCCATGATCCTAGTCGACAACGAGGGCAGGCCCCGAGCGCGAGGGATCCAGCTCGAAGACGGAACGCAGGTTCAAGCAAAGGAGGTGATAGTCACAGCCGGCGCTGTGCGCACGCCACAGATCCTCATGCTCTCCGGCATTGGTCCAGCTGCCCAGCTGCGCAAGCACGGCATCGCAGTTTCGCTGGACTCGCCAGACGTGGGCAAGAACCTGTGCGACCACACCCTGCTCGCCACAGCCTGGAAGCTCAAGGATCCATCCGCTGGCCACGCCCTTGGATCAAACAACCCACTGTTTCAGCAGGAGCAGTTTGCCTGGGGCCAGCCGATTGACTTTGTTGTCACTACCGGAGCGCAGGACAAGGCCGGGCTGGCAAAAGCCATCGAGGCGGACGAGGGAGTGGCACCCGACCCAGCGACGCATCCTCTGTTGAAGCAGGAGCGCGCTTTCAACGAACATCTAATTATTTACGCCGGTGCGCCAGACGGTTCGGCGATTGGGCTGTTTCATGTCAACTTGCTGCCTACAGCGCGCGGGACAGTGACCCTTGCGTCTGCGGATGTACGTGACACTCCACTTATAGATCCGAATTTCCTGGGGACGGAAGTGGACAAGTTCATCGCCCGCGATGGCATCCGCCAGCAGATCCGCATTGCTGGGAGCACCGACACGGTCCTCGGGCGGGACATTCTCAGCGGCGAGATGGGCGCTCCCGGCTTCGACGGCGTGTTCACCCCAGAATCGACCGACGACTTTATTGACGGAAGAATCGCCGCGGGACTGGGGTATGCCTTACACTCTCTAATTCAGGGACAATTACTGACTGCATGTTAGATCATGCTATCACTCGATGGGGACTGCAGCGATGGGCAAGGTTGTCGACCCTGATCTTCGAGTCAAGGGCGTGGACAGCCTGCGGGTTGTGGACGCATCGGTGCTTCCAGTGTCGATCACAGGTCATCTTCAAGTGGCCGTTTACGCCTTGGCGCTGCAGGCTGCAGATATAATTCACCGGGATATCAGAGAGCACAAGCAATAGCGTAATAGGAAGACACACCTCAGTAGATCATTTTGAGTGCAAATACATTGTGTGCTGGCACTACTAGAGGTGTTCGATCCCTTCAAATCAGCGGCAAATACCCCCAACTCTCTTCGACGCCACGTCGCCTGCCGCTAATACGAGCAAATGTCAATGTTGGCAGGCGACGTCGCTTTGCCCCATTTCCAGTTCGGGTCCAGCACCGACACGTGGCGCAGGTTGTTCCTCGCCCAGAACTGGTAGTCGCCGTTGCGGAAGTCGTCGTTGGACGTCGGCGGGCACGTGTTCTTGAACGTGGTCGTGTGCCAGTCCTGGTGCACCGAGTGGTGCCACTTGCCGAAGTAGAACTTGCCGTGGTCGCGGTTCTTTTGCTGGAAGTTTTGCCAGTCGTTGTTGCTGATGGTTGGGCCAGGCCTCGGTTAGCTCGACTTGTTCTCGCATTGTGCTGTCAAAGGCAGTGTGGGTGAGAGGGAGAGATGCAGGGCGTACCTGTCAAACGTGTCGTTGATGTCGCCCCAGCCGATGGTCTTGTGGTTGCCGTCTGTGGTGTTCTCGTCAGTGGACATCACTCTGGCTCTCGGTAGTCCCAGAGACGCTGACCTTGCTCCATCGTCACCGAGTCGCGAATCCACTGATCGCGGCCATTGTTGCGAAACGTCACCACAATGCCCTCCCAGTCGCTCTTATGACCCGTGTCCTTCTTAAAGTACACGTAGTAGATGATCTTCCGGGTGCTGCCGCACTGCGCAACCTTCCAGTACGTTGGGATCGTGCCAAACGGTTCCCCGGCGACGTTGCCGTAAAAGGTGTTTGTGCCCTGCCACTGCGGCTGCGGCGGGCAGCCGTGGCCCAGCTTATTGATGTTGCAGTTGTCCGGGTCCACACCGTTCGTCTGGTGGCCCTGGCCGTCCTCAGCGGCAGAGGGCATGCACGTCCCCGAGGCCATGTACCACATCGGCGCGGCGGCCTGGGCGGCGGCGAGGCCATTGTTGTTGGTAAAGTCGCTGCCGGAGATGGGGTTGTTGGCGAGGACGTGCCCTGCACCGAGGAGGACTGTTCCGATGTATGCTGCGGTCTTCATGTTGATGGTGTTGAGGAGCTGTGCTTCGTAGGCTGAACTGTTTGATGAGCCGTGTTGCTTTCTTTCGCTCTGTCGTCCACACTGGGTGGACGCCAACTTATATACGTCGAGTTGTCTGCCCGCGTTGCATGGCACTGATGTTTTCCACATGCACGTGGGCTTTCGTCGAGCGGTGGTCAGCAAAGCCATACTACGGCACAGTCAGTCAGGAACCAGGCCTTGGACCCTGGAGCGGCCTGGCACTCAGCCACTAGGTTAGTGCCCGCACATGCAGCGTCCACGGCATGCAGAGCGCCGCCGCTGTTCTAGACGCTCATGGAGTCCATACAAAGCAGTCCGCATAACATCACGGAAGCTGACAGCCGTGGCCATAATTGGCATCACGGCTCCGCCTCCAGCGTCCCCTGCTCACTTGGTTGGTGGGAAATGTGAGGGCGCCTCGGGTCTCGCTGAATCAGCCCTATTGCTCAACGTGGGCAGTAAGTGCGGTCTCACGGCATTGCCGAATTGCCGTCCCACCTGTGATGCTACCCCTGGGAGGATCAGCTCGACCCAGCTGGGCTTACTTATTGTGTTATTTCACATTCACAGAGCGGATGTAGCCGCTGGTTGGTGCGAAATATCTTAGCCCTATGCCCTTTTGTGTCGTCGACGGCAAAAGACCTCCGGTAGGACCCTGCCGGAGGATGCAACGGGCCTCATTGCGACTCAGCTGTGGCTACTTGACTTGCAATCGCAGCGCGTTATGCACTTGGTAGTATTCCGTCAGCGACAGGCCCCTAGCCTTTCTGTCTCGGTCGCGAGAAGCTGCCTGGCCCACGTGTATGTGCCAGGGTCTGGAAGGGCATAGGCAAATGCCGACATGGCACACCACGTTCTCGGCCACATGTAGTGCTGAGACGCGCACAGGCGCAGTGTCGTCACATTGAGATTGGCTCTCCAGCGCCTCCCGTTACTTTCTGTGAGACGAATAGCATGAACATGAATTGTTCCACCAAGTGACTGGAGGCCTGACTATGGGAACATCCATCAACATCCACGTGCTAATTCACGCAATAGTGTTCAGCCCTTGAACAATTCGCTCACTGATCAGCGGGCGTTATTGCCTCATAAGGGAGACCGAAGAGGGTGAAGACTTAATGAAACACTGTAGTATGTACACGAAGGTGTCAGGCACCAGCCGACCTTTACGGATGCCGTAACTCGTGAACGTCGGCGCAGCAATACCGCGCCGCGGCCCAGACGACGCCCTTCCAGACCTCAAGCTCGCGCTGGTCGCGCGGAGCATACACCAGCGTGTATCCCCAGCCGAGAAGCCCCCCGCTGAGCCTGTGTCGCTGGCCCCATCCCTGCTCGATGACGGACCTGGAATCGGCGAGAGACAGCGTGAGGTGCGTGCTGCCATCTGGCGGGTGGACGTGAATCATCTCGCCTTTCGTCGTTTTTAGAAACGCTGGTCTGGCGATGTCGCTCTTGAGCTGGACGGCCGGCACGGGTCCTTCCAACACCGACAACTCGTACTGCAGGACGGAAGAATTGGCTGCCACCAAGGCGCTCAGAAATTTGTGCATCTGCACTTTCATCTCCGCGGACGCCACGGCGGTGATCTGCCGCTGTGGCGCGACGAAGCCTGGGATGGTCGGCCGAGAGCCGCGTCGGGGCTGGAGGCCATCCACGAGGAAGCTTGTTGCGGCATGCGGTCCGTATGTGTCCTTTTCGGCTTCGATGTCGTACGGCGCGGGGACTGTCGTGTCTTTGCGGGCGAGGCGTGATAGCTTCAGCTGCTTGTACCAGCCCCAGAAGGTGTCTGGCAGGCCGTGGGGTCCGAGGGCGACGTATGCGCGGTAGTCGCGGTAGGCGACAAGGAGGAGCGTGGCGCTCGCTGCCGCGACGATGGCCAACGTGTATCCGCCGGTAGTGGTGGCCATGACGCCGGTGGATTGAACCTCGGAGTGTTCTGTGTCGTGTTCGGTGTCGAGATCGCGGACGATGTGCGGCGTGGTCGGATGGGCGTCCAAAAGCAGGCGCTCGACAGATGTGGTGATCACAAAGTAGACAGTGTCAGACTTCAAGCAATGCAATCATCAAGCCGTGAGCAACATGAGGTGCGTTGCGCATTATATACCGGCCGTGTCATGCACCCAGGACAACCCAACAGCACCATCATCATCGACAGGTGAGACACGCTCGGATTCGCTCAATGCGGCCACCTCGCGCCTTTCGCATGAGGCGCGTAAATACGGAGCGGCAAATTCGTGGACCATCGCCAATGGACCAAACTGTTTCACAGGATGCCGTGTTGCCCCTTACTCTTAGGGAGTGCCGTGCGTCGCCTTCGGACGTCCGAACTCTGGAGGCGACACAGCGCGACGGCCCGGGCCCCGCTAAAACCGGCGCCGTGCGATGAGTGAGAGCTTGGGCTTATGGCTTGGAATTGTTTGGTCTGATCTTGGGCTTGAGCTTACACGCCCAGTCGAGGACGGACGGGCACCTCCGCCACAGAGGGTGCGTCATCCTTCCTTGGGATCTTGGCCCCCGCAGCGCCCGATCCGTCCGGCGATGGTGCTGACGCGGGGAACCGCTGTCCCGCTTGGCGGAGGGTTGGCTGCCTGTCACGTCCACTGGTGCCTCCCAGAGTGAGTGCAGTGCACTCATGATGCTCACCAGAGTCACCGCAGCCATGCCTCGGCAGGAATGGTCGTCTGCGTGGCGCAGGACACGCCGTCACCACTTCGCACAGCCAAGAAACGACTTGGACGACGAAGCAGCACGAAGCTTGCTTGGGATACCGTGCATCGGCGGGCGGCGCATTCGACGTCGAGCAACCCACGCGGGCCAGACCCCCCGGCCGCCCGCGTGCCGCGAAGCCGCATCGGAATCGCCCATCGCCCAAATCGTCCCAGCCATTTCCCCAAAGCCAACCACCCATCCGCCTATTCCAGAAACCGATTCGATCCATGGCCCTACGCGGCGCCATTAGTTATACCCGAGGCGAATGGAAGTGCGGGGATTGGTAATGGATGTCATCGCCCAGCCGGGGTGCCAACCACTAACGCGATGCACCCACGGCGATGGCTTCCCTGAACGAGCTTCGAGAGCTCAGCTAGCTGTTGACGAGGGCGAGGCGAGGCGAGGCAGCGCACCTAATCCCATGGGGTTTCGCACTCCTCCAAGAGCCCGCCCGCCTGCCGCCGCGGAGCTCGCTTGCGTGCCCTAGTGCTGCACCTCCAACGTTTACTTTTTTGCTGCTCCTCCTTCTCGGTTGCATCGGAGGCGGGTAAATCCCTGGGGCATGTCGCTGTGCGGTGTCGTCATGACGTAAAGGTGTGCGTCCCGTCCCGAGGCTCAGCAACCTTGGCCTGCCTTTCGTGCGGGGTGATGCGATGGCGATGAACTCACCGCTCGGGGAGCCCTTGCAGAACGGACGGACGATGGTCGTTGCCTGGCCGTTGACCGTTGCCCTGGCTCGTCATGTCCTCCGCGCAGCTTATATAGTCGTGATGCCCGCGGTGGACTCGTAGGACATAGACTGACCCGTCCAGCGAGCTTCCCACGGCGAATTTCCTCAGTCTTCCAGCAGTGTAATATCCGCAATGGTATTTCTATCGAGCGTTCTTGTCGCTGCGGCGGCGCTGACGGGCGCCGCATCCGCGTCGTCATATCCCCGGTTCTCCTCTCTGGAACCGCGCGCAACCAGCGAAAAGGGACCAATTGCACCGAAACAGGACCCGTGGTACACGGCGCCGCCGTCCTTCGCCTCAGGCGAGCCCGGGCAGATCCTCCGCATCCGCCCTGCGCCCGGCAACCTCACCAAGGTCGTCGCAAACTGCTCCGCCGCCTACAACATCCTCTACCGCACGACCGACAGCCACTACAAGCCGACCTGGGCCGTCACCACGCTGTTTGTGCCCAAGACGGCAAACGGGACCGCGTCGTCGTCATGGGGCAAGGCGCTGCTTTCGTACCAGATCCCGTACGACTCGGCCGATGTTGATGCCAGTCCGTCGTACGCTCTGTACAAGAACCCGCCCGGGGACATTGCGACTGCTCTCGGTCGGAGCTGGTTCGTCAGCGTGCCCGACTATGAAGGTCCTCTGGGATCGTTCACGGCTGGCGTCATGTCTGGCCATGCCACGCTCGACTCCGTCAGGGCGGTACGCGCGGCGTCGTTCGGCTTGCTGCCCGACGCTCGCTATGCCATGTGGGGATACTCGGGCGGCGCGCTGGCAAGCGAATGGGCGGCCGAGCTGGCGGTGCAATACGCTCCAGAGCTGCAGTTTGCAGGTGCCGCGCTCGGCGGTCTGACTCCCAATGTCACGTCGGTGATGCTCACCCTGGAGGGCAGCATCGGCGTCGGGCTCGTCCCGTCGGGGATCCTCGGCCTTGCGAGCCAGTATCCCGAGCTGCGCAAGTACATCGAGGACAACCTCAAGACGGACGGCAAGTTCAACAAGACGGGCTTCCTGGCCGCCGAGAACTACACGCTCGCCGAGTCGGCCGTCGCGTACGCCAACCACAACATCTCCGACTACTTCAAGAACGGGTTCGACCTCATCTACTCGCCCGTCGCGCAGCGCGTCATCAACAGCGACGGGCAGATGGGCTACCACGGCGTGCCGCAGATGCCGCTCTACGTGTACAAGGCGGTGCAGGACGAGATCAGCCCGGCCAACGAGACGGACGCCCTCGTCGAGAAATACTGCACCGTGGGCGCCACCATCAGCTACGTCAGGAACGCCGCCGGAAGCCACACGACCGAGTTTGTTAATGGGCTGGCGGGCGCGTCCAAGTTTCTGCAGAGCGTGCTGGCTGGCAACTACAACTCGACGGGCTGCACGACTAAGAACGTCAACATTAGCCTGGTGGACAATTCGCTGCAGCGACGTGATCTCCATTTGCTTTGGTAGCGTGCGTGTCTTGAGAGAGCCTTGTTTGGTAAATCAATAAACAGAAAATTTTGTGTCAATCGCATGCAATGTAACGGTGCGCCCGGACCTCGCAAACAAAATGTGCCCTGCAGGTGACATGGATGGACTGAAATGGTCGACACACCAATGTCATGAATACAGCAATGCGTGTCATCAGACAAGATTTACATGTACATCATAATGAGCATTGCCATCTACAAACACCTACCAGCGTATGATATTGTATGCATATGTCCATGGTCCATTGCAAAGAAGATTGAACATGGCCCCATTGAAGTTCCACCTGTCTCGACGACAAAGTTAGCTACCCTATACCTCTCGATCGCCACGGACACAAGCCCGCCGCTGCAGCAGCACTCTTGGCGTGATCGCGGTCATTTATTGAGATCAATCAGCTGACTTATGACACCGCGGATATCCAGGAAGCTCATGCGGCGCTGTTCAGCATTCTGCGAAACGCGGTGGAAATGCCTCCCTGCACAAACTGTGGACTCAAGGGTGGATAGGCTGGGTCACCGTGGAATTGCGTTCACCTCGAGCCACCCTCTAATCGATTGTACGAGAAAAGGCAGGCGCATTGTGCGAGATCGCTGAGTTACCAGTAGACAGCCCTAAGAACGCCGAGATCACAGGTGTTCTCTGGAGGTTGGAGTCGTGATAAACCGACCACATGCACTGCGTCTTCAACCAAGTCAAGGGTTCACATGGCTCGGAAACGTCGAAACAACCCTTGGGCTCTTGGGCGACATCGTGTGATAGCTCTCATCGGCGGCTCAATCCCGGTGCCGCTTACGAAATACGGTCTTCTACAAACCTGACCGAACCCAAGGTGAAGCATTGTGTTCTGGAACCCGGCAGTGGATTCAAGCATGCCATCTCGGTGAAGGCCCGTATCAACGACCGGTGGGGCAGTGACGACGGCCCCGGTTCAGGTTTCATATTGCGCCGAGCGACGGACACTTGGAGCTGCCGCAAGGCCCACGGGCAACGGGGCGCTGGCATGCTTCCAGCACGATTCTCGCAGGGCGCTTGCAGGGCACAATGGCCCGCAGCGCGGCCGCCAAGATCATACGACGAATGTTGATTTGTCCAAGCCTCCCGGGCTCTCGGGCTGGTCTGGCGCTAGGTCGCAGCTGTGGGCGGGCGATCGTCGCCTCGTGCATGCATGTGCCGTGGAAGAGAGACAGGGCCCTTGAGAAGCACGATTCAGTGCGCATTTGCCAACGTCAGCCGTGCCTGTCTCATGTCTCCCTTCCGCAAGGCATGAACCTGGGTGTTCCTGGAGCGAGATTGAGTATGGTGTCACGCGCCTTGGTTCGAACATGGACTCGCCTCGGCGCAGCCTCAAAGGCGATATGCAAGGATGAAGCCACCCCGCGAACGAACCGAGCCTCAATGGCTATGGCGATACGTCATGATACGTTCTGCCTGCCTGCGGCTAAACGGTCGGACCTTGAAAAAATATTGGCTGACTTCCCGCGGCAGCTTCGCCTCAAGTTCGGAGATGCAGCCCAGCGGTCCCTCATTAGGGTTAGGGGACCGCCGACGTGGCTTCGGCTGGACGACGAACGGCACGCGAACACGGCCGCCGACACGTCAGGGATGTCAAGCTAGCCTCTTGGTCCCTCTATCAGCGGGTTATGCCCGGTGGGACCATACTGAACCAGGGTCGCCCAGGAATGGGAGGGAGCCTGGGCATGACCAAGTTAACTTAGTGGGCGTGCGCTCCCTTGACTCAATCGCAGGGCTGCGCCGCCCGGCCATGGAAAAACAAAACAATGCTGACGGAGGACTCCATGCCACGCCACACGTCGGGCAACTATAGATGGCTTGCAACGTCTGCCTCGGCTTCGAGGGTGAAGACACGGGCAGGCCCGGACACCACGAGCCTCATCGGCCACCGAAATGGGCCGGGACGGTTTTGCAGTGCTGGGTTCCACAGAGAGCCGCAACGACGCCCGCCACCGGGACCTGGTGCTGTCCATGACTGGGTGGCGCACCGGCGGTCGGCTCGTCCGGATGCAGGGCTCAGATCTTCGGATCGATGCGGCATTTCCCAAGCCAATGGGTCCGCTACCGGGCCGGACCCCACCGGCCGCGTTCGATCATCGGTCCTACTGTGGGAAACGTCGTTTCGGTCTTTGCGAGAAAGAAAACTGCAGGGAAGCAGATTGTTGCGATGGAACACAAACGGTTGCGTCGGGGCGGCCCAGTCTTGTCCTGCGCGCGCTGGCTTCCTGCTTTCTGAATCCTGATGATGATTAGTAGCGCTAGAACGGACTCGGGGGGGCCTGGCTCTTGCAGCTGTCCGGTTCGGCGCCGGCTGCTCAACAAACAGCGGCGTCGTGAGCCAAGATGCCGTTTTGAGCCCCGTGATCGACCTCAACAACTCGACGTCTGCTTGGCTTGAACGGCTTGGCAGAGGGAGTCTTGTTCGCGGCAGTTCAAGCCAGAGTGGGATAGCAAGCCGCAACCCACGTCCCTCCGCCCTCGGGGTCCCGCCCAAGACTCAACACCCCGGGACCGACACACAACACATGACTGGAAAAGCTCACCGTGGCAACACTTGTCGCCTGTCATGTTCGGCCCATTTGCTGAATGTCTCGTGATTAGCTCCGACTTGTCCTCGTGCTGGAGCGCGGCCTCTGTTCCCCGTCTAGCTTTTCCACACACCAGACTCCAGTCGCAATGACGACACGCGCGCAGCTGGGTTCGCCGTGCCCGCGCGGACCCCCGTGTCGCGGGCGTGGAGCCCAAGGCCGCCCCCAGAGACATACTTTCGCCTACGCCGGCAACGGTGCTTAGCTTCGAGTTTGACATGTACGTAGTGCACTCAATGCGCCTGGCGCGCGCGGGCGCGATCCAATAAATATAACTGGTTTTTGGCAGCTCCTTGTCCTGGGGACCCGATTCCTCCCCTCGGTCTTCTTACTCCCACAGCTTATCATCCTGTCTTTCGACATTGATCCTCGTCGGACAAAACTCTCACCCACCCATTATCATATACCACAACTCGGCATTGTAGAGCATCATGGGGCTCTTCAAGAAGAGGGAGGCTGGCCTGTCCTCACACCACAGCAATGGCCATCCACCTAAAGAAGGTCCCATCGATGGACCTGCCGACAGTAACATCAACGGCAACGACCTGGCTGAGCAAAAGGTGACCTGGATTGCTTGCATTCTGGGTGCCGTCGCCAGTATCGGCGGCTTCATCTTCGGATACATCAGGTATGGCCTTTCTTTGCCTGCAGACGACACGAGCTCCAGACTCGCGTACATGCTGCGCTCGCGATCGAAGCTTGGCTAACGATATGCGCACAGTGGTCAAATCTCTGGCTTCTTCTTGATGCAGGACTATGCCGAGCGCTTCGGAGAGCTGCAGAGCGACGGCTCGTACACTTTCAGCGCCGCCCGGCAAGGCACAATCGTCGGTTTGCTGAGCGTCGGTGCCCTTCTCGGCGCCCTCCTCGCAGGAAAGATGGCCGACACCATTGGCCGCCGCCTGACCATCTCCGCCTCCGCGTTCTTCACCTGCATCGGAACCATCATCGAAATATCCTCGTCGCACCACTGGGTTCAATTCGCCATTGGCCGCCTCGTCAGCGGTCTCAGCATCGGCTCCCTGTCCGTCGTCGTCCCCATGTACCAGGGCGAGAGTACGCCGGCTGTGATTCGCGGTGTCATCATCTCGTCCTACCAGCTGCTCATCACCCTGGGAATCTGGACCGCAGAAATGGTGAACTGGGGTACCGAGGCGAAAGCCAGCAGTGCCTCGTGGCGAATCCCCAACGGCCTCTCGTTCGCGTGGGCCCTGATCCTTGGCGTTGGCATCCTCTTCATGCCCGAGTCTCCGAGATACGCCTACGGCAAGGGACGAATTGACGAGGCTCGCAACACCATTGCGCGCCTCTCTGGCCTGCCGGCTCATTCCGATGGCGTCAACCACCAGATCGACGACATCCGCCAGAAGGTGGAGGAAGAGAACGAGAGCCAAAAGGCGTTCCACTTCACCGAGATCTTCACCGGCCCGCGCATGATGTACCGCACGATCCTCGGTATCGTCCTGCAGGCCGGCCAGCAGCTGACCGGCGCCAACTTCTTCTTCTACTTCGGAACGACCGTCTTTGCCGCGACCGGCATCAGCAACAGCTACACCACGCAGATCATTCTAGGATCCGTCAACGTCTTCTGCACCATCATTGGGCTTTGGATCATCAAGCGATTCGGCCGCCGACCGATTCTCATGATCGGCGCTGCCTGGATGATGATGTGCTTCTTGTGAGTTGGTCCCTTGGCAAAATGATAATGTACTGTACTGACTATTTTTCAGCATCTACGCCTTTGTTGGCCACTTTGCCCTCGACAACGAGGATCCCATGCGAACCCCCAAGGCAGGCTCTGCGCTCGTCACGTTCTCCTGCCTGGCCATCGCAGCGTTTGCCGTCAGTTGGGGTCCTCTTGTGTGGGCCGTCAATGCTGAGTTGTATCCCCTGCGCTACCGGAGTACCTGCATGGGCCTTGCCACGGCCTCCAACTGGCTCTGGAACTTCCTCATCTCCTTCTTGTAAGTTACCCAGCGTTGCAGCCACTGTGCTTCGGTATCGTTGACTAACGACTGTATTCAGCACGCGTTTCATCACCGATGCGATCGACTACTTGTACGGCCTCGTCTTTGCTGGATGCTGCGCGGCCCTCGTCGTCATCGTATTCTTCTTCGTCATCGAGTCCAAGGATCGCACGCTCGAGGAGATCGACACCATGTACGTCCGTCACGTCAGCGCGATCCACTCGGGCCGCTGGGACACGCACGACTATCGCCAGGAGGTCCGGCGGAGAAGTGAAGCGAGAAGCGAGGCGGCGCGAAGCGAGGGACGAGTCGATGGCAACGAAGCATGAGCGTCGTTTCAGAAAGCAGCAAGTTGGGCTCAACTGAGTTACAGCTTCAATGCTGCCACCGTGGGGAGCATACATACATGAAAGGAAGCATAATTTCGACGGGAGGGTGCATCGAGGAAGTATGCTGAGTTCTCTCATCTCAAGTATATGTTTGCATTTGCGCGTTGCAACCCTAAAAGGGCAACCTGGAGATACCACGCAGACATGGCCTCGAGGGGTTGAAACAAGGATGTATAAATAGATGCCTTACGAACATGAATTGCCGTGCAAACGGCTTATCCTGCTACCTTCGGGGCGAAATCAGCTCCAAGTAGTTGTCTATGTCTTGCTTCTGCTGTGATGCAAACCCGGCCGGAGAGAATCGTCGCAGCTCGTTCAATCGTGACCACTCAGGGCAATCGTAAGGCGCGAACAGCGTATCCCAGCAGCAGCTGGACATATTTTCTACGGCATGTTCCGAAGAGGTCCTTTAACCCCGCACCCAAGGCGTGGTGTAGTCAAGGCCAGTTCATCAATGTTTCACTGCCACTGGGATTGTTGTATCCAGGTCACCAAGGTAAATGCACACAGTACAACTTCCACCAGGGGTGGATCTCGTTCCGAATTGAATGAATTGAATTCGATACGGCTTGCTGTATACTCAATAATCTGTTCGTTATTCTAAATGTATCCTGCCAAACTCTCCGCACGGCATCTTTTGCCCACACAGGGTCTCTCCATTATCGAGGGCGATTGTAGATGGACAGGCGCTTAAGCGCCAATCGCGAGCGGGTTCCAGAAGGTGCTGGCCGGGTCCACCTTCTTCTTGATCGACAGCAGCCTAGCATAGATCTTCTGGCCGTAGTAGAGCTCATGAGCCTCCGCGGGGGTGAGCTCGGGATCGATGTAGTTGGCGTAGGCACCGAACTTGGTGTTGGGCATCTTCTTGGTGAGGGACTCCTGCAGTCCCTTGAGGTAGGGCTTGAGGCTGTCGTCAAACTTCGCATCGAGCGCCACGGAACCGACGTTCTGGATAACAAACAGCGAGTCGCGGTCCTTGTACGCCGACCAGCTGTCGTCGTAGATGTTGATCTGGCTGTCAGGGCCGCCGTAGAGGTTGCCAATGCTGTACCAGCCGGCCTTCTTGTTGGTGAAGGTGTAGGTGAAGAAGCTGGTGAGGGCGTCCTCGGTGAATCGATCCGGGGTGACAATAGACTTGGCATACATGTTGTCATGGCCCTTGTACTGGCCGGGCTGGTTGGCCTGGGCAAGCACGCTGTGGTCCAAGGTGCCGGCGTGGTACAGAGACTGGCTGTCGAGCCAGCCAACTGACCGGACGTCAGACTTGCTCGGCTTAGGCAGGCCGCGCAGGATCTCGGGAGCAATCTTGCTGTTGAACTCGTCCAGGGTGCCGAAGAACTTGCCGCGAAGGACGAAGGCGGTGGGATCATAGTACCAGCCCCAGGACAGGCGGCGATCCTGAACAGTCTTGTTCAGGGCAAAGTCCTGGATGTGCACAAAGGACTTGACAGCGGTGGCGACATCCTTCATGACGTCCGGAAGGTCGTAGGTCCAGTAGACCAGCGACTCGGGGGCGGCCTGGGTGCGGACGTGGAACTTGGTGACAATGGCAATGGAGTCGGCGGCTCCGCGGACAGCCCAGAAGAGGTCCTTGTTGCTCGTGGCAGAGGCGGTGAGCTCAGTGCCGTCCGCAAGGACGAGGTCGAGGTCCAGGATGTGGTCAAGAGCCAAGCCCCAGATGCGAGAGTCGTATCCGTACCCGCCGTGGGTGCTGTGTCCTCCAATGCCGACACCGGCGCAGGTGCCATGGCTCATGGCGCGCTTGCCTTGGTCCCAGAGAGCAAGGTCGACGTTGCCAAGGCGCAGACCGGCGCCAATGTCAGCCGTGCCGTCGGCGCGGACGGTGACCTTGTTGAGGCCGGCGAGGTCGATGACGACACTGCCGTTCTTGCCACCCAGGCCAAAGGCGGCATATGAATGGCCGCCACCACGGGCTTGAACCTGTGCCATTGTTAGAACTGTAAAGTGCGAGCATGGCCTGTGCCTCCAGCAGGCATCAAGACGGTACACACCTTGAAGTCACCGCACTGGCGCACACACTTGAGCGCCTTGGAGACCTCACCAGCCTCCTTCACGGTAACCACCGTGTTGGGGGTGTAGTGGAGGCGCAGGTTGAACGGGTCGATAAGGGCGTTCCATGTCGAATCGCCGGCGACAGAAGACGAGATCTTCTGCCAGTCCAGGCAGCCCTTGAGGCACGACGCGTCCTTCTGTGTCACGGGCCCAGCATAGGCGGCCGTCGACAAGGCGGAGACAACAACTGCGGCGGTGACCTTCATCTTGTCCCGAGTTTGTAATGTTCAAGATGGAGAAGACTTGGGTTGAAACGCTGAGAGCTCGGCCCCTTCTCCTCCACGGGCTCCCGTATTTATACGAAACCCCGACCGTGCTGTTGTGAGATGGTGAATCTGGCCAATATGCCTTGAATCCTTCTCCCGAACGTCGTGCAAATGGCTCGTGTCACAGCCATGGGCCGTGCCTCCCTGTCAGCCCGGACCGAGGGCTTCGTGGGGGAGTACGCGTCCTAGCTAGAGGAACGAGCGCCAGTCTAGGATGAAGCCGAGAAGCCTGCGCCTCAAGAATCCTCCGGCTTACTCCCTCAGTCCCCCATCTATGATAGCGTCGCTAGAAAACCAGGCGAACCGAGAAATGCAAGCGAGCTAGTTGGGTTTGGACGAGCCGTGAGACTCAAGGACTGGGACGATTGAACTTGGCACGAAGATGAGATAATGTCAGCTGACATACCTCGTACATTGTTCGCAAAACTGGAGCTGAGAAACGGTGAACGACGATCCTTCGGGTCTTCCCGTCAATAGAGCGCCCACTCATAACCGGGAACACTGAGGCATCGGAAACTTTATCGCGAGGAAACACTTCGCTCCCCGCAATCGCTGTTAGACCGTACTCCGCTTTGGTCAGCAAAACGTGCCTGCCGCGTTGCCAATTACCATCGCAAAAAGTGATGGCCATACTAACCCCTGGCTTCGGCAAAGGTCCATCCCCTCCGCGCTGACCCCAAATGACCCCCATCCTCAACGCCCAAGCCCGGGGGTGATGGGCCGCCGGGCGAACCCCACTGATCCCACTGAAGATCATTACCCCACTGAGCCGCAACGTTGCAGTAAGACGTGAGAAACGTGGATTCTCAATGGCTGTGCAAGTCATTCAGTTCCGATAGCGTGGGTCGCTTCGGCACGTGGTGGGGGTCACTGCGCTGTGCTTCCGCGTAACTCGAGGGACTAGAATATTATATGCTTCTATTTCTTTACTGTACCTTGACCGTTGACCTATCAATTATTTGCCAACAACATATGGCTTGTCATCCTTGAAGATGAGACCGGGCTTCCTCTCCGCCAGGTCTAGAATCATCTCGCCAAAGTAGCTATTCGCCCAGGCGAACCAGGGGCGGGTAAACTCGCTAGCGTTGTAAATATTAACGCTTTCGTGAATGAGGCCCAGGCCCGACGTGTTCTCCAGGATCAGCGCCAGACGGGATTTGATCTCGTCGTCGTCGTCGGTTCCGTAGATACCGGAAATCTGGGACATTGGCCACGGGTGTGTTGCATCCGCATGCGGCCCACTGCAGCAATCATTCCGATTAGACGAGCTGCCTCGTGGGGGGAGGCGAGGGGGGTAGGATTGCACTTACCCAATACCGCTGAAACCCTGGCCGATGGCAAAGTAGGGGTTCGCACGCGAGAACATGGCTTTCTTGGTCTTGATGTATGTCGAGTCGTTGCGGGGTAGGAAGCCAAGGTACGGCAGCGAGACCAGGCTGGGCACGTTGGCATCATCCATGACATACTGTCCACCGAATCCGTTCGTCTCATACGCAAAGATCCCGTTCGGGGTCTGCGTGTTCTGCCAGACGGCGTTTCTGATGATGGCAGAGTATCGTGCGAGCTTGCTCGATAGCGCGTCTTCCTTCTTGAGTGTCTTCAGCATGTCGGAGACGTGGCCCAGCTCCACCGCCATCATGGCATTGTCGGAGGTAATGTAGTCTTGATTTTCCGCGTTAGCCCCAGGTCTTTCGCGCTCTTCTCCAAAGGCAAAAATTCCATGATGCCTGTTAAAACATGCAGGGGTAACCTACTGAAGACACAAAGGTCATCAGACGGCCGATGGCTGCAGGCAACGAGGCCATTTGCTTGCTTGGGCTCGCCGTTGCCACCATTGGGAACGGGCGGCGAAAGGGAACCTGTCAGGCCGGTCCAGTTGTAGTAGCTTGTAAACTCGAAGTCATTGCTCCAAGTGCTCTGGGACTGGTTGCGGAGCACGTTGGTGATCTGGTCCAAAGCAGCCAGCCCTGGAGACGAATCAGTGATTGAATCCCAGAATAACGCAAGCGGCTGGGGCCGGAGAGGACGCACAGTTGTCATTAATGAAGCTCGCATCTTTAGTGTTGGCGTAGTACGACCTCGAGATCTTGAGGAAGCCAGCAAGCGAGTCAAGCTCGTACTAAGGGGCACTGTCAGTATGGGAATGCTACAGTACCTAGGCCTACGCGATGCGCTTACCTTGCACTCGAAGACCGTGTGGTTGTCAACAGGCCTGAAGGGGGTTCTGGTGAGCGACTGGCGCACAGATCAGGAAACGGCCATGACCTACGGATTGACTCTGACTTTGAGCGCATAGTCCTATACCGAGCGTGTCAGAATGAGTGCTCATACCACGCCAACAAGCGAGGAGGAGGTATCGCTGGTTTGTGGGCACTTACATTGACTGTGGGCTTCAGTCCACTCTCTGGCGGAGGCTGGAACGCGCCTGTACCGATAGTTTGTCAGCGCATGGCCTCTGGCGAGCTTCATCCCTTCATGTTGCGGCGGGTTGGCTGTGGTCGGGTGTTGCTCGGTTCACTCACCGCAGTAAGGATACTTTGAGATGTACCGGGCTTCGGTGTTAATGATAGCCTTGACAAGAGCCTGCAGGTCCTTATCGAGCGGGAGCAGCTTGTAAAGGTGTGCAAACTGGTTGCCCGTGTCCCGGAGCCACTGAGCGCTATAATGCATGTTAGTCACGGACGCGAAAAACGTCTGGTGGATATTCCTACGTGATGTCCTATAATTCCCGCGACTCCAGTCAGCGTTCACAGCCATGAACACCTCAAGCCCAGCGACAACTTACACCCGTGACGATGAATGCCAAGTTGGACTTTGGGTCAAAGTACTTGACCGTCGTGTCGAGAGTGGAAGGGAAGGCATTCTCGAAAAGACGAGCCAGGTCGGGGTCCCTGAGACGGCCCTTGATGTCCTGGATGACTTTCTGTGGTGGTCGATTGCGGTCAGAAATTGTTGGCTGTTGGACGCTGCAAGTTGGACCTGGCCCAACTCACCTCGACGGCAGAGCTGTTAAAGGTCCGGCACTCAGGGCTGGGCCTCATGAACGGCAGTGCCAGTGGCCCGTCGGACAAGGGCTTGTGGGGCTCTTGCGAGTACTCGGTGTAGTCCGGGCACGACGCGGGGGTCCTGTTGTGAGCCTCATACTGCTGTCCCAGCGCCTGACCCAGCAGGCCAACGACGGACAGCAGTGCTGACTTGACGGTGAAGGGACGCATGGCGGCAAGAGTGGGCTGTGCGTCAAAGCTGAGTTGAGTTTCCGAACGCTGCAACATCGAGGGTCGTTCAAATGTTGTGGCCTCGAGGGAAACCCCCGATCGACGCGCAGGTCTCGGACGTAATCTTATGTACTCCATGCCATCGATCCCGCCCGCGCAGCCCGGCCAAGGACCCCGCGTCAACACCACCCGCCAGAAGTGGGGAGATGCCACGAACGTCTTGCTACCGCTGCTCTAGCATCACGTTGTCAACTATATGGGGTGATACGATGGGGTGCGGGGAAGTGGATGAAGTACAAGCGGGCCAACAAGGTGCTGTAAAAGTCATTGTGATCGGCGCCGGAAAGGCTACGCAGGATGGCTATGATGCCGGAGTGCAGCTCATGGTGCGAGCAAGACAACAAGGCACGCATTTCTCCGATCTTTGGCCCGACGCCTATGCAGGGCGGGATGACAGCATTGTGCATGGACCAACAACCGTCGGCTCCCCGTCGCGTCTGACCGCTCCCTCAACTCATTTTTGTCCACTGGAGTCGTTCACTGCCGGTAGCACGGACCAGACTGGCCTCTCCGGCGCGGACCTTGTGCCGAAGCGGCCTAACGTTGTACCCCAGAAATTGGACTGTCTCAACTGCCAGTGGTGCGACGCGTCTCCAGCCATCGCACGAGCAGGCGTCGTGCACAAGTGTTTGAGAAGCGACGCGCGAAGTGGCGTGAACGGGTAGCCGCAAATGGAATTATGCTTTCAGCACATCTGCCCATGTTGAGGGAAACAAAGCACCGCCACGGCCACTGCATCCCCACAGTCGCCCGCAGGCCCACTGCATTGTGGTTTACATGCACCTGAAGCCTCGAGACGAACCACCAGACATCGTGGAGACTTCCGCGGCTTCCCTGTAACGTCGTACTTGAACTATGCGAATGCTTCCCGTGTTGAGTGACTCCGGTGCACGCCACTTGCCGCAATCATGCTAGGTTGAGGCCTGATTTTCCGGATGCGACTCTGCCGCGTTGCGTGCGCCCGTCGCTTTGCGCTGGTTCCGCTTACACCGGGTCGATACACATTCTGAATTTGTGGCGATGAAGATGCCGCTCCAGCCTACAGCAGCTACCAGACGCATGGGAGATTCACGTTGCAGCCCCGCAGACGCTGAACCAAGTACATCGTGGCCAAGTTGAGTGCGGAACCATCTACTCGGGCCCTCTTGAAAGCGGAATACTCCAGCCTCCGCTCGGAGACCGGCAAGCTGGGGCCGAGGTGCGGGTGGACATGATGGAAGCACCCGTCTTCTATACGGAGTCGACTGATTCGGCACCTGGCTTGGCTGTGGATGGGGTGGCGGCAGGGCCTGTGATGGCTTCTCTTTGTTCCCAGCGATGCGTCTCAATTCCACCAGCACGCATGAAAGTATGTCTAGACATTCGCCCATTACAAGCCTCGAAACTCTTTGCATCACCAGCAGGGCCACGGTGAGTCCGTACTACATAGGTATCATGCACATTCGGTTGCATGTTCCACGAGGCAGGCAGAGTGCAACGCTTCGGATCATGTAAAATTGATGTCTGATGCCTCAGTGTTTGAGCCGAGCATGTCAGTTGTCTATACGATAAGAAGGCACCGGTGTGTGAAGGAAGTAACAAATCCGCCTCATCATTTCGAGTCCGATTTAGCAACCGCTCGAAGCCCCGCCCCTAACACTGTCACCATGGCTCCCTGCATTTGCTCGGTTGAACACGGACAGGGTGCCGGCTCCGTACTTGGACGAGTATGAGACGCTGGATGAGCAGCCACCAGTGTGCCATCCTCCAATGTTGCCGATGACATTTCCATGCTTCGTCTTGGCATCGTAACTGGCAATCCACGGAGATCCGCTCGTACCGCCCTTAAAGGGGCCGCAGGAGAGGCCGAGTTGGCCAGCCTTGGCTTCGTAGGTGCCAACGTGGCAGTGCATGGGCTTTTGCTCGTTATCGTTATATCCCACCACCTCGACGGTGTTTTTGTAGCCAGCGGTGGTGACCAATTTGTTGGCCCCAACTACAGATTGGACGGTGACCGATTTTCCATTATGGGTGCCCTTTCCGAGAGTGAGGAAAGCGTAGTCATGGTTGATGTTGTGGTTCTTGTTCCAGTTCGGGTGGACGTAAGCGGCGGTTACAGGGTACGTGCCATACGGCGCCTTGCCGTCGTGATAGCCGGGTGCGAAGCGGATGCCACCTCCCGTTCCGCTGATGCAGTGCGCGGCCGTGAGGATGACGTTGCCATTCTTGCTTGCGATGACGCTGGCGCTGCAATAGTGTTTCTTGACGTCGTCACGGTACAGCACTCCCACACTGGGAATGCCATCAAACGGTGTCGCGCCCGCCAAGACGCATGGGAGCGCCACGGCCAAAGAAATGAGGAAAGATTTCATGATGAGCAAGGTGAATGAAGTGTTAAATCTGTCTCTGTTGATGCAGGCTCAACAAGACGAGGTATCGCAGCGGAGGACGTCGCATATATAGTTTTCAGGACTCAGGCACGAGAGCCGTCTTACTCAACCCCTTGGGTCCGACGGGGTTTCTCGTCGCCGCAGCAGTCGAGACTGAAAAGCGTACAGAATCAGGTACAGGTTGTCGGCAGGGCAGATCTCTTGGCGATCGGCGAGCAAGGGTCCGTCTGGTGCCTGACTTCGGGCCATTCCGCGATTTCCGTTCCTATTATTGGAGGCGGCGTAATCACCCTCACGCCAGGAAAGATGCACGTGAGAAGCGTACAAACTGCAGCCAGTGGCTCGGCTACGACCATGAGCCTGTCCTTTCATTCTTTTTCCGGGAACCATTGCGGGCTCCGTGGTGCATCGCCACCAGTTCTCAGGGGCGGTTGAGCATTGAAATGCAGATTTCATCTCATATTGCCTGTAAGCCCTGGGGCTTGGCGGCCCAACGGGTGCCCGGCTTATGCCGAGCTGATGATCCGGAGAGCCGGCAGTGGCAGGTAAGTTGGCGTTCCGTGGCGGCTCGTCAGCAGTGCCGTGTTTCGGGAGTCTTCCGAGGTGAATTTGCGCAGCAAATGGCTGAACTAGGGGGGCGCCGCCTCATGGGATTGACCGCATGTGGTTGGCGCTGCGAGTGAGGCACCAGGCTTCGTATCCCCCATGGAGAAGCGTCCGGGGAAGTGCTATTAACGGCATGCAGTACAAGACGTTCAAACCTCCGTGCCGTTCTTTCCGCTTAAGCCTTCAGCGCCGATCCTGGAAATTGGCTCTTGCCGGTACTTTTGTCGAACATGATCATGATGCGACTCGTGTCGATGCACATTCAGCCTTGACTCGTTTACATCCATAACGGCTCATATTGTGGGTGTAGGTACAGGTCATCCTGGGGGTTGCTAGCAGTGCGCCCATTATCCTTCTTTCTAGCAGTCCATCTAGTGGTCAACTATCGGGCTCGGCAGGCCCTGGGAAGATTCAGCTCCGTCGACGGCACAATCTTCGGCTTCCGCCGCTGCCTCACTCTCGAGCGTGCTTCCAAATTGTAGGCCAGCTCTATGAGCTCATACTCCGACCACTTCCGCCCCAGGAAGCTGATGCCCATCGGTATCCCAGGCGCAGTGTTCACCAGGTCGCCTCGACGAGACAGTTGCACCGGCGCATCCTCTGGGTAGTAGCCCATGGGCAACGTTATCGAGGCCGCCCCCGTCACGCCGGTCCAAAAAGGCGCAATGGACGTTGGCAGGGCCAGAGCCGTGAGCTTGTCTGCCTCCAGGGGCGCAAAGTGGCCTCCGACGACGACAAGATGGCCGTACCTAGCCTTGTTGCTCGCATAGCAGTGGGTATTGCTACCGCACTTATCTGCGTGCAGCTGCAGAGCTGCGTCCCAGTAATAAATGTCACGGCCTGGATATTCCTCTAGAGGTTGGGAGTGCGTCCACTCGCGCAACTGGGGAAGTGTGGTAATATTGTTTGGGTTGGTGGTCAGCTGGGAGAGGTAGGAGGCAAGATTGGCTGCGAAGTCAGCAAACGGCACCAAAATTTGCGCCTGCATAATCTCCGTCGCCTTTGGGATAGTCGTGTCCACTATCTGAGCTCCAGCTTCTTCCAAGATGGCCAGCATTTTGAAGAAAGCTTGTAGCTCGCTGGAGACAAAGTCTTCCTCCAAACCTTTGATGAGGTCCCATGGGATACCAATTCGCATATCGGCAAGATTCCGCAGCCGACAAGCGTCTGTGTACTTTGGGATCGTGGGCATTGTTGTTGAAGTGAACCTGTCATGTGGGTCCTCGCCCACGATGGCTTGAAGGACCTGTGCCGCGTCTTCTACGGTCCGTGCCATCGGCCCAACCGTGTCCATGTGCTCCGAGATGGGGATGATGAGATCTCTCGAGGTAAGCCCCAGCGTCGTCTTGATACCTACGATGCCGTTTCTATTTGCCGGAGCTAGGACCGAGCCAAGGGTCTCGGTGCCAATGGCGGCTGCGGCCAAGCCTACGCTCACGGCCACTGCGCTGCCGCTTGAGCTTCCCTCTGGATCTTGGTTTTGGTAGTACGCGCCCAAAGTTTGCCCCCCGTGGGAGGACCATCCGTTGGAGAAGTTGCGGGAGCGCCAGTTGGACCACTGACTCATGTTCGACTTGCCGAGGATTATTGCGCCGGCATCTCGGAGCTTCCTGGCAATTGTTGAGTCGCGAGGGACCGTCGCTCCTAGTAAGGCATACGACCCGGCTTGTTGACGTCAGTATGGCAGCTAGGTACATGCCGAAGACGGCATTTTCTTCTGACCTGTGTTGTTCATCTTGTCTTTGGTGGCAATGTTGTTCTTGAGTAGAATAGGAACGCCGTGCAAGGGGCTGGCGGTCTGGTATCAGTTTCACACGTGGCAACTCATCTGAAAGTATGGGACTTACCCTCTAGGCCCCTTTGTCAGTCTCTCTTTGTCGAGAGATGCTGCGATGCTGAGAGCGTCTGGGTTGTCCTCTGTCACAGCGCGAAGGCGCCCATTGACCTCGAAAATTCGCGCGAAGTATGCCTGCGTTGAGTGTGGGCGTTGATCACGGCCTCAACCGAGTTGGGGACATGCCTACCTTGACCAGATCAGTCGAATTGAAACAGCCTTTCTCGAGCCCCCACTGGATATCACTGATCGTGGCGTCAATCAAGTCTGGAAACCGCCAGCCTTTGCGACGAATGTCAACATGTCAGTCAGTGTTCTTTTATTTCCGGTTCCATTGAGACGAAAGGCGGCTCACCGCGCGGCGGGCCGCCGGCCACCACGGATGCCCATAACGACGTGGCAGTGACAAACAAAAGCAACATCGAGTCCATCGCAGATTCGCAGCACTAGCCTCAAAAGACCGTGTCATCTAGAGGCATCAATTTGCGGGTGTCAAGGATTTGGTGGGGACTAATTCACCTTGCAACCACACGAAAGGCCCCCCGGGGAGGGTGACCAATACTTATAGAAGTTGGCACGTTTAGATAGATGTAGAGGTGCATGTAGGAAACTGCGAATTCTAGTCGGGTTTCCTTTGGTCGCAACTCATAGTGGCAATTGCGCACCGTATATGCGCCTTCATTTCGGTAGAGCTCACAGCGTTTCTTCCTTCATGCATTTCCAGTAAGGTGCCACTGCAACTGGGCATCGGCGTCCTTATAGATCTGCGACGGGCTACACGTGAAGTCTAAGTGACCAGTATGCCTTTTGCGATCGCCCTCTCGTACGTCTCATCAGACGAGTTTTCTCAGATGTCCTGGGCGCATGATGGTGGCACGGGCACACCCCGCCACCATATAGGGCTAATTCGCAGTGTCTTTGCCAATGACTGGTGGGATACAGTGGCAGGGAAGGATTCTGTGCGCACAGAGTTTGCCGCTGCACTGAGTGAGTAAATAGCTCATACGAAGGTGCCAGCATATATGTCCCGCCCGGGCAACGATGCGATACAGCGAGACCGATTGCTGTGTTGAACGCACTCTCATTCTTCCTGATCCATTTACGTGGTGTTTGGCTGTTGTTGTTTTGACTTATCACACAATCTCCAACGCCCAACCGACGGCACCCTGAATGCTGCGAAACCCATCCAAAACGCCCCTGGCTTGTTTTGGCCATGGCTGCTTGCCTGCGCCAATGATGCAGACTTGCCGGGCCGATCCGTCGTTGGCGCCATCTTCGCCACCCACAATTGAACCAGATGGTGGCTAGGCACATCCACATCACAGCAGCATGGCGGCTTCGAGACGAAGGCTTCACAACGTCACAGGTCTTACATGTGATCGTTCATGTTGTGATGCATCTGCCTCAATTGACCGGCTGACGAGCACGTGCTCGAATCTTGTCAGTCGACGCACCAGAGTAAAAACCCTCGTCGCCACGTTTTTTCGCGGGCTACTGTGTTACGGAAGTTAATTGTCATATGGCGTCTGTTGGCTTGCCTCGAAGCAGTAGAGGTGTGCAGCCTGGGGCCCGAGTTCCTGCGGCGGCATCACTGGCAGGAACTCGTGGCTAAAGCGTAAACTCCCATTCGTGCCTCCGGCCGCTGGCATTGCCGCATGGACAGGGAGCTCGGCATTTGCATGTCGAAACTGGCGAACGTCGCCACCCGCCACCAGACGCCAGATGCCGGATATCCCTCGTAGCGTGTGCTATGACTGGGAAATAATCAAGCATGCATATATGGGTGCGTTGAAGTCCCAGCCTCGGGACTGAGGGGAATGTCTTGTGAGTTGCAGTCCTCGTCTGGTAGTACTCGTTGCAACCATGCATCTTCTCAAGACATCTACGCTTTGCTGTCTTGTGGTGGGGGTTAGTAGACGAGTCCCTCATTTAAGCTTCGGTGCTAACAAGTCTTACTTTTCAGGCATCTGGTCTCGTCGCTCGCTCGCCAGACGCAACACCGACTCCCTCAGACTTGACGGCCCCAATCCCTGGGTACGGGGTTGCCATGCCCGCCTGGGAGGTCGAGGTCCGTCCGGGCGAGCATCTCGTTCTCAACGGCACGGCGCACGAAGTCCGGCGGCAGCTGCTCGAGCTTAATCCGGACTGGAAGCCCCTCGCCGCCCCCGCCACCATCGAGACGAAGCGCGACGTCGAGGGGACCACTACATTTCCCCCGAGTACAAAGGTCAAATGCGGCGAGTACCGCCGACCGGGAAGCAAATACTTTGCCAAAGTGCTCAAGGACGCGGCGCAACATCTGTTCTGGAAATACGGGGACATCAAGAAGACCGTTCAGCCGGGGACCTGCCTTCCCGTCGGGTGCGAATATGACACGGGCATCTGGTGGTGCAACGATGTGAGTGACGTTGGCACCAGACCAGACGTTCGATGGATATACAGGAGGACAATCTGCTGACAGCGGGCTCAGGATAAAAAGGAGAAGACACTGCATGGCTACACCGGGATCACGGACGGTTTGAAGAAGATGTGGTATGAGCACCTGTGTTGGACGGACAGGTCAGGGCGGCTGCTGCATCCAGACGGCTGGAGCCTCGTTGTGACCGGCACAAAGGTCAATAGGCCGTGCTGAGCGCATTTGCACCATGGCGAGAGCGAACAGCGTGCATGGCGCGCCAGGAATTGATGTGAGTTCTGTCGGGAAATGGCAGATGTTTCGGCCGGCACCACTCAGCGATGATGCTGAACGACGGTTTGAGGGGAGGGTCCGGTGGCACGACGATCTAGAGCTTTGGCGTCTGGTTGGGTGCTTCGGCTGACCGGGGCCTACGCCGAATGGAAGAGCTGAACTGAGCATTGAGAAGACTTATGCATTATGATCAACTTGATTGAAGCGCCCGGCCAGTGTACCTCTGTATTTACCGACAGTGTCAGTCCTCGATCCTCTGGGACCCCGGATCGGAACATGCACGTTGACATTGAGGGGACAACTGCCCGTCATCGCGCCTCAGCATCTCGCCGTTCAAGCTCCGCCTGCCATTCCCGCACCTCGGCTTCATAGCGGGCCCTATCCTCTTCAGCCATGCGCTCGTACGGTGTCCGTTGGGCGGCGGTCTGCGCGTGCCACATCTCCCCCAGAATCTGGCCGACCTGCCCGGGCGTCATGTCCGGATGCTCTGCCCATACGCGCATTCGGTGCTCGTCGGCAAAGAAATGGTACGCCGAACGGCCTTTTATAGGCCGGCCGGAGGCTTTGAATGCGTCAGTGCTGCATGTGCGGAGCCGCGGGTTTCGCGCGCGAAGGGGCGTTTTCTTGGACAGAGCGCGGGGCTTAGGATGGTGTGCATACCGCCTCGCAGCGACTGCAATAGCCCCTGTGAGGGTTGTGACATGGCAATGTGTAAGTGAGCGGTGGCCGTATGGTGGTGAGTCGTGACTGTGCCGCTTGAAAGGATGAGGAATTGAGAGGCGCTGATGAGGGATGATCCCATGACAACCGAAGTCCACGCCGCCCCCACGCTCGCTGCGAGGTGGGGGCTTGCCGCTGGGTGCCTGTCACTGCCTGGACACTTCGGAAGGGTCTCACTCCTCTTCAGCCCAGGCCCTCTGTGGTCGACTCCCCACAAGCTCATCTGCCCCATGTCATCCTGCGCGCCCGGCCGCGACAACCTCATTGCCGTGTATTGACATTTTCATCGAACCCCTGATGGCCATATGGAAAACGGCCGGTGTCCAAATGGTTCTCCTCTTTTGATCACCGACCCCTCTACGGGGCGAAAGGCGGCAGCTCAATGTCATCCAGCAGCATGTCCCACTGCGGTACATCCAGGTCCGGTGCAATATTCAGAAACTCCGTCCACAGCAGGTCCATACTTTGATCGTCGGAGCTTGTCGTCCCGCCTGAGCCCTGCATCTCTTCAGCCAGGGCAGCTCCAGCTTCGTACGCTCCCAGCGTCTCATCCGCCGCATCTTCCCCAACGTCGTCGTCCATCGCCGCGGCGGTCGCTCGAGTGCTCGGCCTCCCCACCGCCACAGAGCCCATGCGCTGTTGCCCCGACGGAAGCTCCTGCTTCCTCTCCCGCAGCGCCGCCATGAGCGCCTGGAGATTCTTCTGCACGCCCTCCATCAGCGCGCCCGACTCCTCCGTCGACCGCTCCAGCACCTCGCACGCAGCGAGGACCTTCGCCCGCCGCGCATCCGCCCCCGCGGCGTCCGGATCGCGCGACACGTCCGTCGCGAGGATCAGCGCCGCGATGAAGACGTGCTGCATCACGATCCACGAGCGCGCCGGCCGGATGCCCACGCGCGCGCCGATGTCGTCCATGGCGCGCCGCAGCTCGAGCACCGTGTGCGCGGCGCGGATGCACGCCGTGCGCGAATACGCGTGTCGCGCGTCGGATGACGGGTCCATGAGGTGGTACGGGCGGTGCAGTCGGCAGAGGCGTGTCTGCGCGCTGAAGTTGATGCCGACGCGGTGGACGGCGAGCATGGGCTGTTGCTTGCATACTTCGGCGGCCTGCGCCATACTTGACTCGTCGAGACGGAAGAACCATGGTAAGTCGTGGAGAAAGTCGTTGAATGCCGTGTCCAGCTCCAAGACGACGCTGTAGTCGACGTCTTCGGTGTCGTGTGATACGGACGGCAGGGTATCGACGGCCTTTCGGCATACTTCCGCCAGTTTGACGCGGTATATAAACGCAGTCATGGGTGTCGGCACAGACAGAGGAAGGTCTTCAGTCCTCTCTTCTGTAATGAGCTCGTCGGGTGCGTTGCTTGGCAGGCCGACGTTCATGTGCCTGGGCTGGATCACATACGTCCCCTCGCGAGGACTCCCCGGGAACGAATTCAGCCTTCAATTGCAGTCAGCTGTGATCGACATATCTGCATCTGGAGCTCAAGGCCCTACCAGTCGAAGCCGACGAGGTTCCACCAGACGCGGCGCTGCACCTCGAGCTCAATCATGTTGCACCCCTTCTGGGCCCGCTCCTCCCGACTCTTGCGCGTGTCGAGACGGTCCACGCCCATGGACCGCGCCATGAGGAGGCACTTGAGCCGCAGCAGCAGGACATTGTCGGACAGCCCGCGTGAGTTGGTGCTCAGGTGCGCGAGGTTACTCAGCGCCGCGAGGGCCGTGGTCGAGGGCTTCACGGGCGATACGTCATTGTCGAGTATGGACACGGCGATGGTGTTGTAGCCTGCAAAGGCCGCCTTGGCCTCCGCCGGCGTGGCCTTGAGCCCCTCCAGCAACGAAGGGGTCCAGTTGAATGCGGCGGCCGCAAAGATGCTGAACAAGAGGAGTAGGTCCTCCGCGGCCGGGCTCTGTTGCACGGGCCCCTGTTGTCCAGCAGCACCACGAGCCTTGTACGTTCTCTCCAGCAACGCCCTCGCGGAGGGAACGTGCAAGACGCCCCAGTTCGGCTGGCATATCTGCGCAAAGTGATTAAACAGTTCTCGTGCCTGAACAAGCGGCGGGAGCCTGTTCGCAATGTGAGTAGCGTAGGCCGCAGCCTCGCCACCGCTGTCCTTGCTGCTCGCAGGTGGCACAGACAGCAAATAATGTCCAAAAGGAGTATATACTAAGAAGCACGAGTTGGTCAAATTCCACGTCGCGGAGATGTGGAATCAGGGTCTCTTCTTACGCACCATCAGTCCTGCGCGGTGGTGGAGCCGCTGTATGAGCGGTTAAGGGAGCGGCGCTGCTGACGTCGTCGAAGACTGCGATTTCCAGCCTTTGGAGGCGGCGCACGATCTCCTCGTTGCTCCTGGAACCACGTCAGCCGCCACTCTTGTACGATGGCCTGGGGCACAGAGCGAACAGCGTCGGGCTCCATGTCGGATCGAGCGGCACAGCTGCCGAGCTAGGGGGCAGCACGGCAGGGCTCGGTTCTGGCTTATCGTTTCCAATGGCATTAAGTGGCTCGCCCCCCGTGTTATAATTGCAAAGCACGCCGCGGCGGGAACAAGTTGAGCAGGGCCGCTGACGGTCGCAGCGGCGTTTGCGCTCACGGCAGGGCTCGCAGGACAGCAGCGGACGGTTCCACCGGTGGACCATCATCACGGCATCGCTCCCTTTGCGCTTCATGGCGGGCCGCGACTGGCCGCGTGGCCCGCGGTGATGATACGTGAATTGGCGATGACGTCGGGTCTTTGAGAATCTCAAACGGAATGTCGTCGACTTGTCCGCCTGGCTTGCGGCCGTAGGGCTGCGTGTTGGAGCGCGTAGAGCCGCCTCAAGTCCGCTCGGGGCGGAGACACTAGCCTATTCGGGGAATAGCGTCCGCAGCTTTGGGGTTGCCTCTGGTCAGCACTGCTGAGCGGCCTCAAAGTTATAAGTCGAGGAATCCTCATCGAGGGCAGAACGACGGGCAGAACAACAGTCAGGCTCGCGAACAAACTCGATATACTTGACAATGGAGAAAGTACGAAAGGTGAGTAAAGCTGATGATGCAATACGGTTCGGGTTTGTCTGACCAGCCAAGGCCATCGTCATCGGAGGCGGCCCTGCCGGCCTCTCGACCGCACTCCGACTCCACCAAACGACGGACATATCCTGCACCGTCTACGAGCTTCGGCCGGAGCCGACAACTCTCGGAGGAGCCATAGGCATCTTCTCCAACGGGATGCGTCTCTTCCACCGGTTGGGACTACACGACGAGTTGCTCTCCCGCGGGAGCAGCCACTCGCGATTCGTCCTGCACTCGCTGCAGGGGAGCATCCTCGGCGAGCAGGACATGGTGGGCGCCGCGCGCGAGACCATGGGCTTTGGGTACCTGCGCATCAAGCGGACAGATCTGCTCGACGTCTTGCTCCGAGCTACGACCAAGGCGCGCATACCAATCCACTATGGCAAGCGCATCACGGCCATTCAAGACTCGAGCAGCGGCGTCACAGTCACCTTCTCGGACGGCACGACCGACTCGGCCGACATCCTGCTCGGCTGCGACGGCATCCACTCCTCCGTCCGCAAGCTGTACGTCGACCCCGCGCAGGAACCCGTATACTCTGGCTTTGCCGGCTACGGCTCCATCATCCCCATCACCGCACTGGGCAGCAACGCCACCGCAACAGCCTCGCAAGTGCGCGGCATCGACGCGACGCTCACCCAAGAAGGCGCCTTTGCGGCCATGAGCTGCTCCGCCGCAGACGACGAGCTCTACTGGGCCTTTTCCGGCCAGGTGCCCGTGCCGGAGGCGGGCGACACGCGCGACGGGTGGGAGGTGCGCCGCAAGGAGGAGGTGGACGGCTTCAAGGCCTCGATGCTGCAGGTGCTGGGCGGCGCGAGCGGCGACTGGGCCACTTTGATGCGCCGCGTCGTCGAGGCGACCGATGTGGTCAAGTTCTACCCCGTATTTAAACTGCCGCTCGGAGGCGCCTGGTCGAGGGGCCGCTGCCTGCTGCTTGGGGATGCCGCGCACGCGATGCCGCCGCATGCCGGGCAGGGCGTGAGCATGGCGCTGGAGGATGCGTTTCTGGCGGCGCGGCTGCTCAAGGATCTTCCCTTGGCGCAACAGCAGCAGCTGGACGACGCGTTTGCGACGTATGACCGTGTCAGGAGGCCGCGTGTGGACGAGATTGCCAAGAAGGCGGCGAGTAATGCCGACGTGAGGAAGAAGACGGGCCCGGTTGGGCTAAGGATCAAGGAGTGGGTGATTTGGGCGTTTCTGTGGGTGGCGTGGGCGACGGGGCGGCAGAGCGTGGGTGTTGAGCAGCGGCACTTGGTGTATGACATTGACGCGGCGAAGCTCTAGCTAGCGAAGTCGTTGCCATTTTGTTACACTGGAGCTGGCTTCGGAAGCGTTCATGTTTGTGTATCATCTCTGCCACTTAGGGCCCCTGAATTACATCCCGTCTCATTTTCATCTCTGCTCAGACCGGCTTCTCCTCCAGCGTTGTTCCACCAACACCCCGGAGCCGCTCCCACTCATCCTCCGTCATCGAAAACAGCAGCTCGTCATACCACTGCCTATTAAACCGCCGCGCGTCGCGCATCCGCCCGTCCAGCGTAAACCCAATGCTCTTATACAAATGCGCCGCGCGCTCGTTGTACGAAAACGTGCCGATGCGCACCGTGTGCAGCCCCCCGTGCCGAAACGCCCAGTCGAGCATCCAATTGATCGCCTCGCGCCCGTAGCCATTGTTCTGGTACTGGCGCGCGAGCGCAATGCCAATGGTTGCGCTGCGGTTGGTGACGAGCGCGGGCGTGAAGCCGCCCCAACCGAGGCAGATGGTGCCGATGAGCACGCCATTGCTGCCGCCGCCAGCTGTTGCTGTCTTTGCGCCCTGTGCCGCATTGTCCCCGGTAAGCTCAGTTGTTTTTGATGTTGTCGTTGTTGCTGCCTCTTCGCTGGGGAGGAGGTAGATGGCCGCGCCGAGGAGCGCCTTGGACATGAGGCCGACGATGCGGTCGACGTCGACTTTGCCGTAGGGCATGGGCATGGACGAGGACGCGAGGGCCTGCACAAAAGGCGTTTCGATCTTGCGGATAAAGGCCTTGAGCTGCTCGTTGGTCTCGTCGATCTTGACGAACTCGAGGCGCGAGGAGCGGAAGCTGTCGTGCATCTCCTCGGTGATGAACTCCATTGCGGAGGGGGGTGCTGGTTTGGCACTCATCTTTGCGGTTGGATTGTGTCAAGTGTCGGGATTTGCGAGCGAGCGATGGCAGTTCTTATGGAGGATGCCAGAGACGCCGTTGCCGTTGCGGGTGGTGCATAGCGCCGTGAGGGTTGGCGATTGTCGTTGTTTCCATGCCCTCAATTGCGAAGCTGCAGATGAGAGTCCAAGTCGCAAGTCTTGGCCAGCGCAGGGCCCGCTGTGGTTGCAAAAGTTCCCGCGTCAGTTCAGTTCAGCCTTGGGATTGAGTCACCAATCTGTGCTGCTGGCGCTGTCACAGCAGCGTCCTGCGAACGAAAGCTTGCGCTCCCAGCGTAAGCGCGGGCTCAAGTCTGTCCATCCACCACCGCTGGGGGTGTTCGTGAGTCACCATTGGTATCGTCAGCCACATTGGGAAATAATGACAAGGGTAGCCCAGGACAGCTTCCCCGCGCGCGTGCCGCAGGAACATAGACATCAGCAGAGGAAATGCCCATCGGTGACGTGGACTTGCAATGGTTCTGCCGTTGCATATTTGCAGACGACTCACAAGCTTTCAGGCTTTTCTCACAAAGACGAACAACGTCGTTTGTGGAGCACAGGGGTCAATGTAGCCGGCACTAGCTGCCACCCTCCATAACACTTATCAGTCTCTCTTGTACTAACTGCGGAGCATGAGCTTCAAGAGCACACCGGCGGCTTCAATGTTCAAGTGTTCATTAAGTATAGTAGCTCGTCCATGCTATTCAACTCGCGCATGTAGATGCCAGTCGCCAATTCCAACGCTAATCAAACACGCTTGCCTTGGACCACTTGCTGCCCGCACGAATCCTCTTTCCGTACACATAAAACACAAAAGGCACGGGTATAAGCAACGCCGCAAAGCCGCCCGTGATGCTCGAGCCCGGGCCGACGCCGATGTTGTGGAACATCGGGCCCACGACGAGGGGAAACGCGCCCGCGAAGCAGGACCGCAGAAACGTGTTGGCGGCGACGGCCGAGGCGGCGTACGCTTGGAACGTGTCGACGAGGTAGTTGAGCGCCGCCTGGAAGATGGTGAAGAAGCCGGCGCCGAGCATGACGAGCCCGATGCAGGGCACGATCCAGTGGATGGACGGGTCGGCCGTCCACCCGACGAGGAACTGGCTCGCGCTGAAGAGCACAGAGCCGAGCATCATCGGCGGCAGGCGCTTCTCCGGCACGGCCCGGTCACCTGCGGCGTGGTACGCCTTGTTGTAGAGGATCTGGTTGTAGACGTTGAGCCCGCAGCCGATGGAGGCGCCTATCATGATGCACAGGAACGGCAGCGTGGCGACGAGCTGGCCCCAGCCGCGGTGCTCGCCAAAGATGATGGGTATGGCGCCCAGCTGCATGTACAGGATACCGTAGCAGAAGCTGGCGTAGAGGGCGACGAGGAAGCAGATGGGCGTGAGCAGCAGCTGCACGGGGCGGACGAGGAACTTGCGGGCCAGCTCGCCGACGCTGACGTCCCACTCCTCGAAGCGCGCGTGCAGCGCCCAGTTGCCGCTCTCGTGGCGCAGCCGGCGCGCCTTGTAGACGAGCAGCTTGGGCGGGTAGCTCTCGTCGATGAAGATGATGGCGATGAGCAGGATGGCGGCCTGCAGGATGCCCGTGAGGTACTCGGTCCAGCGCCAGCCGAGGGACGGGGCCTGCGTGACGGCCGCGGAGACGACGGGGCCTGGAGAAGACGGGACTTGTTAGTTGCTTTTCGACATAGGACCTTAAACAACACGGAGGATTCTTACCGAGCGCTGGCCCGCCGACGACGGCCATCGCATAGCCCGCCATGGCAATGCCCCTCCACGCCGGGGAGAACAAATCCCCCAACACGCCCCCCGTGTTCGTCACCGGCGCACTCGCAAAGAAGGCGCCAAAGAACCGCGTCAGCATCAGCGTCTGCAGGTCCTTGGCCGTCGCGCTCGCAAAGCTAAAGCAGCTCGCCACAAACATGGGCGCCATGACGGCGACGCGCCGGCCAAACACCTCGCTCAGCGGCGCCCACAGCAGGGGGCCCACGCCGAAGCCGAAGAGGAACAGCGTCGTGCCCAGCGTCGCCACCTGCGTGCCGACGCCGAACTCGCGCGCGATCTGCTCCGTGCCCGCCGAGTACGCCGACGACGCCCACGTCGCCGACATGGTGACGAAGCCGTACAGCAGCGTCGTGGTGACCTTTTTGCGCGTCGGCCAGTTGAGCGGGTGGTACGGGTCGTCCTTGCCGTCGAAGTCGACGATCTCGGCCTCGGACGTGGCGACGTGGGCGAGCGGGTGCGTGAACTGCGGGACGGCGTTGCGCGAGCGGATGCGCGAGAGGACCGTGTCGCGCCGGGTGATGGTGCGCGCGAGCGGCTGTCCGCCGGAACCAGAGGCAGCGCCGCCGGGTGTCGCGCTGCCGTTGCTGAGCGCCACGCCCGTGGCACTGGCGATTGTCGCCGCCGAGGGTGCCCTTCGGCAACGGCTGTGTCTGCTGCGGGAGCGCGACAGCGAGGCGGCTCGCATCTCGTGCTGCGTCGGGCGGTGGCCGTCAAACTCCTGGTGCTTCTCCTCGGGGGTGAGCACGGACGCCGCGTCCTCCTCCTCCTCTTCCTCGTCGTCATCGGTGGTGGTGGTGCTGGTTATGTCTTCGATGCGCTCAATGTCGTCCTCGTGGTGCCCGTGACTGAGCTGCCGCCCGCGGGACGTCGGTCGCGAATGGGTATCATCATGACGGTCTTGTTGCTCTTCGTCCGTGGCAGCCATGGTGACGTGGTGTTGACACGGAGTGGTGTCTGCTTCCCGCCGCTTCCATGGGAGTTGGCTGTTCCGTGATCGCAAACCTGATCAACACTCGAGGCCGGAAGAAGTCCGACTATTATCTGATGCGCAGGGGCAAACAAAACAGAGCAAGGAAAAAAAAAAATCGGACACCAGGGGCGGTGCACGTACACGATGTTGTATTATCTGCCGGGGATGCGCGCCAGACGGCAACTCTTCCGTCTTGCCGTCGCCCTTCGCGCCGACGACCGGACAACCGACCAACGAATTGGAGCGGGATTGCTAATGCGGGCAACGCACAGGAGGGCGCTGGACGTGTTATTCCCGCCTGGACGGCTGCCCTGCGGCCCTGCGGGTGGAGCTGTTCGGCTCACAGATGCCGCCTGAGGTGACGTCACGCGATCCCTGGAGAGAACCTTGTGTCAAACGAGGGCGAGTGTCGTTGATTCATTGTTCATCAGGGTCGCTCGGTTTTGGATGCTGTCAGTCCATGTTTGCGCCGCTCAGGTGCCTCGCAGCTCGGTGCTCCGAGGCAGGTAGTTCCGCTGAGGTCGTCACTCCTCGACATGACGATGTTCTGCTTCACACTGTTACTACTGCTGCAAGGCGCTCTCTGCTTACAGTGGTCAGCAATCATCT